ATCACCACTATCACCACAATCACCTTATATCATTACTTTAAGGGCCCTTTTCGCCCTTTATGAGTTCTTTTATGAATAGAATAAAAGAGGAGAGGGAGTATAAAGGGGCCGGTAGGTAGTTTAATATTTAATACTTGATAATTATTTGGTACTTATCTCCCTGCTAACATTTCCTTTTTGATATAATTATGAGGTGTTATTTGGTTGGAGGATTTGTATGGCTTTTATAGGGGTGAGTGAGTGTTTGTTTGTTTGTTTGTTTGCTTTCTTCTTATGTATTTGTTTTTCTGTTATGTTAACTTCTGGGGTTAGTGAAATATGTGGGGGTATAAATATATGTATTTATCCGAATATCTAATTATTGGCTTTGTAATATGTCATAGATGGAGGAGACGGAGAAAATGGGAAAACGGGAAAATGTGGGTGGAAGATGTAGGTGTGGCGGGGATGGAATGGGTGCTTTTAGAGGTAGGTGAGGGTTGTGGTGAGTAGCTTGACTGACGGTATTGAATTACCATCATTGTTATCATTGCTATATTTTCTGTCATGTTGTTTTTGTATACAGATATCAAATCTAAGATTACTTTGTATTCCTCCTGCAGTAATCCTTCTCTTCATCGTCATCATTCTTTCTTTATTATCTATTTTCCTTTAAAACTCCGGTCTTTTCGAGGTATGAACATTAGAGTGTGGATACATATCATGAAACGAAAAATGTGATAATATTTTCATTTGCATACGTTGAGTTGGAGGAGGGAAGATGCTTTATAGGTAGTTTGTCTGATGAGTGAGAAAGTCTCTGGAGTCCTCTTTTTGTGTGATGTGGTGTATGTTGTTTCAATAGATAAGTCTAGTACCCTACTTCTGGGCCACCCCCTAATATGGGCCACTTTCCTCACCAAAAATGACGAAAGTCAACTTTTATAACTTTCTTATTTATCGATATAATTTAACAAAATTTGAATTATATATTTATTATTTATATAATAGTAAATTCTGAAAATTTCAGATTTTTTGCGATTTTATTGGTCGAGAAATTGAAAGTTGAAATTATGATTTTCAATTTGTATAGGATTTGTATATAAAATTGAAAAGTTTGAATAACTTAAATAACTTTTCAACAAAAATTACTAAAAATAAATTATAAATTTTTTAGAAATCTTCAACTCAAATAGAGTTTAATAGATTAGAATTTTGAATTTTAAATTATATAGAAAATCTTCTATTGATATTTTTAGATTTTACAAGGATTAAAAATCAGAACATTTTGATTAATAAGATTTCTGTAAATTATTCTTTAAAATAAATTAATTTATTTGATCAATTATAATAAAAATATTCGAAAAAGATTTATAATTTATTTGTAGTAATTTTTGTTGAAAAGTTATTGAAGGTTTTCAGGATTTTTAAATTTGTATATAAATCTGTGACGGAAATCCCTGCTTTCCTCCCACCCTTATTATATAAGAAACCTCGGGTACATTAACCATGTCCACACATGATACGATTACTCGGGATAGTATACGATTCAGGTGGTCTGAGGATCAGATCCGGACAGTACTAGGTATCAATGGTTATCGGTAAAGTAAAATCATTGGAGGGATAAATATGACTTCTTTTTGCCTAGCCATTGCGACTAGGCCATTCATTTGTGTATATATAGAGTAGCTATCCCCATCTACAGGTGCTCTTCACCTGTAGATTCTAAGTTAAATACAATTGCTGGTCTATAAACACCCTTTTGGTCACAAAATCCTATACAAATTGAAAATCGAAATTTCAATCATTAATATCTCAATCAATAAAATCGCGAAAAATCTGAAATTTTCAGGATTTATTTGTAATTATATAATAATTCTGTAATTGGAATTTCAATTGATTTGATCCATTAATTGTTGAATAATTAATAGGTAAAAATCGTCAGTTTTGGTATAAAAGGGTGGTCTATATTAAGGGTGGCCCAAAAGTAGGGTACTAGACTTATTGCAAGGGGAAGAAGTTGAGGTTTTTGATAGCTGGCGAGTGCTAGCTTCTTTTCTTTGCCTCTTTACTCCTTGGGTGTATTCTGAATATCTTGTTTAAGATACGCATAATTCCGAATGGAGAACAAACTCTATATTCTCTTCTATACCTTAAGCGATTTATCCTCATTCTCCTCGTTCTTCTCATCAATATCGTCTCTTTTTCTTTAGATCCCCGCCTATCCCACAAAATATATATCCATTATATATCCTACGACATAAATATCCACTATATACATAACTACCTCTATGGATATATAAAGATCACTCACCTAGTATTAATCAACACCATGATTTTAAGTCTTCGTTCTTGATCGACCAGGTGGTTGGTTGGTTTGTGGTGAATTGGGATGGTAATGGGAATTCGAATGAATATGCTGTTAAGTGTATTTTGGGTTGGGTGATATTATAGAAGATTAGTGAGGAGAGAGTATTGATGCTGCTGCTGTTTCCATTATCATTTTAATTTTTACATTTATTGTCATTTTCATCATGAATCTTTTTTTCCTTGTATTTATTAGTGACAGTCGATATCATTGTCAACGACATATCAACATCGGTATCATCCTCACACCACTTAGTCTATTTCACAACCATCATCTTATCCTTTCGCCTGCCTATCCATTCTTTATCATTCCAACCTCAAATAGTCACAAGATTCTGTTTCTATGCCGGTATAATATGAAGCAGGCATGGGCATGAGCACCATTCTTGTCCTTTCGAAACATTTTGTGGTTGAGAATTCCAGTATTCGTATATTTATAGAGCAAGGGGGCGGGTGTGGGGGAAGAATAACGGGAAGGAGAATGGAGTGAATGCTTTTGAGGATGTACAGGAATTCACTGAAAGTTGGAACTGTGGGTTAGGAACTGAGGGTCGCGAATTAAGTGAGCGGCTGAAAAGTGAAGAGGGGAATGGAGTAAAGGCTGGGAAAGGGGAAAAGGAAATGGAGAAAATAGGGGTAGGGGTTAATGAGATTCAATCAAGTTCCTCCCGCCTCGGTCTCTATCTGAAGAGGTATATAAATATCTCTCCTAATACCATCTCCAACTCTATATAATTCAAAAGTATGAACTGCGAAGAAATATGTCACATGGCTGTAATATTTATATTGTCTCTTAAAAATTCATTTTGATGAAGCTAGAGTTTTCAATTTTAAATTTTCATAGAAACCCTGAGGTCCGTATGTATTCCAAGATCATGAAATTTCGAGGGTGGATAGGCGAAATTTTGTTAATCTTATTGTCATCGTTTCCTTTCTTTTCTGTATGATTATCGGAATCTTTTTGTTGTTTCTCATTTATTCCTCTTGCAAAAACTTTTCTGGATTTTGGCGAATTGATATGCCATGGGATTGGATTCATTTCTTACTAAAATTGATGCTGCATGCTACTTAAGCATGGACTAATAACTCAATACTTTACTCCTGATGCGAGTTGAGAGTATCTCCAGTTCCTTAGATACAAAGAATGAGAAGAAGAAAGACGTCCCTTTTATAACAGCAAGGCAAAGAACCCTAAAGTGCAGATAGTGCCTGGCTAAAGCAATGATGATTACCTGCACGGCGTCGCGGTTTTTCATCTATTCATTCGTTGAGAACTTGAGATTAGATGGATGGATATAAGTAAATCTGTTTTTGGTGTGGGAATTTTGAACTTCATTATAGGCTGGTGCTATCAGATGCCTGAACAGAGGCCAGGGAGTAGTCGGTGAATTGTCGTCTTGACAGTTGGATTTGTCTTTGGGGTGCAATGTTGGGGAGTTTCTTGAGGCTGGAGAGTGATTTGAGATTAGGAATAGGGAAGTGCTAGTAGTGAGATTTGTTTTATTACTATCACTATCAGTATGCTTCTCAATGAATCGCCATATTTTGTTATTGTTATTACCTTGCCACTAGTATTGTCATCTCCTTGTCACCATTACTATGGCTTGATTCCCTCAATATCTGCCCATCCTCAAATAGCTACAAGATTGGAAATAACTCAAGTTTGGTTTTACAATTCACATAACCTGTGAATCACAATGCGTGGGAAGTAGAGTATTTCACTGCGTGTTACTGTTTACGCCGATTTCGGTTTTGGTACTGCTTTTTGGATGTAGATGAAAGGGGAATGACAGGGGCAGGAATTTTAGAGGGATATGCGGTATGAATGCTGTTTGATGTGATAGAATAAGGTCACTAGGAGGGAGACGATGGCGTGTACTATTGGTTTGATATGTTTATGGTACGGTAGCGTAGATCTGATGACTTCAACTGTAACATAAATTCAACCAGCTCACAGAGTATTTTTTTCCTTTTAGGCCCTGAGGGCATAGTTAATTCTAGTGTGAAGTGTTTAGCCTTTATATCTGAGATATCATAGTGAGATACGATAAAATTGGGGCATCTTCAATCAAGTGCTTTCTGCTTTCTGCTTTCTGCTTTCTGCTTTCTTTTTTCCGGTTTTTCGGCCTCGGTTTCCTACATTTATGTTCAGAGGAATATATATATATCACTGTTTTATCACTGCTCACTCCATAGCATGTTAGAAATCTAAACTTAGTCTTTCCAGGACAATGTTAGTATTTGCATCGCCTCCTTTGGACTTTCCATGAATATAAGTGGAATTTAGACTAACAAGCGAGTAGACGAATAAATGTTTGTGTTAGACGGCGATATTCCACTATTGTTTATGTTGTCATCTCAGAATGCCCACCATGATTGTCATTTCTTTCACCGTGTCATCATTTTCTCGCCTTGATAAGCTGGAAATGTCTAGTCATCAGCATGAGGTCCGGAAATGTGCTTTGAAAGTTTTGGATGATAAACTGTACCGTTACGAAAGTGACCTGTTGTGATGTAACCATATTACTTGCGTTGGGCATATAGGTAAGTGGAGGAGAGAAAAAGTAAGAGATTTAATAGCGCCATTCCAATGATTGAGAATCGTGAAGTGGGAAAAGAAGGAAAAATTAAGCGAATCACCTGAACCCATCCATCGAGAAATTCGACAATACTTGTAAATTAAGCAGGTGCTTTCTCATCTGGTATCACAGCTTATCACTTTTAGAGTATATAAAGAGCAATACTTCCATCAATTTTCAATTCCATGGCACTCCGTGAAAAATCTCAGACTTGGTCCAGGCCATTTCGCAGTTTTGAAATTACTTTGCCGGATGAGGATAGGATGCGAGTACAGTGATAGATTATTCTCGTTAAGGGAGAAAGAATTGAAACCTTTTTCAATTTTGAAGGCTCGGGGTGAATTTGGGATTGACTGTCATTTCCCAAAATGAGAGTTATTAAACGTTTATTTTATTTTGTGTTTTAATGTCTTGAAAAGTTAATTGTTGTCATAAATATACCCATCATATTCTTTGCTCTTCTTGTGCGAGATAGTTTCAATACAAAGAAGGGAGGTGGGTGTCTGAGGGTTGGAATACTGTGGTTCTTTTCAACCACAGGTAGAGGTCGCTCATCAGGAAAGTCGAAGCATAGGCGAAGAGGATAAGAGGGTAGTAGTAATGGGATATCAAAAAGACGTCCTCTTAGTAGTGAATTATCCTCGAGAATGAGAGGTATTGTAAGTGACTGCAAGTGGAGATATGGTGGAAGACACTGAGAGATAGTAAGATAGCAAGTGCGGAGAACATTACCTCTATTATTACCAAACAAGATTTTGTGTTATATTATTAAGATGTGTGAGCCAAAGTCTATAAAAGGCTCGTAATCTTACATTAGTTCTACTTTTCCGTATATGAGGCAAGGCATCTATGATTTACACTTCGGATGACTATGTTTTAGATTATACGGTTCTAGTAATAGCTGTGATCTGAACTGGGTTGAAATTACTGAGCCGTTGCCATTATACTTTAAATTGCATATCATTGTGGTCTTGCTGTCATTTTTACATCTCATTAGTATTTTCTATCGTGGTAATCAGTGCTAATTTTACAATTACTTCAAATACTCTCGGTTAGGCGTTTACTTCCGAGCTGCCTTTTTTCTAGACTCCATAGATGAGCTGCTACCCTTGAGGTATGGTTTATACTTCCAAAGAATTGAATGAGTAGAGCTTCAACATACCTATTATTGAATATGTAGAGTAAGAGTTATCTCTGGCCGTCATCCTCACTGACCGAGTGGTTTTATGTTGTGCGGAAATCTCAAATGAGATAATACATTTTTGTTATCAATAATAACCTGTCTTTTATTCTCACAGAAATTTCTGCTACGTTCGTTCTTGGTTAAAAGTACGAAATTGTCTTCTGCTGTGAGTGATGTAGATCCTAATCATGCAGAAACCACTCCACGGCTTGCCCCTCGAGATATTGCCGCAATCCGACGATGGAAACAAAAGTATATAGATCAATCACAATGATCCTAATGCTTGTTTATATTTCATATCTCGTAACAGCAAGTGTGAATAAATATAAGCTAGCTCGCTCATTTGTCCTGGCATAGCTGTTTTCATGAAGAATGTTTTTCAGAATCCATTCTGGTATATCCATATATATAGTGACTTTACCGAATGAGTACTAGTACAGGTCGGATTAAAGAAGTATAAAAGGATTACCTAACAGCAGTCTATTGCTATAAAAAGCGCGCAGATCACGGAAGTTTTCACATTAAAGACAACCGCGCCAAAAGTTTCTTTAGGAGACGCTTCATGAAAATTATCTTGGTTATTAAATCCATCCATAGCATAGTAAATGCATTCAACAATATTTGCTGCTTTAGTTATGAAAGTTGTAGATATTACTGGTGCTGGATTAATGGACTATTATTATCTGTCTCCCACCGTTGTCATTTTGACTAATCAACATAGTTCTTTCTCAGAGTTTGTCAGCACCAGAGCTTCCAATTTTTCAAACTACTCCGGAAATTTTCAAGGAGTACTCCATCTCTACAAGCCATTCGGAAACACTTGGTCCAAGAATAGTAAAATAGGGAGGATATTTCAGTTTGCTATGGCTCTTATATAAATCCATCCTATTCATATACACTCTAACCACTCTCATCACTCTTGTTCTCCCAAACACCCAATTTCCCCATTCATTGACCCGCCTTATGAACTTGACAAACACAATCCCCGATATAAAAGCTCAGTAGCTTTCTCTTTTCCTCTCATATCCCCGCTACTACGAGGAGGCAGTGCTACAGTATGATGATGACAGGACACAGATGCCAACGCCGTACTCAACTTGAGAAGTTTATGAATTCTTCCTCTACATGTTACTCGAAATAACTGTACCGCAGCGTGGGGTGTTGTGGATTAATGTCAACGTGAAATAAACCGACGCTATCAATGTAGTATTAATATATGCTATCATCGTAGGATGTAGTTGCCGTCGTCTCCTAGCATCTCCGGATAAAACTTCAGAGCATACGTATACAAGAAACCTTGTTATCCTTCAACTATATCCATGATCCTACATCGACTCAGGATTTACATTTGTGTATATCCTCCAAGATTCGATTCAGCTCAGGGTTATTTCCTTTCAACAACTATATAGTTAGAGTGATATATATCATAGACAGTTTTTTTTTAGGAAGGCTGTGTCATGCAAAATATTCTCCAATCATAATCTTACAATTTGGTCAGAGTTACAAGTTACATGAGATTTCATTTTTTTAATCTAATCTTCTTAACCTCTCAATATTCTTCAGTAAAACTTCCATAAAAATCTCTCAAGGAAGGATATTATAAATACTGATTGTTTTTCCTAATTTCCAGGTGTTGTATAATATCAATAGACTCCCTGCCAATATACAAAAGTCGTCTGCTTGAAATGTTTCAGCATTTTCTTAGCAAAAGATATCGGTCGTGGAAATAGAAGAGAAAAGATCAGAAAGAGTTTATCGTTTCAATATTTTGTTCTTCAACCTGTACTATCATTGTTGTCATTACCAACTCTGTCATGACAATAAGTGTTGCCATCTCTTTCGACAGTCGAAAATCAGTTCGTTGTGGTATCTTCCCCGGGATCATTAAATCTATCGCAAAGACTCCTACCTACCTGTGTCACAAAATTCTGCTAGTGCAGTCTAATGCGTTCATATTTTACGTCTTTATCCTTTCACAACTTCATTGCCATGATCCCATCTTGGGATTACGGACCCTACACTCGCACTACACCGCATAATCAAGATTTCGACGACTGAAATTATTTTATGATTATAATTTAATTTTAAAAACCATCTACCAATTACCCTATAAATAAAAAAGGAGCAAAGCTTCCAGCCAGATCTCGCAAGACTTGACTATGTGATTGATACATGTCTCCTTCTTAACAGGATCCCTTATCCACTTTTCTCAAGCTTCCTCAGTAAAATCCTCGTTCCATGTCGTGGAATAACCATCGTCGTATACCCCATCGTAAGTTTCTTACTATCATCTGCTAATTTAAATTCATAATTCGTCAATAAATGCGCGAGGATTTGCTTCAACGATGCGCTGACGTACCAGCGGCCAGGACTAAAGGAAAAGTTAGCATATATATCACATTTTGACAGAAAAAATATATAATATATACTCACCAAGCCTTCTTACTAGCTCCCCAGAACGGAAACCCAGTATTAACATCCGTATACTTCATCCTCGGTTCTTCTCTTCCTCTATCCTCCGGAAGCACAAATCTAAACCCGTCAAACGTCTCAGGATCATTATAATATCTCGGAGATTTCATCAATGCATCTTGAGGAACTGCGATAATATTACCCTTTGGGATAATCTGACCGGAAGAAAACGTAAAAGGTTTCATGACTTTGCGTTGAATGGAAAGAGCATCGAGGGGATTCATACGAGCTGATTCGCGGAGAAAACTTTCCATCAAAGGCATGTTTTTGTATTGTTTTTCCTCGGGGAAGGAAAGCATGGTGCGGATTTCTTCGGTGAGGGGTTCGATGTATTCGGGGTGTAGACAGAGATTGTAGATTGTGAAGGTTAGGACGAGAGGGAGTTGATGGGCGGAGGCGAAGGTTAGAGCGATCATTTGTTGGACTATGCGTTCTACGGTGCGTTGTTTGGGAGTTGTAGATGATTCCTGTAGGGGGTTAATAATTTTCAATTAAAAGATGTGAGAATTGAGATTCTTACGATAACCCAAGTTATGCAGTCAGACTATGGCAAGATTAGAAATTGTCTCCTGATGAATTTCGCTATGACTTACAGGCAAAGTCTTCTTCTCCTCAATATCCCTCAGCCGTTGAATAACCAAAGGTCTAATATGCGTCGCTAGCTTTTCCATTGCACCACTCCAAGCCATGATTGCGGGGCAAGCGTACCTAATCAAAATCAGAATTGAAGATATGTGGAAGAATAGGATACTCACGGGATAATGAATGCAGGCATATAACGACAGAATTCCATCGACAAAATTACATCGTTGGAGTATCTCAAAACGGCATCCACATAATCTTGATTGTTTGCTTGTAAAGTGTTAGCAAAACTAAAAGTCAAGTAAAAGACCGCCTTTAATGAATATACCTAGTTCATCTCCAACAAGCACTTGACAATTGATTCTCAAGCCTACCGCTTCCGATAAACCTAATACAGAAACTGAAGTCCAGTCTACTCTAAAGTCAGTAAGGCTATCTCGTCATGAAAAAGGATGGCATTAAAATTCCTCACCATTGATAACCTTTCCTTTGGACAAAACTTGGGAAAAAGCTTCCTCAATCTTTTGCTGAATCTTAGGTCTCAATGCCGGTTGATTTGTCCTCAGTAGAAACTTGAGAACTCTTCCTGGGACAGTGTCATGAGGGTCAATAGTTCCTTGCTCAAAGCCATAGAATGTGTATTTTGCTTTTACTCTCTACATCCACACCGTTAGTTAAAAGGTCATTTTATTTTGCACTATTGATTCTCAACAGAAATGAATAAACTTACATCTTCCATAGCATCATGCAAAGATAAATGATCTTGAGAACTTTCGTTTACTTCCGCGATGTGCTCCTCTGACGAGACAAAAACTTGGTACTCATCAAGAGCAGGAATAGCAAATGGTTCTCCCTTTGCCTAAATCTCAGTTAGCTTTGCTTTGAAACAGGACTTGCCATCAAGGCATGGTGTAAAACACCTGATCGTAGGCTTTTTGAATAATGTCTGGAGCATTGAAGACATATTTGATGCTGCTCAACCACTTTCCCCAACGCAACTTAGGTCCGGAAATGAGTATATTTCGCTGTCAAAGTTAGCGACTGCTCGATAGCACAGGAGGAGAAAGATCTACTCACGGGTCGATTGCGGTAGATAGACGTTGTGACATATAGTCTATTCAAAATGATCAAAATTACACAGGTATCGAACACCACCTCAGAGGTTATCCTCCAAGCACTTGCTTGAGAGCGAACCAGTTCGAAAAGTTCCTGAAGCATTTTGACAACACGTATTGATATTGTGACTGTGACTATGACTATGACCAAAACCAAAACCAGAGTTCACGAGAAGAAGAAAGTCAACCTAGTCAAGAGTATATCGCGTAGCAACTACCTCAAGACGCCTATTACCGAACTAATATGATACACGAGAAGGTGGGGGGGATCTGATATTGAGGCTTCGCATCAGGCAGAACAATTAAAATTACCAACTCGCATTCATTCTTAAGCCGAGCCGTGATAGCAAGCGCACCATCGACGGCGGCGGTGAGATAGATATTAGCCGCTGACATGCCAACTTTTGAACGTGATGAACCGATTGTGATATTAAGTCACATAAGTGCCGGAAACACAGGTAATCTTACCTCCGATAATTCATTAATTCATTAGAATACCCATTAAAACTTAATCGTTCCTTCGCGCAACGCAGACACAATAACATGAAGTGCGGGGCAGATCATACAGAGCGAGCAATGTAGCTTCGGGAGCCAAACCGTTTTGAGCAATTTCCCGAACTGGCAGTGGGGCGAAAGTTCGCACCATAGAGACAAGTTTGGTTGGTGCACGAAGTGGTGCATGAAGAAACGTTGAAGCCTACAATAGTACAATATAAAAAGTCTGGGCAGGTGAATTAAACACATAAAGTTAAGCGCAATCGATTAATGTCGATTTCTGGACCGTGTTACTGGAAATTGCGAATTGTTGCTTTACCGGAGGATTCTAACCTTGACAGAAACATATACCGAAAAACGTGGAAGTCATCACAGTGGGATGAGAGATCATTGGTCGAATTTTCAAATATATAAGCTTGTCAAAATTATTGCAATATATCTTTGTGCTGTGCCATGCTACGGTTATGTGAGGCTTTTCGTTTTGGCTTTTTAGGGTTGTTCAAATGTGTGGTGGGGAACATGACGCTGGGATTTTGTGATTGGGGTCCAAAGATGATCTTCTTCAAGCCTGGGTACGAAAATAGTGGTGTGATGAAGAATATGTCAGCGGCGGTGCTCTCTTTTCATTAAGCTAATATCCTTTCAGATAATAAATAAAGTATGGTTACAATATCAATACGCACGTCGATTTAAATTCTTTAGCGTGGAAGCAGGAGACTGTATCGGTGCATATTTGATAGTCTCAATATATTATTCTCATGGTTCAGATATTAAATTGCACCGCACGTGTTGTACAAAAGTGGGATGTGCCGGATGTAATCGCATGGCAGTGTAGCATTGCCTCGGTAGCCTACCTATTCATAGAATGTTCAAAGTAACATTGAAGGGATTGATTTCTAAAATCAGCTTTTGAGTTTGAATTGCTGATCGTAGTCAGCATCCTGCAGCGCGTTGGGGTACTTTGTTACTCATAAAAATACTGAGGTGAGAGTTAAGTAAGGTCAGTGAACCTTTCGAAAAGTGGTTCTATGCTGTAATTCTAACCGAGCTGAATCAGTGAGCATTTGGCCTAGGTCAGGGGTAGTTTTCCCTAGGGTATGCGGGGTGATGCGCCCCCTCTATGCGCCTGGGAACTTTTTTTTGCTTTGTAAAGGGATATCCTTGATAGAATCATCTGAAATTATAGCAAAAATAATCGCGGCTAGAAGTAAAAGTTACCTTGGTGATGTTGAATATCATCCGTGAAGTATGTCGGCACTAGGTGACATTCAAAAGGATGAGGTTGATTCTAGGTTCTGGTGGCTGACTGTGACGTGATTGGTCAGCAACGACTGCAGAGTAACAATGTGTCTACCGTGACAATTTAGCACAGAGACGTTGGCAATGAGATGAAATTATAATAAATCAAAATCTGGGTATTTACTATATGAATTTTAAAACGAAGATAAAAGAATATTCCTAAGCCCCCCCAAAATCGTAAGACATCCGTTATGCCTGCCATAATCGTTGCTTTAACCAACCCAAACTTTCCACATAAACTATAAACCATCCAACACCCACTGAAATTAAACTAGACGTGCTCATAATAGGTACTCTCACGCTCTGGTCCCGTAGCGAGCTCGTGAGTAACCTCATATCGCTGTTTGACCCTGACATTGTCCAATGGAAGAATGTTCTGCTCGCTCGTTACACTACTTGCTCCATCGGTAGGACTATGATTGTTTTTTGATTCTCCCGCTCGCACATAGTTGTCTCTACCAGTAAATGTATCAAGTGTTCCCATCAATCTATTTCTCTTGTTGTTGCGTAGATAGACTTCGCAGGCTTTGGGTGGTGTGTATTTGGAAGGTTTCGTGCCTTCTTCCTTGGAGAAAAGGCCGCGGATAGAAGCCATGCAGACCACTACGATTGCTGAGAGAAATGAATGTTAGATTGACAGTCCTCTACAAAGATATGTAAAAGTGGAGGCTTACCAATTGTAGTCTCAATAGCGGACCACATGTAAAGCCAAGAAGTATCAGGCATACGGGTCAATGAGCTGACGACTGTAGTTCTTACAATGGCGAAAATGATTGTGATAAGAGCCAGAGAGAAAATGATACCGAAAGTAATCTTTCTCTTCATTTTCATTTGCGTTCCCCACAACATACTAATTGGAATAACCATTACTATGCAAGTTAGTCAATGCTAACTCAAAGAAAAGATAATAAAACTTACTCAAAGCATCGGTCAAAACATCCCAAACACAGTTCAACTTTAAAGTAACTTGCTGGAAGTTTACCGCAGAGTCCGTGGTGCATTTTGTTTCAATTGTTGTCAAAGGAACGAACAAACAATGATATTGAATGGTACCAATGCAAGCAAAGTAAGTGCAGATGGTGAAAATAGTTATTGGCCACCATATATATTCAACCTTTGCAACATGCGAACCAAGTCGTCGAATGAAGAGCAAGAAAGAGAACTTGACAGACCATAAGGTCGAATAGAAAAGGATAATGACAACTCCAGATGCTCTGGAATAAGCCTCACTTCTGGCAACGAAATCTGCTCCAGGCATTTTGATCTGAGCAGATACGGCCATAAGATCGAACATTTCTTGAGCGTGAATCTGCCATAGTATTGCGCTGGCGAGAGCGAGAGCCAAAGCGAGGAATGCAAAAATATCGTCGTTGTAAAGACTTTTGAAGGTCTTGATTCTAGAGAATGTACGTAAGGCCATGCATATTGCTGCGATTGCAAAACCTCCCCATATAACACCCTGATAGAATGTTAGTTATTTCATTAGCGGCAAGGTTATAACAAGTGCACGTACCAAGAAGGTTTGCATATCAACCTTTGTTGGCTGGACTGCAGCCATTGAGCCTGGGGCAGCGGAAGACGTAGACATGGTGTATGATGCTTCAACCTTGAGGAAGTTGGTTGGGATATTGAATCAGTGGAGAAGGATTTTCCACAATACAAGAAAAACAGCGTGCTCTTCAAATCTCTGAACGTGGAGAGAAGGTAGTGCTTATCTACTGCCATTGATTAGTGAGATGCCACATGGAACAACAAGGATGTGGCGCAGTTGTGGGGTCTTCTCGATCACAACACTTTAGGATGGGGTCTCCGTGGAAGTCAATGAAACCGCCCATTGTAATCAGTATGCCCACTGTGCCATAACAGATGCATGGCAGTGCCATTAATCTACTAGAGTGGTGTAAGCGTTAAATTAGCAGAGTTACAATCTTTGTAATAGCTTCTGCAGCATTTCTGCAAGAATCTCATAGTTATTCAGTCGTCTACCTCCGCTAAAGCCTGTGGAGACCCCCAATTGCGTTAGATGCCGAGTCCATGCCCCTGCATGCATTCGTGATTGCCCCTCTCGACCCACGTCCTCACTAATCACACTAAAAACTGTCATCACAAAATGGCATTATTGTGCCAAATCTTTATTTATATGCCTATCTAAATTGTGTGACAGGAGGAGTCACGGAGGAGTGTGTCAAGTCCCATTTTTCCAGCCGCCGGCTGGATATGAGATCGGCGTGTGCCATGTGGCCAGTGCGTGTAATTTTGTGCAATCACATTTGCTACAAATCCACCTGCCTATCTTGGGACTAGCAATCTCGTCACCACATGGCTGAGTGTGATATCATCGTGTGTCTCGCATATCTCGCGTGCGGAGAATTATTATCGATGATATTGCACGTTTAATGAAGATTGTATCTTGTTTGGTGTATGTCCGTGTGGAAAATCCAAACAATTAAGTTTTTTTGTGCCAGATTTTTGTGACAGAACCGTTATTCGGGTTCCATGCCACGTGCAACGTCTATGTCGACATCTGGACGACCCGTTGGTATGGGACAGCGGCTGGCTCATGATACTACTACACTTTGACGCCGAAGTCTAAAATGGCATCCGGACCAAATTTAAAGACTAATGGTCTTTAAGAAGCCTCGGCCGTTCTAGATCATATTGTCACTTTGAATTTGAAGCCAGGCAGGCATAACGTAGGTGAATAGTGAATGCAGCAAAAAAGGCATAGAATTATAACTGAAGTGCAAGGATCTGGCAATTGGTATATTATTTCGTAGTTAAAAAATAATTTGTGAAATTTATTTGGACCTTTCAACGCTACAAATAGGATAAAACTATATACATGAAAATAAAATAAAAGAACTATGGTATCGCAACTCCCGAGTTTGGTTTGGAAATTCCGCCCCCGCATTTTCAATATTGGTTATACTTCTCTCTTTCCGTCAAATCCATGAACACATCCATGCTTTTGACTGGACCCGTAATTCCAAGGGAAGGAGTGCTTTCATCCAAGACTGGAAACTTTCCATTAATTCCAGGCGCCAGCTTGACATCAAAGCGTCTGAAAATAATAGCAACAAAAGCGTAAACCTGCTCTTTAGCCATGACGCGTCCAGGGCAGTAGCTAATTCCGCCACCAAATGGTCGGTAAGAAGAATGCTTTAGCAAGCCCTTGTCTCTAACGAATCTCTCTGCATCAAAGTTTTTGTAATCTTTACCCCAAACACTCTCGTTCATGTGTAGTTGACGAGATGGCATGAGCACATTGGATCCAGGTTGCATTAATTTGTTACCAATCATAGTAGGCTGCTTGACTTGGCGACTCATCATTGCACCTCCGTTCAAACGTAGCGATTCTTGGAATGCGCCATCAAGGTTAGGAGAATTGGCACAGAGATATTTGATGTCAAGGCCACCGTCTTTCCAGCCTGCTTCTAATTCGTCGCGAACTCGCTCCATAAGAGGTACGTTGTAAACGAGATGTGCAATAAGCCAGAATGAGATATTGTACTCGTTTGAATTTGCACTTTGAATTGTTAGCAACTTATACTCAAATATGAAGATCAAAAAAATAAATGATCACTTACGCCCAGTAAATCAATAAAAGCATGCAAGCTCTGCTTTCGATATCAATGCCAACGATCTCTTGTGCTTTAAGAATCGTTCCAATTCCCCAAGCTTGACCAGCACGCTCGTTTTCCGGAAGACGAGCAAATTCTGCCATCGTCTTCTGCATTGTTTTGCGAGCGTTGGCTACTTTGGCAGAGAATATTTCTGGAAGGCCGAAGAAAACCATCCAAGCACTATCGTTGAAGTCCAACATGTTTTCCACAATGTTTGGATTGAGCTTATGGAGGGCTTTGTCGAACATGGAAAATGTTGCAGCTTCAACGAGGGTAGATCGGCAAAGAGCTTTTAATGAGACACGGCGAGTGAGACCATTTCTACTCAACGTACAAAAGTCCATCTTTGGTGGTTGGAGGGTGTCCTTGAGGGAAACGATGAATTTCTCGGACATTTCAGTCATGTGTACACCAGGAAGCAACTGGGCAATATAAACTTCCTCGATGAGCTTAACCAGAGATAGTTGCTTAGGGTTGACAGGATTCTTATGCATATAGCATTTGTCTCCAGGAATGGGAACATGCCAGGCCAACTTTAACGCTTTACCAGTGAAGCCAAAGTTAGAAAGAATTTGAGACAAGTGACCATCCCAACTTAGAGTGGCTACATTTCTGTAGACTTCTGCGACATCCCGAGGCCCTGTAACAATGTAGAACAGTTTTGAAGCCACTTGAATTGCGAAAGGTTCGTGAGTGCGACCAGTATAATCCCTAGAATACAATTATTATTATCACATTTCGGCTCAAGAACGTATGAATATGATAGCAGGAAAAGAAATGGATGTAATGAGATAAAAATGGAAGTGCCAACATACAAGCCACGCTCGATCAAACTATCAGAGTTTTGGAAGAAACTAAGACTGTGTCCCAGAACTACATACTGTCAGTAAAGTTTCAGCTAGATCAAAAGGAATACCTACATGGTACCCAGTAGGGAAGTTCAATAGGGTCTTGCGGTCTAAGATATGGTCGAATGGTAAATCTCCACAAACGCCATGATAAAAGCCAAACGCTGAATACAGCCGCAGCAAGAAAGTAAGGTTGATATTCACTTGTAGATATAAATCTCCAAGCGGGGTTGAGAAACATTGTGAAAGGGTTGTCACTCAATTGAGCCTTGTGAGATATGAATTATATGAAGTCAAGATGAGATGCTTGTGAGAACGAAAGGAGTACACGCGAATTTCTTCAAGTGATGATCCAAAGGGATCGGCATAAGTAGATATACTTTTCATACTCATCCCTCCACTGTTGACCATGATAGACACCAGGCAAACCGACTTCACCGATACTAGTCACATAATGCTGATTGTGCAATGGGGTCCTGTTCAAAATTCCAAATATCCGACGATGCGCTGCCCCTTGATCGCCCCCATCACCCACATGGGCGTCAATGGGTATTGAGATTCTGCCTTGAACTCCATCACAAATTACTATCACGAACTATCGTGATGAGATATTACCCAAATGAGAAATCTTCCGAGTTGTTAATTAATTATTTTCGAGTTCCTGCATGGACCACATTTTCACATCAAATTTATATTTCGTGCTAAAGCTGCGCACTAAAATTTAGTTTCACATCAGGTGACAGGGATTAAAATCATCCCCTGTTGATTTTCATGTACAAGATGGTATTTGCGTATCGACACGATAGATACCAAGCCTGTATCGACCTCCCTATGCAAGCTAAACCCCCAGGCATCAGCATAACTCAGTCTGGCCAAGTACGATCAGCAGCTTGTAACAGCCCCATCTGCAGTTAGCCACGGCTTTCAAATCTTAAGGGTAATTCTAATGTTTGGCAGACACCCCTGGTGGGTAAACGGTGAACGGTGCTTGTGTATCATGCCATGCACTTTCTCTCATCCAAGAATGGCGTGGAAGAGGTTCACAACATTTATGAGACAGAGGGTGTTGAGTTCTATTTCTACCTCTGATTTTACGTGCAAACATATTGCCCGCCACCAGACAAATAATTTACGATCTTGAGTGGTTCACAATAATCAGCCGACCATGACTTTGCAGCAAGACAGAGCTCTGTCCAGCAAGGACACCGAGTCTATCGATAAAGATATGAGCGCCGTGGCCATTACGGATATCTCAAGCCCCACAAGCCTTGGAAGCTCCGAATCTGACGGTCTCTTTCTTCACTCATGGCGTCTTGCGGCTGTTATCGGGTCTTTGTGCTTAGGAATTTTCCTCCTGGCATTGGACATGAACATTATCGCCGTTGCAATTCCTAGAATTACATCTGATTTTCATGCATTGGAAGATGTGGCCTGGTATGGCTCAGCATATCTTCTCACCGTTACGGCATTCCAACCTTTGTTCGGTAATTTATACAAATACTTTGATCCTAAGATCGTATATATGGGATCGATAGTTTTATTTGAGTGTAAGTCATTGAATGCAACAATCTGATGGTATCTGACTTAAGACAGTGGGGTCAATTCTATGCGCAGCAGCACCTTCTTCCAGTGTCCTCATTGGAGGACGATCTGTTCTAGGTTTTGGGGCTGCCGGGATTTATCAAGGAAGTCTTGCCATTGTCAATTTTGTGGTAGAACTCGAAAAGAGACCAATGTACCAAGGCATTGTAATCAGCTCTTTCGCTATCAGTGTCTGCATCGGGCCTGTACTTGGTGGTGTTTTCACTGACAAAGCTAGTTGGAGGTGGTGCTTCTGGATGTAATGATTCCCTTTATTTTGATACCCTGATGCTTTGACACATACTAATAATAAAATAGTAATGTACCTATGGGCGCTGTTGTCCTTGTCTTTATCTTGCTATTCTTCCGAATGGGAGGTACACAGAACTCAAATCGTTCCTTGAACCTTTCAACTAAATTGAGGCGTATGGATATTGGCGGAGTCCTACTGTTTTTAGGAGCAATATACTGCCTTCTTCTAGCATTACAATGGGGTGGACAGACTCTACCATGGAAATCTTCTAAAGTTATCGGATTGTTCGTTGGTTTTGGTTTGCTCATCATATCCTTCGGTATTTTACAATGGAAACGTGGTGAACATGCCACAATTCCATTGCGAATCCTTCGACAAAGATCAATTCTCATGGGAAGCATATTCCTTATGTTATTTGGCATGATGAGTTTTGTCTATGCTTACTACCTGCCCATTTACTTCCAATCCATTCAAGGCGTCACCGCTATACAAAGTGGCACCCGTTTCATCGCAATAGTCCTTCCTCAAATAATTGGTTTGTCGCTCACTGGGGCTATCGTCACAAAATGGGGATATTATGTCCCATATATGATTCTTGGAACGATAATTGCAATGGTCGGTGCCGGTCTTCTCACTACCATTGACACCAGTACTTCGACGGTACGATGGGCCGCATATATGGTAATCAATGGATGGGGTACTGGAATGGCACAACAGCTTCCCTACACTGCGCTACAGATTGTATTGAGTGAAGAAGATGCACCTACTGGAAATGCCATTGCGGTATTTATGTATCAGATTGGTTCTTCCGTCTCCGTTTCCATCGCACAATCCCTCTTTCTGTCAAGGTTACAAACCAGTGTACCGGCTCATACCACTGCTGTATCAGCAGACGCGATTATCAAGGTCGGCGCTAGTGGTTTGCAGGATTTGGCTGATGGATCGGCGATTGTCTTAGCTGCATTGAGAGAAGCGTACACAATTGCTATTAGGGATGCAATGTATTATGCCTTGGCTGCAGCTTGTTTATCTTTACCTTTTGCTTGTGGGATGCAATGGTTCAATCTCAAGAAGGTTGCGGAGGAAAGAAGGAAAGCAAAGGATGAGGGAAAGTCTGATGAGTTAGGAAGCTCGGCCATAACAAACAGTGTAGTTGGATCCGAGAAAGTCTAGGATGCAGGAGTATTTTGTGTGACATTCCAGAGTAATGTAATAGATTTTGTATAACACCTCTCTTGAAGTAAATTCTTGGCTAGATTTCTTGGCTAGATTGTTGAAATTTCCATAAGAACTTCCCGTTGACTGAACGAGATCAAAAGTCACAAGCAGGATTTTCAGTCACAATTCATATGGTACCCTATTGTCAATGGTATATTGATTCATCATTCATTAAGATCCGTTACGCCATAATTTAAATCCATCCTTCCTGTCCATATGATACCATCCAGCTCATAATCCAAGTAAAAATACAACCAAAACTTTATCCTCAACCCAAACCGTAATCGTGACTCCAGCATATTTCATGCCCCTTCATCCTACCACAACGCTAACATCAAAACCAAAATCTGTCACAAAACCACATAAGTAGTTGGTCGTCTTCGGGAATACCAAATTCCAGTCTAAGATTTGTGTGAGTTAATCAATACCTTTAAATCTTGAAGCATCATATAAGATTACATACCAGAATACAAATAATAGTATCTAAAAACTCGGATTAGTTGAAAATTTATTTCGGTAGATATATATACTTAGAGTATGTGTACTCACAATCCATCCAGTCCAGGCTCTCAACAGCAAAAGCAGCCTTTGCCAGCATACCCAGAAGTATCAAAATGACGCATGATATCTGAGTGGGAGATGTGTGTGTAGCTTTGCAGTTACTGGAGTATTGGGCATGGGAGTTATTGAAGTGTTGAAGTTGAGTCAAGCGCTGGTCGGCGAGGAGAGCGGGGAAATGCATCTTTTGTGTTTGAGGAATGCGTGTGTATGTATGTATGTATGGGGTAGATAGCAGGAAAGAATACCGAAAACAGATATTGAAGTAATTCGTCTATTGATATACTTGTGATTTTTCTTATAGTATAAGGTTACCAAGAGAGTTGGAAGGGTGTTTCGAAATATCGCTTGGCGTGGCTTTCTGGTGAATATCATAGACATAGATAGACACAGCCTGGTTAGGTACCTAGTATCAGATATCAAATATCAGGCTATCTTTTAACAACGGCCGATCATGGGTAGAAAATTGATGTAGCGTAGCGATGCTTCCTGTACCTGAGCGGGGGCGGATATGCTAGTCTAGCACAGTGGATAACCATGTGAGTAGCCCCAGCACAGTGGGTAAGCTACATCACAGTTGATTAGGCCCCCAACTTTGATGATCTGAGCCTTCACAGACTATCGACTATCAAAAACTAAAAACTACCGAGTATCGTTCGACACAACTTTCCCCCATTATTGAACACTGCAATGCCTCAAAATTGGTAATCTAGTTGCGTAACTTCCTAAATCGTCATTTGCTCCGTTTTGTTTGTGATTTTTTTGGGGGCCACTGATATAAATGTAAGATCTTACCGGCTATGCAACGGCTTTGCTAAGTGCTTACTCTGTATGTCTCATTTAATGCACAGTTAGATGATTGGTTAAATTTCCGACTTGGTGCGGATATTTTCTCGATACTGCTTTATCAGGAATAGAATAATAGAGGTGATCAATTTTCAGCCCAGAAAAGCATAATAAATTGATGGATGAACATCATTTGAAAATAAACATCTCTCCACACCTAATCACAATTAAAAATGTGCGGAGGTACATCACAGAGTAATCCCCTTTGGACCCTTACAAGTGTAAGCTCGAGGTTGAATTCTCTTATTAATTCAATCATCTCCCTGTAATTTGTTTTAAGCGCTGTGCCTTTCGACCGCATTCCCTGCCTGCGGACACCCCATGCCAAAGTCCCATATTTCCATTTTCGGGTTTATCGCCCGAGAAATTGTTTTCGACGCGAAGCTTGGAAATTATTAATTGTTCTCTTCTGGTTTGTGAATAGCATCCTTCATCACAGTTGTTGTTATTGTTTAGTTGACAATCATGGCTGGCTATTCATTATTCCTAGGCTTTATCATTCCCGTGGCAGGATGGGTTTTGTACGTGCTGTATTGTTTGGCTGTCAACTACAATCTAGCTAGGAAGACAGGTCTACCCCTCGTGATCTTGCCCATCGATTCCGGTAATCCTCTTTGGATGGCCGTTGATACAAAAATTCTACCATACTTCAAAAATCTACCTTTCACCAAAAACTTTACCCGTTTCAATTATCGAGGATGGGAAATTCACGATCGATTCAGAGCGCATCAGGAGATAGGCGATGCATTTATCCTCGTGACGCCCGGGAAGAATTGGTTACAGCTTTGCAATGCAGAGACTCTAATCGACATCAATGCCCGTAGTAGGGAATTTACCAGGCCAACGGAGATGCTAGCGATGTTAAACGTCTTTGGACCTAATCTTGGGACAACGGAAGGAGCTCAATGGCAGCGTCATCGCAAAATCACAGCCACATGTTTCAATGAGAACAACAATGAAATTGTATGGGCAGAAGTAATTCGTCAAGCAACCGGAATGCGAAAGTATTGGTCATCAAAATCTTCAATCAATACTATTGGCGATGATGTACGAACACTGTCATTACACGTCATGTCTAGTGCTGGTTTTGGGAAATCATATCCGTATCAAGGAGCAGAGGAAGAGTCTAGTACTCAAGGCTCTGCTAATATCAGAGATGCATTGAAGTTGATATTGGATAATTGTATCGCTTTGGTTGCTCTAGGTCCCAAAAATTTGGATAAATGGTGGTTACCAAAAAGTTGGAAACCTCTTCATGATGCAACCGTCACATTCCAGAACTACATGACAAATGCATATGAAGAAGGGAAAAAAGCTGCAGCGGATGGAAGCACACACGGGAATAATCTGATGACTTCACTTGTACGTGCGTCTCAAGCGGAGAGCAAGGAAGCATCGAGTCAGGGTGGCTTGACAGAGCAAGAAATTTATGGAAATATTTTCGTATTCAATTTTGCTGGTCATGATACCACTGCCAACACATTAGCTTTTGGTATTGCGTTAATTGCTACTCGTCCTGATGTTCAAGATTGGATTGCAGAGGAGATTAACGAAGTATTCGGTGATCAAGAACCAGAAACTTCAAACTATGCAGAGATATTTCCACGTTTGAAGCGCTGTCTCGCTGTGACAGTAAGCAATCCCCAAACAATCCATCAAATGCATAAGATCTCAAAAACTTACTAATTCTCCTACAGTACGAAACAGTACGTCTCTACACACCAGTAGCCATCGTCAAAACCAGTGGTCCCGAACCCCGAGAACTCAAAGTCAACGACTCAACTCACGTGCTTCCACCACACACCATGATCATACCCAGTTACTCAGCCATGCATACACATCCCCGACACTGGGGATCTAATTCCCTTGCCTGGGAACCTTCACGTTGGATCATACCCGCTTCGACTTCTCCATCTGACACCGCACTTGCATCACCTCCATCTCAACCAAATACTTCAAACCTCGCTACTGAAACATTCCTCGAGTTCCCAAAAGCTTCTAATCCATTTATTGCCTGGTCAGGCGGCGCTCGTGTTTGTCCTGGGAAGAAATTCTCCCAAGTCGAATTTGTAGGTGTATTGGTGGGATTGTTTAAGGATTATAGGGTTAAACCTGTACAGCTTGAGGGAGAGAGTGAGAAAGAGGCGATAGAGAGGTTGAAGGGGTTGATTAAGGAGGATACGGGGTTTAGATTGTTGTTGCAGTTGTTACATCCCGAGAGGATGTTTTTCAAATGGGAGAAGAGAGTTTGATAGGTTTTTTTATGGGATGGGGGGGAAGGGGGTGGTTTGGGGTGGATATTTTAGAGTGCGAGGGGGGATGTAATTTAGAATTTCAATTTTGGATGTATAAAATTCTTCGATAATTTTCTCTCAATCTGAATATCATGATTTGTTTTCACATAATAATAAGCACAGAAAAATGAGCTATCAAGGTAGATATCTCTTGACTGTATCAAAGTTGTGTGAGTTAATATCTGCTTTGAGCATGCAACTAATGTTACAATTCCAGTTTTCTAGTCTAGTCATCGAAAGAAAGACGAAAGTTTACTCATTGTCACACACTATCACATCACTTCTTATCCTCACTATAAGATTTCACAACCTCTACTATCATCCATGTTTTTTTTTATCAGCGTCATCCTCTCACACCAATTAACAAACAAACTGTTGGTACGAGAAGGATACGGAAGACGTAGCACCCACGGATTACGTAGGTCCTGTATGTCTAATTGTATTCTGTCTAAAGAGCTAGCTACATATTGAAAGTAGTAAGTCTTATATAGACTTACTAAAAGAGCTAGTCTCTTTCGCGTTCGCTTAGTTCTTTATTACAGTAGTAATTGAATTGAAGTCATTCACTTCGTTCACACACAAACCAAAACCTTCCCATTCCCATTCCCTACTCTAGAAATCTTTACACATGGGAAGATAATATATTACTATCCACTAGACTTTTCACCATGATTCCGAACGTATCATATGTAACCCATCAGCTTCAGTCGAATCTAGGTATTTTAATTTGGGTTATTTATACTTTTTAGGGGGAGAGAAGGGGGAGAGAAGGGGGGAGGAGGTAGGTAGCTATAGGTGTATAAAACTCGATGGATTTTTTAATCTTGTTCTTTTGGAAAACATAAGTTTTAGAGGAAAGAGAATGTTAAAAGCATGACGAATATAGTGTTAGATTTGGATTATTATTGATAACTCAATTTTTGGATTTATATAATTTTGATCTGGATGTAGAAGTGTAGGAATCTGTTGACCTCCCGGGATCTTGGCAGCATATGCATATATATTGCATGATGCATATAAGGAGCAAACAAAACTCAACTTTTAATTCATTCTTTCCTTTTTGGTATACTGTTTGTTTGCTTTCAATATTTTGATTTCAAAGCACTTTAATTCCGAAGGCCGAATACCTAACCCTATTCCTTCATTTTTTGAATATATACTCGCAGCTTAACTGCTTAGCTAGAGAATCAATCAATTCAATCTGATGCTCTTTCTGGTCTCAAGAAACCCAATAGAATCTGATTCGTATTTCTGTGAATTTTCATTGTCATTGACATTTCTCATTATCCTTTCCAGTTCTTATTGTGTCAATATTTATTATTTCCACCTATTCATCCTCCATCTTTTTATCATGCCACTCCACATCACTTCTAAGATCTTACCTCCCATCTTTCCCATCTCTGGTCATGAACAAGTAGTTCAGATTTTTGATTGCGATAGAAAAATCTCATTATATATAATCTTAGGTAAACACAAGGATCAGACTGGATTTATCTCCCATGATTTATGTGCAATATGTTTTGCTGCAATGGTGAAGCTATAGACGCCACCTTCGCGTCTGCCTTTTGTGCTTTCAGGACTCGAAATGCGAAATTAAGATTCACATCTCGGTTATTTTGTTATGAGAAAATTGATCTTTTTTTTACTATTTTGGAAGTTTTTGGAGAGCTGCCGGTGTTCAGATGTTAGGATATCAGTATGATACACTATAGTAAGCTTAAATTCCAAGATAGAATTAATATAGTAGAGAATTATTGATGCCAGTCCCTGATCTGCTATGATAATTCTTCAGAAATATCACGCAAGAACACTCTAGATCCAAACTCCCAACCTAGATGCAGAAGAAATCCCATCCCTAGGTATTTTGGCCGATGCACGGTATAAATAGACTTCTTTCCTTCTCATGCACTTTCCTTCCTCATAGATGGTAATTTGTTTCGTCCTACGCTCTATGGTTGTCTCTGGCGTTTCAGGGACAGCTTCAAACCTTACTTTGCTACTAAAAATCTTATTCTTGCTACATATACCTCCAGGATCCAATTCTTTGATCAGCAAAGTATTGTTGTCGATTATTATTTTCTGTTCTTCTTTTGATATTATGACGTTGTTACTGCCATTTTCTCTCTGTCACCGTCGGCATGGTAGTATGACGACGGTAGGAATAACTCTACTTAGATAATTCTGCTGATTTTCAATAAACCACATCATCCTAATATCCGATCGTAGCTGGAGAATGTTCCCAATAATCTGTAATTTCATCCTGCCACGAAGGACTGGAGGTCCTGATATATTTCATGGTTGAAGAAGGTATTATCTCCAGATCGAGCTTTTATACTCGCTTCGGATAAGGGGGCTGGAAGTGCAGCACTTGAATAGAATATTTTGGATATCCTAAAATCTAAAGACAGATAGTGGTAAGACTTACAAACTAATTCTGAATTTTAAAGCTTCCTAGTCCTCCATTTCGTAGTATAAAAGCTCTTCTGCTTTCCATGATGATTTGCTAAGTGTTTCTACAAACAATCAGCCTCATTCTCAAGCAGGGCACTGTTCGAGCCGAGTAATCGAGAAGACTCTTTTGATACCACACCAAGTACTCAGCATTCGTCACTTCTTTTCAAGTATGGCATTCGGGCGCACAACCCCTTAGAGTTATCTCAAGTTCGTTGTTTTTCAACTGTGCAATTTCGAAGACTATCTTGTAGTCATCTTATATCTCCACATTAGGACAATAGATTAAATGCATTCAATTTGTTGCTTCACTACTCAAGATTTTTTAGTACTCTAAACTCTAATATGAGATAGATGATCCCAAGAGAGTTCATCCCACACGATGTCCCTTCCACGTTCCAGGAGATCTTAGTCTGTCCATATGAAGCCGCGTATTAGCTCCTCTTCCAATCTTCATAAAGTTGGTCAAGCCTTAATTTCCTGAATCTCAAGTTGTCGCACTTTGTGGTGGCAGGATGCGGATACCTTTTAGATGTTTGGTTATTCGAGAATAGTCTAGGCTTGAGATGTTGTCTAGAGTTCTTTGGTATAATATTACGAGGACTGATGCAATTTTTTGCTATAATTCAGTTTCTTTCACTGTCATGTGTGATGTCGGCTGTCAGTATTATTGAAAAGCGAAGATTTATTTGGACAAACTAATTGATTGACGTTAGTGAACGATACTGAAAATAGCGAGTCTTAGAGGGGACACCAGGGACTGAAAGATGAAAAAAAAGGCAAGATATCCCTTAGTCAGTACAGACGGAGGAAAACCTGGAGCCTGCAGGGACAAATTGTGCAAAAGTTCATACAAACTCATCGCAGAGTGTCTGAATCATACCAGGAACAAACTCGTGGGCCGTTTCAGTAAACTTAGCCGTGCCACTAATTAAAGGGGGAGTTCATTAGAAATAGCATTTTTTTTCATACTGAGAACTTTGTCGGAAACCGGTATATCACATCACCTGGCAGGAATATCGTACTCTCACAGTATGCGCTGAGACTAGTTAGATATGGCTGGATTTCAAATAGACAGGAGGTCAGGCGCCATTATAAGGGAACTGTGAATACAGATTTTCAGTACCTACTATAAAGTAACACCTATTAGATGCCTAAAATATATTGCAAAGTCTGGGATCCAAATCACTAGGAGATATATTAATGATCAATCTACATAAAAGCCGGGAATTTCCCCAAAAAAAAGGTATCAAGATATAAATGTCAATCTTGATCTCGAAAATCATTATCCACCGCGGAATTACGTATTATAACTTAAGCAATTGCTCTAACTCTCATTGTCACAATATATAACGACGTTATAACTATCAGCCATATCTCATCTTAGTACGCACCATCATCTTCACTTCCACAACTATCAATCAGCGAAAAAATCTAGCTAATTTCCAAAAATTACGTATCTCAAATCCTTAAAGAAAACCTACCTACTAAATCTACAAAGCCTTCCCTTCCCAGCTATTTAACTTCACTTCCCACAAAGTTTTCAAAATTACTTTACGGGAAAAATATAAAGATGAAGATGTAGTAAACTCCTGGTTTTATAATATTACATACCAAGTATCTATCTATATGTTTTTGCACTGAAGCAGGAAATTACGCTTTATTCGTGGGACTTTATTTTATATTGTTACTGTGGAATTGGATTTTTGGTATTTGAATTGAAGATTTCTTCTAGTAATTAATTATATATATGGCGGTTGCCCAAGAATCTTTAGTATGATTAGGAGTTTAGGTAATTTTTCATCAGTATCAAAACTTTCACTGGTAAAATTTAGATTTCGTGGTAAATCGGGCGAATGTCTCTTTGAGTACGCCTTGGGAAAGAGTCGAGATTCTCGACGCCCGGAGAGGTCATCACGAGATTTTTACTAGAGCAACATGAGTCTGGAGCCCATGGTGCGATAAATATAATACATTGGAATATGAACACTTCCTTCCTCTTTCCACTGTCATATTCCAGTTCATTCATACGAGATTAAATCGTTGGAGGTGATAGTTTCAGAAAATCTGAACTCGGACTCCATATTATTAAATGTCTCATTTTCTACTGGCACTACGAAGCTGATCTGTTAATCAATGAATAATATGTCAGGAATTGAATTACGAAATCTGCATCAAAGTCGGCATATTTTATACTTTAATATCTCTAACCTGATAACAATAATCAGTTTCTACTAGGAAGCATCTATATAAAGGAGAGTTGTTATAAGACTATCTTATAATATATTTCCAAAGAAGATAGCTATATATAATTATTCACACGATAGGTTTTTGAGTATTATCTGAATTATATTCACCTAGTATATATGAGAGTTTTTAAAGTATCTACTTTTATTTGTTTTTATATTTTACTTGATATACATATATAAATATATACAATAAATTCCATGAATCATTCATAAATTTCCATTCAGTTGCTATACCAGATAGGCTGAAAACGTTTCTACTTCCTTTTCCCCCCCCTTCCCAACCCAAGAAAGAAAAAAAACCATCAAATATCATCAAAAGATCTTTGGTGAAGAAATTGTCAACCCTTGACAAGCTCAAAAAATTCAAGCAGTAACAGTAACAGTCACAACATCAGTAACCGTAACATAATCCGTAATCATATCCGTAACAACATTCGACGCAGCAGTAGGAAGCGGTGCTGTAGTAACAACCGCCGAAATAGCCGATGTAGCAGAGACTTTTTTAGAGCAAGATTTTTTGCTAGAAGAAGAAGAAGAGGATGCAACAATTGCTGTAGTAGTAGGGGATTGAGCAGAAGTAGAAGCAATAACAGCAGCGGAAGTTGAGGCGCTTGATGCAATTCCAGAGGAAGCCTTTGATGATGAAACGGGTGCGGCTCCAGTGGCTACTGCTCCAGATGTACCTTGAGAAACAGAAGCAGTAGCGGAAACCCATTGAGTAGGACCAGGAACCACATATGAAGCGATAGAAGCATAAATATTAGCGCTTATACCCGGTCCATTCTCAGAATAGAGAGCAGTGCCCAGAGTGGTATCTGAGTCTGCTGGGGTGGTCGTTCCGGTTCCCGATACCCAGAGGTTAACGCATTGTGGGTAGTTTTGTGCACCATCTGCTTGCTCGGCGGAATGAAGAGCAATGATTTCGTGGCGAAGAACGTAGCCTCCTGGCGCTAGTGATTCTGGGATGGTCACAGACCAGGAGGAATTATTTTCGATGAGTTGATCTGATGCCCATGTACCTGGAATGGTGGTATCGTCGATAAGACCCACGCCATCTATTTTGAAGAATTTGAGCGTGGTTTTGTCTACGGTTGTGCAATCATTTCCGGTACATGCCGCGAGGTAGTCTGGGGTAATTTATTAGGAAAAAAGTATATTTAATAAGGTTCAATATAAGCATACCAAGAACTGGTCCGTGGTGAGATGATGGCCAAGTAGTCCATTGCAAGTTTACCTCCGTGCCGGCAGTAACATTGACATATCCTTTAGCATTGGTAGCGCTCAAATGACAAATGATATCAGATGTACCATAAGCATCTGGTGAAATAAATCCATTGCTCAAATCATCTGGATCGGACCACCCAGCAACGACTGGAGCGACTTGTTCATATTGGAAAGATGGATTGTAACCTTCGTACCTGTTGAAATATAAGCTTCTATTTACCGAAAGTTTCTCTAAAGTTTACGTACCAGACGCCATCGGCGACGATACCTTGAACACGTCCATGTGCTGCAACACTAGAGATGAAAGCGGCACTAGCCACAACGACCATCTTAGAGAAAGACATTTTTGATGATGAGAATTTGAAATTGATGCTAATGATAATGACGGACGAAGATTTTAAAGTGTGTACGATGAAAAAATGAGTGTTAAAGTTTTCTTCAATCAATGAAGTAATGAATGTAGATAGTCACCGAGGACTGTGTAAATGAATGTGATGGATAGTAAAGAAAAAAGCGTTTGATGAACGATGAATTCATTCAGTCAATAGCCAAGAGAAAGATACTTATATAAATGTACAGAAGGAAACTAATCCTGTACTTTATCATCAGATGAACTGATTGACATTAGGGATTCAATCTAGGTACAGAGAAAAAGAAACCAAATACCCCCTCCCCTCGTCATCCTTGAATCAATCAATGATGATTTATTGTTTGTGAAACTCCTTTTAGGAGGGGAATTCAAAAAAGGATAGAAACATGATTAAAAGCTTATGCATAGCAGCCATAAAGCTTGAATTAGATTGGATGAAAAATTGATGGTGGTGAGGTTCAATAGTAAAGGATGCATTCATGGCGGTAATTCGCAATATATTTGTTGCTCGCATGGATATTTTTATGAGGGAAGGGTGATGACCCATATTCATTGACATCCTTTGTATGTTTTCGGCTTCAATGCGACTGTTATCCGAATTATCCAGATGGATGGGATAACAGATGGGCCGATGTCCGTATCCTTTCTGGGTACTTGGCCATTATAGAGTTCGTATACCGAGTATACCCTACCCTATAAAGCACAATATAACTAATACTTTATAAACCTAGAGCTATAGATCTATTCATAAATATTTATCATACATCATTCTAAAATCATCAAAAATCTAATTCATAATTGTGTAATCTAAACTATATTATACTAAGAAATTATCAGAAATAATTCCTCATTTGAATACTTCGAATTTTAATACAGTACAATACATCTAACCTTCCTTCCCTCCGATATCTCACAGACAATCTACCCAACCCAACCCAGCACGATGGTCATCCATCCATTCCATCCCTCTCTACCAGGAATAACCCGGGGTATAATCCACTCGATAACGGTCCTAGTGGTCCTGCTAAGAAAAAGATGAGATGAGATGAAAAATGGATACCAAACCCTCCCTTACTTCCCTTCATAATTATGAAGCAATAGTACGGACAACACGAAACACAGCATCGAGTAATTCTCCCCTGCAAACCCGATTAGTGTAAATTCGTCTGGTCTGTATTACGCTGTTATTGTTTCGAGTATGTACTCCGTCATGCATGTATTTTCCGACCCAGTACATTAAAACTTCAGAATAATCTAGAGAAGAAACTTCGCTTCGATGGAATAGACAAATAAACAAACAAACAAACAAATGAAAAAATAAATAAATAAATAAATGACCAATAGGTTAATTAATAAAAGCCTGGGTTGAAACATGTGATGATTTCGATTGATTAAACTTTTCGTCCTTCCTGGTGGTCCTATCAATTTGATCCTATCGTGTCGTCAAATACGGAGTAAGTGATTCGAAAGGAAGGGACGGCGCTAGATTGCATACTTAGTTAGTTTCTTCAGGCGGTTATATATGATGAGGTAGGTAGGTTATCACCAGGATGAATACTCGTACACTATCAAAAGAAGTAAATGCATTCATTATCCGTGATAATTATCCGGTTACTGTCACTGTGCCAATATAGCAAACAAAGCGTCTATAGTTGCGAATTCTTCATTGCTCGGTATACTAGATTAAGATATGATGTACTTTGTATTTTCTTTTTCCTTTATCTATTCCGGACGAGTGTTTGAAGAAAGATTTCAAAAATCATTTAAACGGTATGATAGATAGCTAGCTAGCTAGCTAGGTGAAACATCAATCGCAATGTTTGGTATCGAATAGCGATAAAGGAAGCAGGCGCCGTTGATACTAGGTAGTATAAGCGCCGGGGGAAAATAACATGTGGAATTTTAAATTGAATTATTATCTATAATCTTCAAATCTATATTCCGTATGGATGCTGTGACGCTGTGAAAATCCTTCCTTTATTTTCCTCCATATATCCCGGCTCATGAATTATACCCCAACCGGTACCCTCCATCAACCTCCCATATTTCATCATGTTCCCAAAAACAACTCACTTCCCTGCCGTCGGGGTACGGTGCGAGTATCCCGATCCTTCTTAGAATGCTCACGGTTAGAATCCCGATGTGGTGTATGAATAGTACGAGAACCATTACCATTACCATCACCAGCGTTGCGAGATGTAGAAATAGAAGTCTTCTTCCTAGATGTTAATTCCTGGCTCTGTTCAGATTTGGAAGTTCTGGCCCCGCTGTTGGTAGTATTTGTCCTCGTTTTGGATCTTTTACCACTGTCACTCTCACTCCCGTAACTAAGGTTTGACTGTGTTACTTGTGTCGCTTTTGATCTTTCGCTTCGCCGAGGAATAGAAGTGTTGGTTTCCTGACTTGATGTTTTGAATTGATGCCTCGAATTGTCAGAGTGCGAAGGACTTCTGTGTACTTTACCGTGTGCGGAAGTCGAGGTATCATTTGGTTTGGTGGTAGGAGGTCTTCGTTCACGTGCTGCACGACGGTTGGCTTCTACCGCGGTTCGATACTCAAGCTCGTCAGGAACATCACCAGGAATTAGACTATCGCCCTCAGGATACGGTAATCTCTGTTTTGCAGTCTCAGAGCGTTGTGAGGTGTGTCTCCTGGAAGACCTTGACCCACGGGTAGAATGTCGAGAATCGGATGATGATTCATTGCCATCACTATCTTGCGTTTGAAAATTCATATTTTCAATGCCTTGCGAGATCTTATCGGCGATATTTCGTGGTCGTTCAGGCTTTGGATGATTCATACGTAGATCCATGTATCTTTTAATCAAGGGTTCTGCTGGTTTAGCTTCATTCTGATGCCGTCGACTTCGGTCATGACTCATTTTTGGTATCTACTACTGAGTTTACAGTAACACGTTATTCTGTAAAAGATGATAGATGTTACTATGGAAGGTGGTGATGATTAACAAAAATGTACGCTCAATCGATGAAACACTATAACAAATGGTATGAATGAAGCTTGAATCTTCTTATAAAAAGGGAAGCCATTTATATAAGCACCGGAAGTTATATGCAACAGACACCCTTCACCATTCCCACAAACGATTTTTCCAGTCACATATACAGACCTCTTTCCCAACAACCAATTTACTTTTATAAGGTCAGTGGCGTACAAGCACAACCCGGTGAAATGACCACATTGCTGAAAGCAAAGAAGGGCCACCCAAAGAATTACAGATTTCCAACCTCAAGATTTTGAGGAATGACTGAAAACACTTGGGGATGAGACCATGGAGATCAACACTTTTATTGGGAATAAATATTGTATCGCCTCTCATGACTTCCACCATACATTGTAGATTTGCACCACAATTTTTATGCATCACTTTCCAATTTTCTTCGAAGTCTGCGAGATACTGGTCTCTAACGACTCCTCTGGCCAGGCCTGCCAGCCCACAAAAGTTCATCTTCTTGGCACTTGGTTTGACCCCGCTAGGAATATTGTATGTAAAGAATTTCCCTTTGACCTTCCATCTGAAGAAAATACGTGACCTTGTTGTTAATTCGCAGCATGAAATGGAAATAGGACAATGCAAGAACATTTGGGTCCCTCAATATGATGGTATGCCAGACTTTCGCCGCGATGGGGGATTTATGTGACCGACATATTGAAGATACCTAGGTAGGTAGTTTGAAGAGGGCATGGATGAGCACAGACGAACCGCTAGGGTTCCGTCAAAAGAACAATTGATGTATACGTTGCAATAAAAAGGATGGGATACCTCCACAATGTCCTGTGCGGGTCTGTGTAAGATGTCGAGTGTTTCTCTCCATCGCCATTGAGAAATATTTGCCAAGATTGGTGTTATGAAATAAATTTGTGAAATATATTAGTTGTATTTGTTCTGATATCTCAGGACCAGTAGGAACATGTACCATGGGAGATTCATTCTTGGCTAGGATTGTCAGATTTATCCTGGCGGTTCCAGTGAATGTTGCAATTGTTCGAAAGCGCATCGAGAAACATCCACTCACCAACATTACAACTAACCGGATTGAGCGCTTAAAGATATCTTTCATGTCGGTGATTCTGCGTGGATGACGGGTAGCATTGAGGACAATATCATGCTGGCTAAATTGTCAAAATGTTGAAGTTCATTCAATTCATTCATGATATAATATAAATATTCAGCAAATCGATAACCTTATTGGATGTTGGAAATGGGAAGAACGTTTGAACGTTTGAAACACCAACACCAACATTGAACGTCCAAAAGGTCCTGTCGGAATGTTGGTGGATATGAGCGCTAAACATAGGCGTGACATTATTGGTCTAGATCCAAATGTTTTCACCCTAAACGGAAACCCGGGCGTTACCACCGACCTATTAATACTTTCATCACTTTTTTTCTCTTTTCTTTTTTCCTTCTTCACCCCACTTGATCCTCATCTAATCTATTCGATTCCACTTCATCTCCTTGCCATGAGATGTGCAAGGTTTTAACCGCGTCATTGGAAAGTTTGATGTGTCACTGCCAATACTCTTATTTTCTATTCAATGCCCATATACGTCATGTCACATCGGAAGGTTGAGTAAACTTAAGCTTATCGTACTAAACTGGAGATCGAAACTCAAAAGACTAGCGGACGATGCCTTAAATTGAGGCAACACTGCATAAAGTCCATGGATATAGCTAATGCATTATACTGGTGTACTTGAGTACTTGGTAGCTAATAGATCAAATAACCAGATGAACACTGCTCATGAGTGGATGAAGGGGGTAAGCGAAGCGGCAGTTTTCTACATTTGGAATCTCAAGTACCACATCCGATCGGAACATTATATTGACAGGATCATGGCTATACCTGCACACTACTATCTAACCTCAAACACTCTAAGGCTCCCAAAACGTTTCGAAAGTTGGGAAACTCAATCCACTTACCCCAATATTGAATCGTCTCACCAATAGAATCTAATTGATCTTTTTCATTTGCAAATAATATTCTATTTCTTTTGGAACCGCTTGGATCGTGGATATAAGAGATGAAGTGGGTGAGGTGGGTCATGATCCGAAAAGGGCATTACAATCAATGGATTCTCGACTTCTTGACAATCATTGTGAACCATTTGACTAGGTTATGGGGTATCGATTAGATGAATAGAGTTTATGGTAAGGCTACCGGGGGATTGCTATGGCGTGAATGAGCGCAGGGATAAAATATAAAGTTTTATATATTCCGATGAGTTCGCCCTCTTCGATACTTTCTTTTCAACCACATCGAAGCAAGTCTTTGTCTATTCTACCTCTATCACTCTCTTTTCATTTCAGCACGCTCTCTTTTTGATTTTCATCATTTACATTCATTCAGCTGGTCTAACATCTCAATTCCTTGTGAATTTTTCCATCATTTGATTACCGAACTCATTCATTTTTTCCAAACCCACAAATCTTACTCAAGATGTCTTTCTCTAAGCTCACCACTTTCGCCGGCCTGGTCGCCACAGTTGCTGCCCATGGTTATGTTACTGGTATTGTAGCTGGTGGAACTTAGTAAGTTAAATCTTGGAGCCATGTATTCAAACATACTGATTCAAAAATAGTACCAAAGGATGGCTCGTCAACTATGCATACCAAAACCCAATGCCAGAGTCAATTGGTTGGTCTGACCAAAATCTCGACCTTGGATTCACTGCACCATCCGCCTATGCCACTGGGGATATCATCTGTGCTAAAAATGGTACCAATGCTGCTCTTTCAGCTAAGGTTGCTGCCGGTGACACCGTTGATTTTCAATGGACTGTTTGGCCCGATTCTCATAAAGGCCCAGTCATCACCTACTTGGCAAACTGCAACGGAGACTGCAGTACCGTCGATAAAACCAAGCTTGAATTCTTCAAGATAGACGAAGGAGGATTGATCGATGACACCACTGTCCCTGGAACCTGGGCTTCTGACAACTTGATCACCAATAACAATACATGGACATCCACCATTCCAGCCGATCTAGCTCCTGGGAACTACGTCGCTCGTCATGAAATTATCGCTCTTCACGGTGCGGGAAGTAATGATGGTGCTCAAAATTACCCTCAGTGTATCAACTTGGAAGTCACTGGTAGCGGTACTCTTGCTCCATCTGGTACTCTCGGTGAAAAGCTTTACACTCCTACCGATCCAGGTATCTTGGTCAATATCTATGCTAAATTGACCTACACTATTCCTGGTCCACCTATGTACAACGCAACTGGAGCAGCAACTGGAGCAGCAACTGGAGCCACTACCCCAGCCACCGGTAAAACCGCCTCAGCAACCTCCGCCGCCGCCGCTCTTTCCACCCCAGCTGTTGTTTCTACCCCTCCAACTCCAACCACAATGATTACATCCGTCGCTCCTGCCGCTACCCCTGCTACCTCTGCTGCCGCTTCATCTGGTGCTAGTGGTGATGATGACGACACCTGTGAAGCATGAGCATTTCAACCCTTTTTCTGCACGAGATTTGATATCTCATGATTGAGTGATTGAGTGATTGATTCATGGAATTGGATTGGATTGGATTGGATTGGATTAGATTGGATAAATGAGATTGTTTTCGATGTATATAACCTTTTTGATAGAGGACTTATTTTATAGTTTTTCTATCATACATACATATATCTATATATATATAAAAGTTATCGTCTAGAAATAAATGATAGAGGTTCTAGGATATTCTTTTTTTCCATTTTGAATTATTTGCTGTAACTGTATTTTTTATCCCCTAGATAAATGAACGAATCAAGGAAATAGTTTATATCTGCTCAAAAAAATATAATTATAAAAGTTTTAAATTTCTCTTCCCTCCTACCTACCTACCTACCTACCCATACTAACTCTTCACCCAGCGACCCCACCCTGAGAATCCTACATATATATATAAACTTCGAAAATTAATTATTGAATAATTAAACTATCTCTGTTTATTTTATTATACTTTCCTAACACAATAAGAAAAAAAGAAAGAAAAAACAATATTAAAAAAGATAACTCCAGCAACCCGTCCATCCAGGCTTAATCCCTCACACCAAGGAGGAGAAATAAGTTAAACCACCGCAGCTAAAGATAAATCGAAGTCATTCAACCCTTTTAATTATACTCTCCATCCACTCTATCCAGTCCGCATCCAGCACGCGAAACAAAAAATCCCAGAATCCTTATCAAAGAAAAGAATCATGCTTAAAAAACCGCTCCTCCCTCTCTCAACCCTCTTGCCCCCTCCACTCCATATCCACCATTTCGAAACCAAAACCTCAGAATCCGGATCAAAGAAAAGAACCAATCATAAAGGACCGTTCCTCCCTCCCTCAACCCTCAGCCCTCAAGCCTCAACCCTCTCCTCCCTCCATTGCTCCTAGCTGGCTGTCGAAAAACATCATAATGAATCGACTCCCATTCCTTTACCGTCCTCCTATCAAACAATCTCCGCTCCGACATTAAATCAACTCTATGTTTATTCGCCTCCTCTATCCCCATCGGTAAAGGATTGCAATCAGAATCAAAATACCATGCCACCATCTTCATCAATTCCGGCGGGAATTTCATTCGCATATCCTTTGCTGAAATATCCATATCTAGGCCATTTTCAAGCAAAAGTGTTAGAAGCTCTGCTGGAATTTTTTTGAGGGCTCTATTGCGGGCTTCGGAAGTATCGCCAAAGACTGAGTCTACCCACCAGTTCATTTGTTGAGGTGGTACGTTTGCTGTGGAGATGATGCGTATGTGTGGATCTACGAGCCATAATGCGATGAATCGTTTGTGACCTGGTTTTGTTGGATCTTTTAAGCGGAACGAGGAAACTTTGTGTTGACTTTTGTGTAGATTAGTAAGTGTCTAATTATGCTTTGGAGAGTCGGAATCTGGCACTTACAAAGCATTGGGAAAAGCAAGTAATCTTCCTTGACGTGTTTCAACGCTACCATAATTTTGAAGACATGGTGATCTTTCCCATTTGAGATATGTACCATAAACCTGCTCTAGCCAATGATATGAATCTTCTCCTACACCGAGTTCTTGACCTGTGTCTTCCATAGTCTGCATACGAAATGAGAGATCACTCGAAGTTATGTTGTCACTATCAAGGTAATAAAGCGCTGTGCCACAAATATGTTCATTCATTTGTCCTTCGATCTTGAAACCTGTTAGTATCAGGTTTCCGTTCATTGATAGAGTTTCACTTACATGCCAACCACCCATTGGAAATTCAGGTTTCTCTGGTGTGAGCTCAATAGAAGCCATCTTGACAATGATTTGCAGACCGGATTTTTTGAATTTCTTTGCGAGGCACTTCTCTGGTTCCCTTGAATAATTGACATCTTCGAAGGAAGGCTCTGGAATTAAGGGTCTGCGTGACCACCCCCACTTTACTTCGGCTTCCCCTTCATATTTGGCTTCCTCCTCATATTCGGCTTCCCAATTATCTTCGGCTTCCCAATTATCTTCGGCTGCCCAATCATCTTCTTTGGATTCCCCATCATCTTCTTCGGATTCCTCCTTATCTTCTTCATTATAGGTGTCTTCGATATTCATGCCGACCTCATCACCACTGCCATGGCCATTCCCATTTTCACCATCTACTTCCATTGTCGGGCTTGGGACTGAAGGGATCCAAATCCAATTCTCATGATTATCGTCACTATAATCGTGTAAGTATTGAATGCCTCGTCTCAAGAATTGTTCAATAAGATTTACTCTGGATTTTCTGGATAAGGGAATCTAGGCTCGATTCGTCCAGCTCCATCCTTTTCCTTTCCATAGCGGTCCACGGCAACAGTAAGACATTGATCCCATAACGGAAGCGCAGTTTCGATCAATTTTTCAATCGTCCGATAAATTTCAGGGTATTTCGTTGGATGAATGTTATTGATGTAGCTGGTAAATTTGACTTTGCCATCTTCTTGAATAACGACATTTGCAGGAAGCCATTGATACGTCTTTGACCAAAAAAGCCGACGGTCTTTCCAAAGTACTAAAGGCACTCTTTTCCCGAACTCCAGCCTTCCAAATGAACCTTTTCCTGCCCATTTCTCAATGGCATCATTGACTCCAACGACTTCGCCCTTTGATATCTTACTGCGCCCATAAACTAAAGGGTACATTGAAGGATCTACTAGATCTTGAACCATATCATTTGAGTTGGGATGCCAGTCGGGTGATGAAGATTGGTCACTCTTGAGTGTATCAAAAGCCTTACGCAAAGCATCATGAAGATTCTTAGAGACCAGGTTGTCTGATTTCGCAATAGATGCGCAGGCGTCCAATGTTGGGATGATACCTGTCTGTTCATAATACTTTGCTTTGCTCTGAAGTTCTTTAATACACTTTTCAACACCAAATTAGTTTCACTTTGAGAGGTCAACATATCGGCGTTTGCTCACATAATCAAAGCTATTGGCATTCATGATTCCTGTCAATCCTCTGTAGAACATATTATCGTCAGACGATTCGACCTTGCCCTCCCTGTCCCAAGATTGGTGCTTATCACGGATTGCAATGTTCCAAAATAGTTCATCTGGAATGGCCAAAACATCTTCGCGCCACCCGGATACGATTCCTTCATCAAAGACTTTCTTATGCCATTCCTCCTTATCCGTAAGTCGATCCATAATGATCATCATGGCAATTTCCCGAACTGAAATTAACTTGGAGATGGCACCCCAGCAACCACCATGAGCACCTATAGGATAGTGAATTTCGCTGTCCCTGTCATACTGTGGATCGTAACGTAGGGAAAAGCCTAAGCCTGGGTAGTCTGGCATGATGAATGGCTTTGTGAGTTGGTGTTTGATGGCAATTCTGGAATTCGAAAAGCGAGAGAGTAAACTGTGGTGGAAGGGAAATTGATCTTGGTGTAATGAAAATTAGGAATCCGAGAGGAGAATTTGATGAGGGTTGTCATCAAGATTTAATAACTTGCACACCAGCAATTTCATGACCAAAAACAAAAGCAGGGTAGTAATAAACGAACGATTAAAACCGACAATCCTAGATATCCTGCCTGCTCTTCCTAAGAGAAGAAAGAAGGTGCGATCGGGTTTGCTCCAAATTCGGATACATCGATGAAGACGGTTGATATCTTGCAAAGAAGCTACTAATCATGTTTCGCTGTAGTGTAGGCAGAACACCAACCGATCACACTATCACCGATAAACTTTCATCGTGTAAATCCCCAAATAGGGTTAATTTCAAGGTTTGTTGATCCCACATGATGGTAATGGATAAGGAAGGAAATATTATCCCAATCTTAATCTTCTGTTACTTGATATGATATGATGCCTAGAATTGAGGTCGGACCGCGTAATCACGTGTCTTGTGTTATGCCGACTTCGACTTCGACCTCGACCCCGACACCCATGGACTCATATCCATCATTTTACCTTCGATTCTTCACATCCACCCAATCTTTCCCTTCTCTACTCCCCTCTCAAAATTCAAAATTCAATAGTCACCAGAAATTCACGTACAATTAAAGTAAATTTCCTTGATTGTTCCCCTACATGATTTTCTAATTCAATGTTCTCCTGTTCATCTCCATCAGCTTTATCTCATTTCTTTACTCTTATCCTCTTCCCAAATTATACTCTTCTTTCATCAATACCCTTTCAATATTGACCAGCCCCAAAACTTCTTAACAAGTTCAACAGAGACAACCATATATTTCCAATTTCCATCTCCCACCTCTTCACCACCTATCGCATCCGAACCCTTAAAATCTCTTCCCTGGCTTCTGCAAATCTCCCCAAGCAGCATTAACCTGTTTCTTAATATCCTTGAAGCTAACAATAAAACAATTCTCTCCATCCCTACTCGTCAATTGAATCTTTTCGTCACTCCCCGCATCCAATTTATTCAAACACTTCAGTATCCACGCCATATCCGTAACGGGTCTTCCATCCGCATCAACCGGATGAAACACGTAATCTCTGAAAAGTTTCAATATATATCGCTCACCTACTTCACTCCATTGAACATTGGTATCGTACTCGGGACGTTCATTTATGTTGCCCAACTTGGCCATTAAGCGGACGAGTCGACCGTTTTCAAGCTCGCGATAAAGTTCAGACGTTATTTCGTCATGAGCTTGAAGGGAACTATCGAGAGCAGTCGTCATACGGCCAGAGATACCTCGCATGAAGGTTTCTAGATCTTTAGGTTCGGTAGTAGAAGGCGTAGTCAGAAGCCATCTGATTGTGTCAATAAGCTCAACCGAGTAAAATCTGCTGAGGCCTTCGAGGTTGGTTTTCAAGACTTGAGCCGTGGTTTGAGGGGTAATTGTTGCATTAACTGTAGCTAAGGATAACATGAGTACGCCAAACAAGCACAGGTCTTCACTTTGAAGTTCCTTTATGTCGCGTCGATATTCGTAATGGAGAATATCGAATATCGGACATGCATTTAGACGGATTCGATTTTTGTCCGTAAGGATAACTTTGGTCAAATGCATGCATCGCACAGCAAAGTTGGCCTGGTGTACAGCCTTGATGGCTAATGTAATTTGTGCAATGTATGCCCAAAGAGTGTCTTCAGGTATCCGGGGGTTTAGTCGAGATCCATATCGATTTGTGGTTGTAGCCGAGAAATGAACCTCTAAAAGAGTTTTTGAAAGTGGGTGATAATTTGTGACAATTATCAAGGAATTGTCCTTAAATTGTCTAGTAGTAAAAGCATCAATGAACGATACTACACCAGCACTATTGACTTCATTCCACTTCTTCACAGCACGAATTGCTTTATCATTAGCGAGAGTATATCCTAAATATGGTAAATGTTAATTCATATAAATGCCAGATGAATTTTCCTCACCTTCCAGTCTTCGTAAACAGTAATACTTTCCATTCTTTTCCGACGTCGCTTTATATACCCAACTTATGCACCCAAAAACATTGTTATTCCTGTTTTGAGCTGTGTCCAAAGCGACCAAGGAATGGTATGAGTTTGGTGGTGTACCAATATTCGGAAGGGTATCTAATTGGATTAGTACTGAAATCATCAACTTGTTTCCTTACTTACTTAGCATTACTTGATGAGAAGCTTCAGATTTTCTTTGAAGTTCCTCACGAAGCCGGTCGGACAAGAATAGGTCGTGAATCGATTTTTGATAAGGTGTCAAATTATCCGTGTGTGGACCAATTGGCGCATAGAAGTGATAATTCAAAGGCTGAACGTTATAGCTCGGCTGTCCTTGAAAGTATGCTCCACCTGTTGCCACTCCTGCGGCTAAGTTGCTAATGTCTTCTTGATAGTGGTTCGAAAAAGAGGTAGGAATTGCTTGAGAGACGCCTCCCATGGAGAAAGGATCATATGGTGCTTCGGGAGTAGCACCATTGGTAGGAATCTTGTCTTAAATCAGTATGTAATCCAGTACGTCGAAGGTACTTTCAAGCCATTTTTGAATGCCAAAATTAAAGAACAAGATTAAAATAGTATTCGGGGAATAGATGAATTAGTGCTTACATTCTGAGAGAGATCATAGTTTTGTGGAGTGAAATCTCTTTGAGTTGGATTAAATTGGGGTATTTCTGGGTCGAGTTGAGTGTTTGGTGTAGCAGTTCCACTTGCAAGCCCTCGAGGTGTAAATGGAGCCGCATTGGCAGCTTGTGAAATGACCGAAGCTCCTTTGTTGGACGCGGGTAAAGCTGCTGGTGTAAAGGAAGGCGAATCTACATTCAAAGCTTTTTTGGGTCTATCATTGTCAGAGTCAGTTTTTAACAGTGAAGAGTATAGTTGTGGCCTCTCTTTCGATTTCGAATTGGGACCAAGTTGCTGATTTGAGGTATCAATATCGACTTCAAGTCTACCATTTTCAGCAAAGGGAAGAGTTGCGGTGCTTGAAGTTCTGGATATTGGTCGTTTGGTTGAGGTATCATCCTTGGATGGAGGTTTAATTATACCAGGTGAAATGTTGGAAGGGGGTAAAAAATTGGGATCAGCCGGTACAATGGGAATGGTAAGGTCATCTGAAAGAGCTGAGGCGGTGGGAGTAGTTGAAATATGGGAAGGAGGTAAAAAATTGGGATCAGCCGGTACAATGGGAATGGTAAGGTCATCTGAAAGAGCTGAGACGGTGGGAGTACTGAAATGTTGGAATGATGTGAATAATTCACAGGATTCGCAGCAATTGACCGTTCTACGGTAGGATCGGCAGTAGCTTTTATTGCAATTTCGGGATTCGATAATTTCAAATCAAGGGATTCCATTGTATCCTTTGATTCTTGGGTATGGGGGGACCGTAAAATAGAATGTGGTGAGCCCATTTCTGTACTAGTCACCCCTGGAATCTGGGCTGAAAGCGATGGAGACCTATTTTCCCTAAAAGCCTTCGTGGTTTCGCTGAACCCTGTGGCGGCAGTAGTTTTGTGAGGCACATCTGCTTGACCATTGTCCGTATAAGTTTTAGAGGTTCCAACACCACTTTCAACCAGTGTGTTCCCACCATGTGATACGAGAGAACATCCTATTGCAGTAGTGCTTTGTAACTGTGATTGACTGATTTTCCGTAGCTCCTCTTTCTTTCGTGGTGTGGTGTCTAGCCTGGATGAATTCGGTAATCGATGGGATGGATCTAAGACTGAAAATCTTGTTCCATTCTCAAAACGTGATGGACTGTCAAGTGAATCCAAACCCGAACTCCTTTGTCCATATCGTCGCCTTCTCCTGCGATTCTTCTTTTTCACGGGACTAGATTCCTCCAGTTGATCCTCGACATCTGATTGCTCATCTTGCTCGTCATCTAGTTGATCCTCGACATCTGATTGCTCATCTTGCTGGTCTTCTTCGCCATCTGCTAGCTTAGTCAAGCCAAATGTTGGGATCTTGACGCTGTTTAGTTTCTTAAATATATCCATCCCTGCATTAATTCGTTGTTGATGTACAAAGAAGTTATTGCGCATTAAAACGTGAAAGATACATAGATAGGGAAGAGCCAAAAAGTGTAATTTCAGAACCACAGTAAAGATGGGATAGGCAGGTAAAACCTCCATATAAATCCAGGAATGGTAGGAGCCATCCACGAGGTCGAAAAGTGGCCAGAAGGAATGTCCATGACCCCAAAGCCAGGTGTCAACGCAATTTTGAACAGTGAAAACAAGAGATTGATCAATTGTAATATCGAATATGAATTCCGAGATAGGCTCCGGCCCAATACTGAATTCACGACTCAACAACATTGAAGGGTCTTTCCTTCACTCCTGAAGAAGACCTGTAAAGACACGTCGTCGAAGCGCATAGTGTCAAGCACTTGAATGTAATTCCAAGGTCTACTTGATCAAAGTAAGGTCCAATGCCCTCTAATTTCCATACCACTAAAGTCCTATTTCTCGAGAGACCGAGAAAGTAAGAAGAAATATCCAAGTCAAGGTCCGTTTAAGGTTCCGAATGTCCGGCGAAATCGAAATCGGAGAGAGCCATTTTCTATTTTAGATGTGAAGAAACTAAGATGAACTTACTGATCGACCCCTCCTCCAAGTCCCTTGTTTGGATCATGGTTAAAAGCGCATCCTTGATCTTCATAACGACAATGACCATATATTAGGACATTTCGACATAAAGTATCCTTTGCGTTTTCTAGCACAACCTGGTCAACATCCGTTTTCCTTTCCTAAATAAATCCAATCAAGAATTCCCCTAACACATACCACGTCCTTTCGGTCTCGGAGAACTCGTCGGTCTGCGAAGTTCAGGCTGATTAAATCTTGTAGCCGCCATTGTTCAGTATTGTGTTCCAAGTTCTTGTTTGGAGATAGATATGACTATCTGCCGGACCCCAATGACACTTTAGGAAGCCTAATGATAGGAAATCATATTAGCTCAGTTTAATCCAATTAATGCGACCGATATTCAAGTATCGTCCGGTGCCTTTCCAAATCCTTAACCGAAGTACCGTGTGAGGGTTTGAGAATGAAGGGGGTGGATAATAGATGTTCTATTCTGCTCACTTGAATCTGGCGGACATTTCCTAAAAACCAATAACACGGAGTATGGTTCCTTAAATGAGATGAGGGTATGATGGAAGGATGAACGATTTCAATGTGAAAAGTTATACAGAGAAATATTGCCAATGAATGTGCATATCAAAATTAAAGTGATAGCCTAGCACATTCAACGAAAGTCAGGATTGTAATTCGTGTTGAGGCTGAGGATGGAGGATACCAAATGTATACCAAGGCAGGTAGTAATAAAGTGACGCGGGGGGGGTGGAATGTTCCTTTTGGAAGTTGTACGAGTAAGGTAAGGTGGTTAGGTGGGAAAGCTAATAAGTTACCCAGTAATAAGGTTATGGGTTATGGGTTATGTCTGGTTTTATGCGATCCGATAAAGAAGTCAGAAGTCAACAAATCATGGAGAAAGTCATGCATCCAGATTGATTGTTCTGGTGTTCCTTCAGCCTTAGTGGCTGTGACGGAGAATGTTCGGAACTACTATTTATCCGAAACCGATGATGTGGCTTGATTACCTAGTAATATTCATCACTGATTCTAGAACTTATGTCCTCCCATACATTTCTATAAAATGTTACAATGTTACTCTGAATTGTAAAAACAAAAGATTCACTCATATCATATCTGCCCACACTCTCAACCATATTTCTACTTATTAGTATGCGAACATAAATAAAGAAACACCTGTCTTTGGACAATACTCCAGCAAACAATCAAACCATGGCTACTCTAGATGCTGATACAAGCCAGCTGTCCGAATCACAGCAGGCAGCCTTACAACAATTACTGGCAGTAACTGGTCAAGAAGTTGATCAAGCTGTACCTTTACTACAGAGATCACAATGGAGCGTTGAGGTAAGGATTTAAGTCCTCTTTTAAATTGTCGGTATCACATATTAATTCTTAACAGATCGCAATCGCAAAGTTCTTTGATGGCGAAGATGATTCTTTAACGGCAGCAGGTCTAGCAGCTCAAAATGTTCCACCTCCTCGAGCTTCAAGACAAGAAAACCTTCAATATAGTCTCCTTAATGAATCCTCCAATCGATCGAGAGTGCGAAATGTGGACTCGGCCCCAAGGATTGTTCCTCAACCAGAAGATCAAATAATTCGACGACCAAATCTCATTTTCGCTATACTATTCGCGCCATTCAGTGTACTTTACAAAATTTTCTCTATGGGATATAGAGCTTTCGCATTTTTATTTCCTTTCCTACCACGGTTCCGACCTACCGGCGCATCAAATACAATGGGAAGGAGATCACTTAAACCCAGAGATACAGCAACACGTACCAAGCGCGAATTTGAGGAAGAATATGGACCGAATAATTTACCATTTTTCGATGGAGGTTATGCACAGGCTTTGGACCTTGCAAAAAAAGATCTCAAATTCCTCATCGTTCATTTAATGTCTCCGGAACATGATGACACATCTGATTTCGTTCGTCAAACCTTACTTTCCGAAGAAGTCACCACATTCCTTGGGGATAAAACTAACAATATAATATTCTGGGTTGGAGATGTTCGAGATTCAGAAGCATATCAAGTCTCTTCCGCTTTACGATGTACCAAGTTTCCATTCACAGCCTTAATTACCCACACACCCGATCAAGGAGCTACATCAATGTCAGTCATTGCCAGAATATCCGGATCAGAATCACCTGGGGCATTTGTTGCCAAATTACAAAGTGCAATAGGACAACATTCGGAAAAATTAGCTGCAGTTCGTGCACAACGTTCAGCACAAAATTTCGAGCGTACATTAAGAGAAGAGCAAGATTCTGCTTATGAGCAATCTTTAGCACAAGATAGAGAACGTGCTAGGCAAAGAAGGGAAGCTGAAGCAGCTGCTGCAGCAGAAGAAAAGAGAAAGAAGGATGAAGAAGAAGCAGCTGCTAAATTGGCAGAAAGTCGAAAACATTGGAAACAATGGAGAGTACAAACTATCAAACCAGAACCTGAGCCTGGAACCAATATCGTACGAGTCGCATTAAGAATGCCAGAAGGTGTTAGGATTACGCGACGTTTCGAAGCCAATTCCGAAATTGAAGAACTTTATGCATTTGTAGAATGTTATGATTTACTTCAAGATGGCAAGGAATATAGTAGGCAAAAGCCGGAAGGATATGAACATAAATTTGATTTCAGATTAGTTCAAAGTATACCGAGAGTGGTATATGAAGTTGGAGAAGGAGGAACAATTGGGGAAAGAGTTGGCAAGAGTGCAAACTTGATTGTTGAATCTATTGATGATGATGACGATGATGATGATGTTAATGAGTAAAGATGAGGTGGTGGTAATTTACTTGATGTTGATATAGTATGATTTGGCCATGGTATAGTATATCATATCATATCATAGGCGTTTGGATTGATTGCTTCCGGCGCTGGTGCTGGTGGTGGTTTATACTCTGTATCTATTATAATTGTAAGACGCATCACTGCGGGGCTAGCATAGACTCTTTTTACAAATTTTAAATCCACCCATCTATTCTACTTGTCGGCTATTCTGCTGTTACGAGGGTAGCCGTCTAGATCACGTGGAAGTGCTCTAGGCTCTCGAGGTAGGTTTATAACTAGGCGTCAAGTAGGGACTTAAAGTAATGACAATAATGATATGCTATTCGTAACTAATAGTAGAGTATACTAAATGATTGATCTTGAGCACGAAGCTCTATACAAAGGAAATCCATCTTGATTATATAGACCTTCATGCTTCTATGATCACTGGTGATCCTTCATGATCACCAATGATCACCTATACCGTGATCCTTAGTGATCCTTAATGATCACTACTGATCACTTGTAATCACGTGCCTTGGTCATGTAGTCTCGTGGTTAAAGAACTTCGTGCTCAACTTAGTTATCAATTAGTTTACCTACATTCTACTTGATCTAGTAACGACTTCACTTCCAAGTGAAGACCAGTGATAAAGCCTTAACCCACAACTACCAACCAGACGAAACCTTAGGCAGCCGCTGCCTCTAGTATAGTATCTGTGACGCCTCACACCTCCGGGTCACGTGGCATGCCCCGTTTGTATTTAATCATAGGAAAACTCTCTACTCTTGTTTTCCTTCTTCTTTTCTCCTTAGCTTAGTATTTTCTAATACAAGATACTTTACCCAGTATTCTTGAGTGTGACAGTATCGTTACACACCCCTAGATGGTTGGGAGTATCAATTCCAACCTACAGCAACTCTGATTTGTAAAATAATTTTAAATAAATATGTTTAATCAACTATATAATATTCTTGTAATATAAATGTAATTTAGAATAATTGTATAAAATATAAAATATAAAATATAAAATATAAAATAATTAATTAATTAATTATTAAAAAGAAAATTTTTATAAATTGAAATCGTGATTATTATAACCCCAGAGCTTGAGTGAGTTAATATTTCTAATTATAATTATTATAATGTTACGACGGCTATCTTCTACGCCACGTCACATGACTAAACCAAGGTAACGTGAGTAAGTCACGTTATGGACCGCTGAGGAACGCTGGCTGTCCAGGACCGCGCAGCGGTCCTGACTAGCCATAGGCATGAAGGTCTATATAATCAAGATGGATTTCCTTTGTATAGAGCTTCGTGCTCAAGATCAATCATTTAGTATACTCTACTATTAGTTACGAATTGCATATCATTATTGTCATTACTTTAAGTCCCTGCTTGACGCCTAGTTATAAACCACCTCGAGAGCCTAGAGCACTTCCACGTGATCTAGACGGCAAACCTCGTAACAAAAATACACTTACTCCCCTTTATTCATTTACTAACAACTAAGATCTTACATCATTCCCACCAGTGACACTACACTTTTCCCCATCCTAACTACCTACCTTTATACATCCTTCCTTCCACTCACTCACTCACTCACTCACTCACTCACCATTCTTCATATTTCAAATTTCTATTCCCATCTATTCGATAAAGAGCGGCCATTAAATTTCACAAGTACAAGAGTACAAGCACAAGTCCAAGTACAATCAAAAGCACAATCAAAACAAAGCACAATCACGAAACAATGTAATATAAAAGGAAAAATATCTCATTTTCATTCCTTTCTTCCTTCACTTCTACTACCCCCCACCACTACCACTACCACCACTACCCTCACTATCATCATAAATCATAAACCCCACTTTCATTTCAGATCTCGACATTACATACAACATGTTCAAAGATGTATATGCCGTTCTCACTAAAAATAAAGAGAGGGTATAATGCTTGCTTGAAATACAAACCATAGCTAAAGCAAAATCAAAATCAAAAGCAAGTACCAAAAAGTAAATGCTTAAAAGAGATGCATGACATTTATATAAAAGTTGAGGTACCCATTTGACATGTTAGAAGACTATTCCCCCAAAAGCATCATCATTATTAGCTCCTCCATCATTGTCAAATGTCCAGCTTCGTAAAAGTCAATCACATCCATCAACTTCATCCACCAATTCATTATCCTCCATGTGTATAAACATTCATCTCATTGGTCCTTCAACAAGAAAGGAATATTAAGCTGGAGTTTCATTCTCAGCTTCAGACTTGGCTTCAGGAGTTTGACTTCCAGATGCGGCTGCTGCTGCTGCTGCTGCTGCTGCCCTCTTCTTCTTCTTTTTAATACTAGATTTTGATGGTGATGATGGTGACGATGGTGATGTTGGGGATGTTGGAGATGTTGGTGTTGTTGGTGATGCTAGTGATTTTAATTCAATAGTCTTGACATTTTCCTTGATTTGACCAAGTCCTTTCTCATTCAAGAAGACACCCTCTTGAGTAATTAGTTCAACCTTAGTTAAAACTTCCTTTGTGTCAAATTTCTCAGTGGTTGTCTTAATCTCGGTCAAAACCCCATCTTGAGCAGTGATGCTTGAGATGATTTCCTTAACGGATGATTCAAGACCGGTGATATCGGTTTCCTTGAAGGATGGAGTTGGGGTGGATTTGATTTCGTCAACGGTAGTCTTGACGGAAGCGATTGAAGATTCGATGTTGGATAGATCAACCTTTTCTGGTGTTGGAGCAGCCTTAATCTCGTCAAGGGTAGTCTTGACGGAGGCAATGGAAGATTCGATGTTGGATAAATCAACCTTTTCTGGTGCAGGTGATGCCTTGACTTCTTCAATAGCTGCCTTAATTTCAGAAATAGATGACTCAATTGAACTGAGATCAGTCTTCTCTGGTGCTGGAGCAGCCTTGATTTCATCGATGGATGCTTTAATTGCAGCAATAGATGACTCAATGTTTGATAGGTCAGTTGCTTCATGAGTTGGAGCTGGAGTGGCCTTAATTTCATCAACTGTAGCCTTGACAGCTGCGATGGAAGACTCGATATTGGAAAGATCAATAGTCTTTTGTTCTGGAGCTGGAGTGGCCTTGATTTCATCAACGGTAGACCTCAAGGCGGCGAGAGATGATTCAATGTTTGAAAGGTCAGTAGCTTCATGAGCTGGGGCAGGGGTTGCCTTGATCTCATCGACAGTAGCCTTAACAGCTGCGATTGAGGATTCGATGTTGGAAAGGTCAACAGCATGTTGTTCTGGAGCTGGAGTAGCCTTGATCTCATCAACAGTGTGCTTGACTGAAGCAATAGATGCCTCAATTACACTTAAATCAACCTTTTCAGAAGTTGGTACCTCCTTAGCCTTGATCTCCTCAACAATTGCCTTGACAGATTCGATGGAAGATTCAATCTTGCTTAAATCAACAGGTTCTGAAACTGGTGATTCCTTGGCCTTAATCTCATCAACAGTGCTCTTAACCGAAGCAATTGATGCTTCGATCGAGCTCAAATCAACCTTCTCAGAAACTGGTGCCTCCTTGGTCTTAATCTCATCAACAGTGCTCTTGACTGAAGCAATTGATGCTTCGATCGAGCTCAAATCAACCTTCTCAGAAACTGGTGCCTCCTTGGTCTTGATTTCTTCAATGCTTGCCTTGATGGACTCAATGGAAGCTTCAACATTACTCAAATCGACCTTCTCCGCGGTTGGTACCTCCTTAGACTTGATTTCCTCCACTGTTGCCTTGATGGATTCAATAGAAGCCTCCACATTACTCAAATCGACCTTTTCGGCAGCTGGGATTTCCTTAGTCTTGATCTCTTCGACGCTTGCTTTGATCGACTCAACAGATGATTCAATATGACTCAAATCAACCTTCTCAGCAGCTGGTACCTCCTTGGTCTTGATCTCTTCAATGCCTGCCTTAATTGATTCAATGGATGATTCAACATTGCTCAAATCAACCTTCTCAGCAGCTGGTGCTTCCTTGGCCTTGATTTCCTCGACAATGGTCTTGATCTCATTAACAGAGTTCTCGATGATGGAAAGGTCAGTCTTTTCTGGTGCTGGAACTGATTTAATTTCGTTAAGAGTACCTGAGTGGGATTCGAGAGCTGCCTTAATTTCAGCAACGGAGGATTCGAGAGCTGAAAGGTCAACTGGTGCAGGGGCGGAAGCCTTAATCTCATCAAGAGTGCTCTTGTGGGATTCAAGAGTGGAGGTAATAGGAGAGAAATCAACTTCCTTAGGAGCGGTACTGGTAGAACTCTTAATATCCTGGAGAGTAGCAATTATTTCCTTGACAGAAGATTCCAATCCAGAAATGTCAATTGATTCAGGCGTGACAGGTGGTGTAGAAGTAGATTCCTTAATAGCGGCAACGGTAGAAGCAACTTCCTTAAGTTGAGCATCAATTGGAGAAAGGTCGACAGTTTCATGAGCTTGAGTTGGCGTAGACTTGATTTCATTAACGGTAGCAGAAATTTCCTTAACTGAAGCCTCCAATCCGGAAATGTCGGTTTTCTCAACTGTAGCAGCTGGAATAGAAACGGTTTCCTTAACTTCACCCAAAGTAGAGAGGATTTCCTTGACAGATGATTCGAGGCCAGAAATGTCAGTTTTCTCGGCAGCGGCGGCTGGAGTCGAGACAGTGTCCTTAACTTCACCCAAAGTAGAAAGAATATCCTTGACAGATGATTCAAGGCCAGAAATATCGACAGTAGAGGGGGCAGGTGCAGATTTAATCTGCTCAATAGAAGCAGCAATATCCTTGATAGAAGCCTCAAGACCAGAAACATCAGTTGGGGTAGAAGCAGGAGTAGATTTGATCTCGCCAAGAGTAGAAGCATGTCCTTCAGCTGCGGATTTGATTTCATTCAAGACAGCAGCGTGGGAAGCATGAGATTCGTTGGATGAGTTAACAGCGGAGAGGATATCCTTGGATGTAGCACTTGAGTCGGATTCCTTGATAGTAGCAATATCACTCTTGATGATGGCAAGGTCGGATGTGATTGTGTTGAATGCTTCCTCGTGTGTAGTGCTCTTGAGAGCAGCAACGTCGGTAGCAATTCCATCCAACTTTGTAGTGTGTGACTCCAAAACCGATGTATCTTGAGAAGAAGAAGGCTTTCCGCTCAATCCCTCCAATGAAGAAGTAATCTTAGCAATCGCTTCTTCGATGGTAGCTAACTTGTTTGCCGTCTCGGTCTTTGCATCTTCGATTCGTTGAGTGAGGTCGATAGTTGTCGAAGTGAGTTTTGCATCGACAGTATCAACATTGAGGGAAACATTTTGAATGGCAGTAGGAATAGAACTGATGGATGACTCGAAGGTAGGTTTGATCTGCGAGACCAAAGAAGTAGCAATAGCATTGGTGAAAGCTTCCGAGTTCAAAGCCTTCTTGACAGCTTCTTCGACAGCTTGTTCAACGATTTCCCTGTCCCTAGCATCTCGCTCTGCACTTGTTTGAGAATCCTCTCCAGCGGATGTAGTAGTGGTGGTGGGAGAGAGAGGAGCTCCAAGAGCCCTTGGAGGGGAAGCGGTACGACCTAACAAACGACCGAACATGGTTGGATTGAAGATTGCGTATGGTAGGTGAGCAATGTATCGAAAAAGAGACATCCGGGAGAACCTGGATGTTTACTCTCTCTTCTACTCGCTTTCCTTCTTGTGAGATGCCAGGCAACACAAGAAAAAAAGAGGAGATTGAAGGACGTTGGGAGATTTGGGGTGGAAAAAAATCAATAAGACTTGTGATGGGGGTTTAAGGTAAAAAAGGACTGGTAAGCTGTGCTCTCTTTTTACCTTTTACCCAATTAAGGTTATGAATGGTAGATGGGACAAATAATGAGCAAGAAAATGACCAGGGTAAAATTTTTGGTGGGTTGTTTTGCGTGGGATGAGGGGATGGTACGATGAAATTGGAAATTGAGGATAAATGAAAATTTTGTTGAACCTTGAATAAAATGTAAAGTTTTGATAGGTTCCATTTTTTATATCCTCTCCACTTTATGCAATTGCATCCAATGATTATTCTGTTGTTGTACTGTTATTGAAGTAATGATTGATTCATTTAATCTAAATAGGAAATACCTTTGATACCGTAATGAGATCCAGATGACTTGAAAGAGTGAATATCTATATCCGAGATGGCTGGTATCATCAAAGCGAAAGAGGGGAATATTCACCCAATTTCTAGAAAATCCCCAATGGAGACATTTTCTTTTTTTTTTGAATCAAAATGAGGTTATCCATGAACATGAGGGGAGAAGAGGCAGTGGGTCTAAGCTATATTCGTATTAGTTACACACGGACCATTCAATTTTGGGACTTTTGGGCTGCCATGGCTGTGAGCTACCGAGTACGTACTTGAGCTACCCTTGTAAAATGCTAAGAATTTGTTGTCACCGCATCTTTAAGAAATACGTAGGTACCTAGTAAAAGATGAATGAAAATAAAATATTTCCAACGAAAATGATTGCGTGAAGTATTTCCATTAATTGCTTAAAATGGAATGGTACTGTTCTTTGTCCGTACGTAGTCAGGTATTCACACAAAGATATTCAGGGTCATCCCGTATTTTTGATATACAGATTCAAAATTCAAAATTCACCAATAATCCCACTGCCCGCCATCATGATAGGGAAAGATTGAATATCGTAGGTTGGCGACGATTCTACGAAAAAGTATATGCGTTTGTGTGTTTGTGCGTGTGTATCTCGTGAGCCTCAATACCTAAAAAAAAAAACATCAACCATTGAACCCTAAAAGACCCACCACCACCCCAATCCCTCCTATCATCGGTGAACAGTTGTCCAGCCAACTCATGTCCATTATTTTGCCCTTTCTAAATGGTTATGTTTAGCTGCATAGAATCTATCGAAGTTGAGAGAAGCTTACAAACGTTGCGAGTCATGAAATTGTTGGGTTGGATGAGAGGTGCTTATTGAAAGTTGAAAGTGTGACTGTTCAGTGTTCTGGAAGTTTGGAAGAATATTTTGGTAGGTAATTATACTAGGTAGTTATGAAGGATAAATGATGTTTGATGGTAGACACAGAGGATTCGGGAATGAGAATTGCCCAGGTGTACATAGATTCATCACCAAAACTATCATATCCCAAGTCCTGATACTTTCGACGGTACTCAGTACTCCGTGCACTCGCATGCTAGGTACACAGACTAAGTAGGTTCAAGATATATATATATATATAAATAAACATGCCAACGAATATGAAGGTCTCCCTTCAGCTGAACGAAAAGTTTCGCCATGAGCTGCAGCAGCCGCCTGCAAGTTAAGCTGGACGCTATTGAAAACCACCGGATGAATTCTCCTCATTTCACCATTTTCGTTCATTTCCTTTTTCTTCAAACCTACTTGTCATTCATTCACATTATATCCCAGCCCGGGAGATAATTAATTCTCTTGTAAAATTATGTATATCCCGAAGGTGACAGCCGAGATGTATCGTTTTCTCGTAGTGTGAGATCTTACAATGGTGCACGGTGTAACCATCCGATGAGGTAGATCCTGTGCTTAGAATATCAGGTGAACCAACCCTAGGATAATCATTAACTATGTTTGTTTGATGTGTATCCGAGCGAGTTCTATCATGATTTCGTTTGACTGTTCTAGAGACATCGACATCGAAATCACTAAGTTCCTTCTTTTTCCATATAAGTCCCCTCAAAACTAGGCTATTTTGCTCTGCAAGTCAGTACCTAGGTATGATATATAAAATCTAAAAAGTCGGAAAGAAAACATGCACGCTTTTCCATCAAGCTCATTACTGCCCCATTGCATCTTCCAAATGTATATACATTCAACAGTTATCATTCATTTCTTCAATCTCAAAGAATAGGTTCTAAGAATTAGAGATAGATACGTAGTCGGGAGGGAGTTTGCTTAAATCTTCGTCGGGAACTACCTATATCACAACTTACCACTCACTGATTAATGTCTGCCACCTGCGAAGTTGCAGGTAGCTAGCTATTTGAAGAGGTTGGGAATACATGTTGAGCTTTGCGTCAAGATATACCTCTGTGTTTTATAGTGTAACATTTGAGGAGCAGTGCCGTGTCATGCCCTTGACGTGGGTACATCTCACATATCTCGATGAGTACTCACTCACTCTACAAACCATCATCTGAATTCATGTCAAAGGGGGTCAATTGTTGATCAATTCTCGAATCGATCAAGTAATATCCCCAAGCTCGACAATCGAATTCATTCATCGAGACTTTGAATCTCCACCTACCTACAGTATTCCCACATCCATCATCCATCATCCATCATCCACAAACAATCCATCTTCATGACCACCAATGCCCAACTCCCGAATCAATCATGAAAACTTAGAGAAAGTAAGTAAATAAGTAAGTAAGTAAATAAATAAGCAAAATCATCAATCACCAATCACTATATATTTATTTAACCACACACACAATCCCGAAGCTCTTTAGTTTTCCAAAAACTTCCCCATGATAACCTTAATAATATTGAAAAAAGTTTGAAGAGGGAATCGCTAACTTTTTGTTACGACGGGCTACACAACTACCAAGGCACGTGATCACAAATGATCAGTAGTGATCATTAAGGATCACTAAGGATCACGATATAGATGATCACTAATGATCATGAAGGATCACTAGTAATCATGGAAGCATGAAGGACTATATAATCAAGATGGATTTCCTTTGTACAGAGCTTCGTGCTCAAGATCAATCATTTAGTATATCCTACTATTAGTTACGAATTGTATATCATTATTGTCATTACTTAAGTCCCTGCTTGACGCCTAGTTATAAACCACCTCGAGAGCCTAGAGCACTTCCACGTGATCCTAGACGGCAAAACTCGTAACACTTTTCTTTTCATTCGATATTTGAGCGCAGATTAGAAAAGAAGTCTTTATTCCTTCTTATTTCTTTTTATATTCTGATATTTTGATTCGAACCTACAGTTGTTGTATTTTTTAATCGTGGGTTAGATTTATATTTATATTATACAAGGAGGGTTATTATTGTGGTGATAGTTCTTATGTTACGAGGTTTGCCGTCTAGATCACGTGGAAGTGCTCTAGGCTCTCGAGGTGGTTTATAACTAGATGTCAAGCAGGGACTTAAGTAATGATAGTGATGCAATTCGTAACTAATAGTAGAGTATACTAAATGATTGATCTTGATCTTGAATACGAAGCTTTATATAAAGGGAATCTATCTTGATTATATAGACCTTCGTATTCCAATATTGAAGCGATGGAGTTGGGGAGCGAGATTCGAATCTCGCTCCTTCGCTCCCTCGCTCTTTCACAAGACTATTCATATGATCCTATAACACATGATAATAGTTTATAATGTTACAACGTAACAGTACTAGACCTATATGTATTTTTGAAAAATATTTCTATATGCAAGAGAAATTATTAAATCTACTCAGTTGAATTTTTTATTGATAATATATTAAAAAATAGTATTTAATAATTAATTTAATATTCTAGATCGATATTACAGTTTCTAATCATCAGACAAACTCTCCTTCGAGAAAACGATTTACGATTTCAAATATTTCCAAAAGCTTAATATAAATAAAAAATTTCTCCTCATCATTAATATTTTTCTAAACTAACCTGTCCATGAATTACCAGAATCGGATGATCTAAGGTAGCTATGATATCACTTTCTGTAGTATAGAACATCTATTTTACTACACTATAACTAAGTAAATATTGAAATTTTATCGTTTATAAACAAGAAAATTACTATTCTCGCGCCTAATATACATGCCGAAATTAATGGCAGTAATGATATAGTTGTCAAGTTCTAGGAATCAGTCACGACGGTGAGAACTGAGTGTATCTACCTTAATAATGAAAAAGAAGTTATAGAATTCCAAACATTATATAAATTGTTATAGAGTTATAATTTTAGAAAGTTTATTTATCTCAACATAAATCTCCCATAAATACTTTTGTCACTACACTGATTAATAGGGAAAAAAGTCTTTAATTTATATCCAGAGAACAGGAGATACAAGACTGCGAGAATGAGAGGAATGGAAATACGAGTTATATGCTTGATCCTGAATATATATACTATAGTATTGGTGCACATGGGATTGGAAGCAAAGCAAATAAATTCCACAACCCGCGAAGTTATAAGATTCAATCATCAATAACGATATCCCATTCTAGTCATATCTCCACTGTGTTCATAATCTACCACATATTAGAGTCTCGTCATTTCCTTCCCCACAACCCATCCACCCCTTCTTCAATCGACATATAAAACAGAGTCTCCCGAACTTATTTCCTTCCCTTTCCTTTTCCTTCGCTATCATCTGCAAATGACTGTGTCTTAGTGCCTCATATGGTGCTCGTATCTGTCTAAATAAGTAACTTGGTATGTTGATAATGAAATCTAGTTTTAGAGCGAAAAAGCGAACGATTGCCAGGCTCCCGAGTTTTTGAATTTCAAAAATAGTCAAATTTTATAATCGACAGTTAAAGTAAAGTTTCAATTGCATTCAAGAATGAGAAGTTATTGTCATATATCGCAGTTAAATACTGTCAAATGCTATCAACATTAACTTCGTCGTCGCTGCAAGCACACTCAAAACTTGATCGTTATCCCCAATCTACAGTACAGGACGTGTAGGTATTAAGAGCTACTAGATTCAAGCTCACAATTCTAAAAGCTAGATATTGATTCAAGATGCGGCTGGTTTACATAAAAATCTTCTTATCTTATAGGCATACCAAAGAGCATAGAGGTCGAGGAAGCGTCGGAAATGAACTTGGCTTCAAGTTATTCGGGAAGTCGATTTTCAATGAATGTCTCGAGGATTAAATATCTTTCTATGGGCAAATCGTATATTATATCAGCGAACTAGAATCACCAGATGCAATGATTACAGTGAAAGCTTATGCGACGTAAATCGGGCTTAGAGAAAACTTTGTTCTGAATATCAGAAACTAAATGAATTCTTAGAACTATAATAGATCAACTCCTCATTCATTCAACCATTCCACAACTTTTCCTAATCTCTTATCTCTCACCACCCCATACCCATCATAACCTCCTATCCCATCCCACACCATCCAACCACCCGCACCCCTCAAGCAAGCATCACCTCCCTCCCCAAACACCCCTCCCCATCAAACACCCACCCCACAGCAACCCTCCTCGCCACACACCCTTCCCAGCAAATCCACATAACAACCCTCATCTTCATCTTCATCTTCATCTTCATCTTCATCTTCATCTTCATCTTCATCTTCATCTTCATCTTCATCTTCATCTTCATCTTCATCTTCATCTTCATCTTCATCTTCATCTTCATCTTCATCCCCATCCCCTCATCCTCCTCCCATCCACCCTCTCACACTTCTCCTCCCTAACCCCTCCCCCCCCTACGAAACGTATTTCTCGCACTATATCTATTAATCCACAACAAATCCCGTAGCGCGGGACTCGAAAAATCCATCTCAAAGTGTGAGAAAATTTCTGCTGTTATATATATGCAGTCGTAGTCTGCGGTTATACGAGACTGTGAATTGAGAAAGCTATTTAAGGTTGCGAAATCGATTCTGATTTCTCCGATTATTTTTGATATGCAGACGCAGATGCAGAGGAGGAGAGGGGATAAATAGAGAAAAATCTCAAATCTTTATATTTTGCAAGTGAAGGTTTCGAAATCGAAGGTTCTTTTAACTGACAAATGAGAGATTTAGTGTGAAAGATTAAGATACTTGTTCCGATGAAATTACTCGATATTATTTTTCTCGTGCTCGTATTCAAACTCATACTTATACTCATTTCCGACTCAAGATCTAATAACCTCCCAGTATAAGAATGAAGATCCTCTCTCTTCTCCAAAATATAGGAATGAGATAATCATGAACTCATGCTCTGATAAAATTGTTCAGGAGAAGTATGAACTTTAATCGTCGAAACCACTTGTTTGAATCTGGTACCTCTACTCCCTCAAACCCTCCTCATCACCAGTATCACTATCATCCACAACATATGTAATCCCCAACCTTATAAGCTTCAAAAACCACCCATCTCACCTCAGAAACCACAGCACATTTTTCCAGACCACAAAGAAACGGATACTCAATCAGACCATTCATTCCAAGCCGTCCAAGACTAAGATGGAAAAGCAAAATCCCTCAAGTCTGAGGATTTCTCTCTCCTCCTCGAAAAATTCCTATCAGCTTGCCACGCTAAATAGCGCAAATTCAATACAAACCCCGGGTACTCCGCTCACCGAACCCCCTAAACCTTTCAATAACTTGAAAAGTCTAGTATAAAACCCCTGACACGCATTCAAACAATCGCTTTCAAGAGTAAATCATCTCGTAGACATTTTCAAAACCATAGAAGTATAATTTTCAAACGGGTTAAGTTTTTTCCGAAAGTCGAAGCCGGTTTTGAGATCTTCGTTATAGAATACAAGTACTTCTATTTTGATTTTGATTTTTATCCTCATTCCCCTTTTTATCAACTTCCCCAACAAACGCAAAATCCTCACTCCAACTCCCCTCTTCACAAGCACAATAAGTACACCCAATCCAGGAGTAAAACAAACCAAAACCCAAAAACTCTCTTATTGTTCGAAAAACCCCAATTCCTGGAATATCCATCCACGAGAACCCCAAGTTGAGAATTTCGACCTCGTGACGCATTTCCTTTGGATCAACTGTAAATCTACTATTACCAGTAATCAGATGTGCTTTTTCATCCGTAAATACTGCATCGATATTGATTAAGCTGGAATTGGCACTATTGCCCGTCGCTGCTGCAACGATGGTTATTTCTGCCTGTAGTAAGTATGTGTATGATGTGTATTCTATCAATCTCGTGCATTTTCTTCTCTATTAGATCGTCTTGAACGATGCATAGAGCATCGACCTATAAATACCGATTGCCAAATCGTCGCGCACTTCCATCGCATCCAAGATCGTCCGAGGAATAATTTGTTTTTCCAAAACTCCCAGCGTGGAAAATTCCCCCTCGTTTTCTTTTTTCAAGAGAAGAAATGGTGGATTTCCCCTCCCCATACATAACTTAGGACGAGATATCTAGGCGTCTCATCGATTCCAATCGTCACAATTCTCATCTCTTCAATATCAATTAATCTACTAGGTCCAATATCTAATCCGAGATTAAATGATATTTCTCGACATTCCCCATGATTCTGAATACATGATTTAAAACAATTTGGAAACATCGAAAGATCCCTCTTGCGACTATTTATCCCACGAGGTAAAGGAATCCATGGTTTTACCACCCCAAGAAACAGATCTTCGTGATCAGCAGCAATCATTAGAAGTTGAGCTGGTTCATATTGAACCTCATCCAACGTATTTTCAGGCCGCCACAACAATAATCTCCTATCACTAGAAATAGTACTGAGAGAAACCTGCAACCTTTTTAAAAAAGGATTAATAATCCACTGATTTTCCTTCTCAGCAGAAACTTCCTCTTCCTCTTCCGTATAACCCAATTCGAAAAATCCGCCAAGTATCAAACCATGAAGTTCTACTTTTTTCGACATCGCATTACTACATATTTCTCTCCTCTTCATCCCGCAAAGATTTTCTCTTGATTAAACAACAGAGATAACAACCCTCCTGAGCTAATGTCCTCCCTAAATGCAAATTACCCGAGACATCTTTGGCGTCTCCACCAAAATCTACTTCTTGAGCTGCCTCATCATCTTCATGTACGATTTTGAGACGTTCGCCTACTACGGCGCAATAGTTGCAAAGCCTATTTAAATGAACCGGAGAGTCAGACGCATGATCCTCGATAGATAAATCAACGATAGCGTTTTCAAGTCGTCGTAAAGCGAGTTTGAAAACTTCGATACTTGGATTTTGCTGTCACGTCTGGAATAGAAAGTTTTAATTCCATTGCATCCATCTTCTAAACCTTCGAAGCCACTGCGCGGCACACGATGAAGGGAAAATATGCCCGAGGTATTAAATGATATTGAATCTTCAGCTGAAGAGGTTATCCAAGCCATGAAGATCTTTTACCCGATTAAAAGATGCCGGTTGAACACAACGTCCACCAGTCCCATGCTTATATCTTGGCATTTCAATGATTACCTAGGTAAACATATACATCTTTATGAGTAACATGCTACATGAAAATATACAGAAGTTGAATTCATAGTAAAAAGAGTTTGTAGTTACTGTCTTGGACTTCCAAGTATTTTGCAGCCATAGAAATGTAAAGAATATATGGGAATGAGAAATGAATTAACGAGTTTGATTTCTAAATGCTATGCTATGCTATCCCTCTATCTTGAATCCGTTCATACAGAAATAGAAATAAAATTGTCGTAAAACATGCAACATATCTATTGTGATATGACCCCATGAGTTGGAGGATGATATATGTGTCGTAAGTTGAGCTAGCTCGCTTGGTTCATGCAACTTCTCACACTCCGTAGACTCCTATCCCAAATTTTCTCTCTCAACAATGACCTTGACGCATTCAAAACTCCAATTAAATTTCCAGGCCCTTCCAGACGCCCCTATGGCACCGATTTTAATAATTCAAAATTTTGATCCGATCAGCCAACTCCACAGGTAACTCGTCTATTCCCAAAATCCCCAATGCCACCACATCTCCCCAGAAGAAAAGCGCTCTACTTTGCGCATATCCCAGATAATCGAATTCATCCTCTTCCTCCTCCACTTGTTCTTTCACTTTGATCTCTCTCTCATTTTCTCTCTCCATCTTATCATCCATCTTCGCATCTTCCAAAATGCCATTTTGAGGCCCATCAATTTCATCCGGTGTTACAACAAAAGGCGGCGCATCATCCAATTCTGGTACCTTAGCTTGTACAATTCCCCACGCAACCCATTGTGCACTATTAGCTAATCTCCACATCCTAACTTCTCTCAACATTTCCTCGACTTGCTTTTCGGTTTCTTCCTCTCTTCTTGCTTCTTCTTCCGCGTAGAGATTCGTACTGCTACTAGGCATGTCCCTTTCACTAGCAAGCGTCCGACTATCTAACATAAACTCTTTAATACTGCCCGCCGGAGCGTCCCGCCCTTCGAACTTTGGAGTAGAGTAAGCATGTAAGTTAAAGTGAGGGCGATGATTTATATATGCTCTGATGAATCTCTTTTGTTCTTCAATAGTTGGATAATTTCTGGTGTCGCACGTCCAAGTCATTGGAGGAGGTGCATGATAATTGTAACACCATTCGGTAAAATGATTGGCGAATTCCAAGCCACGGGTATTGGCACTTGCATACTCAAAATCAATGACTACTAGTTGTTTGTGATGATTCATAGGAAGTAGAAGTGGAGAAGGTGCGGATCCATCGACGGGTAGTTCGGGTACTAAGCGTAAGATGTTGCCATATTGTGTCTATTGAACATGTGATTAGTTTGGGACCGAGAAATAAAGAGGGGAGCGAACATACATCATTATGAGCAAAAACTAAACTACGGCTTAATTCCTCACTTCCACCATAATATTTCTCTAACCATTGTCGGTATCTTTCAACAGCAGCTCTGAAGACGGGCCATTCAACACCACAAACTAATCCTCTATCTCTCCAACTTTCGCCTCTAATACTTCTACTAGAGTCCCCGTCTAAAATCTGTCGGTCGAGATAGGTGATAATTTTCTCACATCTATCGACCCATTTGTCCCAATTTCTCCAAACGAATGGTCCTTGGTCTCTTTCTTCTTGCAACAATGCGACACCATCATGTAATTCCCTCATACGTTTCGCAATTTTCTTACTCGTGTCGGGAATTCTGAGGTCTTGAGCCGTGAGGGTTTGAGCATTAAAGAATTCTTCAAATCGACCATTTCGAAAAGTACCCAACATTCTAGGTCCAATTTTCTTCCTAGCTAATCTCCTCAAAATGCTCAGTTCCGCTTCTCTATCAATTAGGTGCTCAACTTGAGGACCATAAATTCGAAGCAATAACTTTGATGGATATCTTTGGCTCTTAGTAGAAAGATTGGTACTGCTCGCAGACGGTGGTAGATTTGCTGGAGGAGAAACAACATAAACCGCGTTTGTGAGAGCACCACTCAATCTTTCCACTTCGATTTCAGCTCCTCGGTCTAATGGAACTCTTCTCCAACCTTTCAATCTTAATGTGTGCGCCAATCTCACAATTTCATTCTTAAATTGAATCCATGCTTTCCTCTCCTTCTCGGCTCGTTTGGAATTACTTAATGTAGTTGTTTCCATGGAAGACCCAGCACCACCACTATATGCAAGTGTTTTTGAATTATCAAGAATCACGTCACACGATGGGACTACAATGTCCTCATCATGGTATTCGGTGTCAGAGGATGGAGTAGGTTTCAGCGAAGGGCGTACGAGAGATCGTTTTCTTGAAACTCGTCTCGGGGGTGTAAGGTGCGGAAGGTGACTGTGACCAAGATCTAACATGTTATCCTCCAAAATTTTTTGCAATTTTTCCAAGGAAAGAGCGCTTGAAGATGAACTGCTAGACATTGATCTTGGTTTTGAACTTGTTCCTCTACCTGACAAATCCTCAACCTCAGCCTCATTCTCCTTGGTGCCCCTCTTATTTGATTCCCGGGTAGCCCTCTTCGCTTTCTCTGCATGCAGCCATTCTGCGACTTGAGAGAGAAGTTTGTCGCGGTGGTGATGGTGCTTTGAATCATCAGTGGGCTTTGAAAAATCGGAGGTACGAGTCTCTCGAATTGGTTCCTCGAAGCTGGTTTGACTCCGGATAGAAAGTTTAGAGGAAGTTGCAGAAGGCATATTTGGTCGACCTGTCATTCTTTTCGCAACACCAGCACTGAAATGTTTTGTCTTTGAAGATTCGTCGGACGGAGGAAGTTCAAATTTTTGTACGTCTTCTGGTTCTGGCTCGGCAATTGAAACGACTGAGAGAATGAAAGATAAGAGGTTAGCGTCGGGCATGTCAATATATTAAATTGAGGAATAATTTCAATTGCTAACCTTTGGTTGGTCCACTCTTGGGGCTATTAAGGTCTTCCGAATCTGTCCTTAATGCTGGTCTGCGAGGCACCGTCGCACTGTTGGGATCTGGTGGTGAATTCATTTTTATGAAAGATGCAGTTGTTGAAGAATGTTGTATGAGATGAATATGATTCCTATATGAAATATTAGGACTCTCACTATTTCCCTTATCTGGCTCAAAATCAATGGGCACTGTACCTAGACCAACTTCTCAAAAGTTCCCAGTTCCCTCTCATGTGAGAATGTTTGTTTGCGCCCACAATTACCCCACCTTTGCAGGAGCTGAATGCAGTTGTGGGTGGATTCCTCGAGTAGAAGTTTCTGAATTATTTTTTAGCTTTTTTGTGCAGTAAATACTACCTTGTGGATTATGAGTAGTCACCTAGTAAGTGAGTTGGTGTGATATTAGATCTACATCATAGATAAACTATAGATAGATATCAATAAGGAAGGTAAATTGTAAAGTAGAAAGTATAACAATTACTAAGGTATTAGTAAAAAGAGATGTAAATAATTAAAGTTATTGTGCAATGGTGTAAAACCAGGAATCTCACCAAAGTTCGTTCCAAGGATCCCCGCCACCACATAAACCTTATTCTTACGTATGTGTTTTGACCAATCAAATGTCAAGCGCAAACAGAATATAACTTGGCCAAGGCATGCATGTGCTGCTTAGCTAATATTGCTTAGCTAAGTTCTTACTTATTCGAATCTCGTTCATGCGTCATTCTCGCATATGCATGCCATTTAAGCATTTAATTGCATTCACCATGCTTCACTCTCTTCCGTGCCCACAATCTTATTCATCTATCATTTTTCATCTATCACTCATATCCATATCCATAAGTTGATGAATTATCAAAAGCTTCACTATTGAATCTTTCGCAAGAATGGAGTCAAATGCAAGAACCAAGTGATTCTTTAGACCATCCCAGAGACACACTGCTGCGTATGGAGTCTGGACAGTTGACTGTGGCCGATGATTCTTCTACAGGTCTATTTTGCCATGTCTGTCTATCTTTTTCACTTCCATGGATATGCTATGTATACCTTGTGCATGCTCTCACATAATATAAAGCAATATACATTTCATTTAATTTAGAGGCCAGTGTCCTTTATGACTTAGCTACCAGACATAATATCCTCGCCTTAATAGACCATGGAGCAGCAGCTATTTTTAGAATTACCGACGAGTACCATCGAATTGAGTAACTTGGGTGGTATTGGAATGCCTTTCTTTCTGGCCTTGTCCAGGTCAAATCGCCATGGTGAAAAGCGACATGTACCTCTCATTAAGGTGATCCTATTTCACTTCGACCATTACCTTTGAGATCGGCAGTTTAATTTGCAGCACACTTGCTACATCAATACTTTTTGTCCAATGGATCAAACGGGCCGAAAAAATGAATGGGCTAGCCATCCTTGATAGGTGTTGCTAAGAATAATACTACCTTCATCGTTGTTCGTGAACTAGCAGGACCCGGGGGCGGAGGAATACTTTCTGCCTCATTTTCTAAGATTATTGCAGTTATAGCTGCTCTAGAGAGAGTTTTGCATATATTGGAATTTCTGGTACGACTTGGAGTATTGCAAGCGTAATTCGCCCCTTAGTGGGAGGTCAGTCTACCTCGCATTCAAATGGCCATGATTCATGCGTTTTCTTTTTGTGAACAACAGTAGTCGTTCTACACAAACTTCAAAGGCTTCTACATAAACCTCCTCGTCAGTGGTTTGTCGCAGTTATAATTGCCCTATTATTCATAGCTCCTGATTCAGCAAAACCTGTGAGAGCAAAATTGGTGGGAAGAGCTTCTCGATATAAACATCTAAGCCACCTTTACTATCACGTGCTCCACTATATGCTTTCTGCTGAAGAAGCTGGAGTTACGTGTTCGTGGAAATAGGCCATGGCAATAGCTGTAATTGTGTTTGTTCAGTGGGGATTTGTCTTGAGTATAATTTTCTTGCGGCCTTGAGGATTTTTTCGACTAGTTCAAGGGTTCCTAATTTGTACCATTTACTCGTCATTGTTTGAAAATACTGAGTAGTATCAGCATCAATCTGATCTCTGCTCGTCAGTTCAATCCTCGCCTCTATTATCTTCATGATTATTCAGATTTGGCTTGAAAATCGTCCAATACCATCTACCCTACCCGCTTGTTAAGGGACCATATTGTATACAGTGGAATGTCTGTCATGTTCTTTCTCAGTTCTACCTCCCAGATGTTTTTATGCTGTCTCCGGGTATAGTTTCAGACTATTGACGGCATCTCAGATGGAGAATCGAAGATTCGAGCTATGCCTATCGCTGTCTACATGACAACTGGTACATTATTTCAGATGTGTTATTGAAGTTCTTGGCTATCATATTTCTTTGTTACTTTTGAGTCGCGTCCTCTGTCTCAGTCCTCCTCAGCAGTTACCAGGAATCTTCAGATCTTATATAGACGGTTTCGAAGAAGATCTACGTCATTATAATTGTAATGACTGGTTATGGTTCATGCTGCTTTTGGAAATAAGTGGTATGATTTCAAGAAGATCAGCGCTACTAAAACAGCAAAATAGAAGCGTGAGACGAGAGCTAGAATTCATGGTGCTGGATAAGTTAAAAAAGTGCAAAGGTGCCAGGTACCACTGGCCGTTGCGTGTTACTTTTCAACTCATGCCAAATAACTCTTTTTGATCAGATTTATCCCAAAGCCTATGTTTTCAGCCGAGTAACCGTGGAGTACCCAGCTGACCTACCTTGTGCCGCAGTAGGCATTTTAAATCAAATATGTCGCTTCTTGTATATTTTCGCATAGAATATACATGTGGCCCGAATACTTGTGTATTTGTTGTGGAGCCATATTATTTGGTTGAAGGGGTCAATTTGAAATGCCTACTACCGCACAAGGTAGAAATTCCTATAAGTGGGCTAGAACTTCGTCGAAACTGCTACAGAAATCCGGCCGAGGTTTTTAGCACACTTATTGTCCGTAGCATAGAAGATCATAGTGTTAATGTAGAGCTGTACGATTGACCCACATTACAGCTGGCACGTGTTCAATTGACAGAGGTTGCGGTATCCATCTTTGGAATCCTTTACTTTATTTTTAAACCTTTCGCTCAAAATCAGAGGCTAACAGATCATAGCTATCTTTGCTCTCTTGGGGAAATTGAGGGGATTAAAAGATCAAATTCAACAGATCAGACATCTTCGGGACAAGACCTTCATTTGGTTAAGTTGCCAAGATTTACCTGAAGAATGTTGAATGCCATGGATTCCCACGCGTAAACGAAAGATTCTCATTAAATCGGGACTGGGAAAACCTTACATCGAATGGATCGAAGATTTAAATGCATTGATTGATCCTTGAAGATGGAGGATGGCTAATATCTCTAATGAATTAAGTTCAATAATGCGGCTCTATCACAATTACATTTACTCAAAAACTCAGCTGTGCTTCACGTGAATAGCCCTGACTATCTGTTTTTTATTTCTGCCGAAAACACTGTCTCGGCACTTGGCCTCGGATGAGTACTATTTTGGTATTCCACTCGGATCTTCATTTTCTTCCACAATAACATGTGTTAGAACTTAGTGCTATGAATACGATTCTTATACATGGATATTGTACGTGTGACATGTCTATGGAGAAAAAACTTTAAGCTCGGAGCTCAAAATGCTTCCATCGTATGGTAAAGCAAGGTTAGGCTGATGCAAAGACATTTTAAGTTTACCCGACCCCGCATCCCCACACCCTCTAAACTTCCTTCCATTCCCCACTAGTTCCTGTAATGGAAATTTATCCGGTTGTACATGCAACACCACAACAGGAAATGATCTCTGAAGCATTTATTTGGCGTCGCTGAATCATCAAATTTGTGTGCCATTAACCGAGGACCGATCCTAGAACCATGTGAATGCCAAATTTGCTGGCGTCAAGCAATGTATGCCAGGAAGGGTCAGATGGTCAATCTTATTCAGCAGCCAAGGGTGTACCTTTAAGATTTCCCCCTACAAATACGACGAGGAGATACTCTAATTGCTGTTGCAGTTCAAGGAAGCAACGAAGGGTTCACTTCCATTCGCGGTAGTACTCACTCGTCATCCTACTTTCTTTCCAAAAGTCGAAAACTCTTCACATTTATTCATGATGAAGCTTTCGCTGGTTTCAATCATTGGTCTTCTGTCAATTACTTCTGCTCTCCCAGTTGAAAACACAGAGCGAGATGTACCAATTGAAGAGAGAGCCGCAGCCCCAACTGTTACAATTGCATCCCCAGCAGCGACAATCATCGGAGGTGCCGGTACAACTGTCGAGACCTTTGCTGGTATTCCATTTGCCAAACCTCCCGTCGGTGCTCTTCGACTCAAACCACCTCAACCTATCACTTCTGCATTAGGTACCGTCAGAGCAACAGCGCAAGCTGCTACCTGTCCCCAATTCTTCTTCAGTAGTGTAGTCAATGATGCAATTCCTACATCAGCACTCGGTGTTCTCCTCAACACACCCATTTTCCAACAAGTTCTCAATGCCGGGGAAGATTGTTTGTACCTGAACATTCAAAGACCAGCTGGTACTACTGCTTCATCGAAATTGCCAGTCTTGTTTTGGATCTTTGGAGGAGGATTTGAATTAGGGGGAACGTCGATGTATAATGGATCTCCATGGGTAGCTGAAAGTATTGCTCAGGGTAAACCGATCATTTTTGTGCAAGTAGCTTACCGGGTTGGGGGTTTTGGATTTTTACCTGGTGCTGAGGTTCTGGCTGATGGAAGTGCGAATTTGGGATTGTTAGATCAGAGATTGGGCTTGCAATGGTACGTTTCGCTGTTATTGGGTGCTTTCCAATATCTTGTCTTTATTCTGCTATTATTGCATACTTCATTGCCTCATCATACTTGAGCCTTGAACCTCTTACTTTCATTTACTTCCTCATAAACTACCCTCACAGGATCAAACTGACACATTTTCGACAGGGTGGCCGATAATATTGGGGCATTTGGTGGAGATCCATCAAAGGTCACTATTTGGGGTGAGTCAGCTGGAGCAATTTCAGTTTTCGACCAAATGGCTTTGTATGGAGGTGACAACACATACAAAGGTAAAGCATTGTTCCGTGGAGCCATTATGAATTCAGGAAGTATAGTCCCCGCCGATCCTGTCGATTGTCCAAAAGGTCAGAAGATCTACGACACAGTCGTAGCTGCAGCAGGATGTTCAGCATCAAGCAATACTCTAGCTTGCTTAAGAGGTGTCCCTTACTCCACCCTTCTCAATGCAACAAATTCCGTCTCAAGCCTCCTAAGTTATACTTCCGTTGCCCTTAACTATCTCCCTCGTCCAGATGGAACAGCTCTCCCAAAATCGCCGGAGGTTCTCCTTTCTTCTGGAGCATGGGCAAAAGTTCCCTTCATAATCGGTGACCAAGAAGATGAAGGAACAATTTTCGCTCTCTTCCAATCAAACATCACCACAACAAACCAACTCGCGACCTATTTCTCCAATGTCTTCTTCAACAATGCCCCTGCATCCGTCATAACCGGTTTACTTGACACATACCCCAACGACCTTATCTCCGGTTCTCCCTTCCGAACCCTCCTCCTCAATAACTGGTACCCACAATTCAAACGCTTAGCCGCCATTCTCGGTGACCTAACCTTCACCCTCACCCGTCGCATCTTCCTGCAAACCTCTCTAAAAGTCGCCCCCAACGTCCCGTCCTGGTCCTACCTCTCATCCTACAACTACGGCACCCCGATCCTAGGTACCTTCCACGGTTCAGACATATTACAAGTATTTAACGGTTATTAAAGCCAACCTATGCAGCCCGCCGCTAGCAAAGCTTATTATCTCAGTTTTGTCCAATACCCTCGATCCGAATAATGGGACTAGTTCATCCTATCCGAATTGGCCGCGTTATAGTAATGGAGCGAAATTGGTTAATTTTCTTTGCGGATTTTAGTACGCTTATTAGTGATGATTTTAGGGGGAAGAGTTATGATTTTGTGTTGCAGAATTTGGCGAAGTTTTATATTTGAGATTGGGTTTTGGATGGGGTGGTGGGATGGGTGCAGATGGAGATAGAGATGGGGAAATGTGATGTTTGGGTTGGGATTGTGGGATTTGGAAGGAAGGGTTTATGGGTATGAATTATGAGGTTATGATGTTAAGGCTAAATATCTATTATGCAGATGAAAAGTTAACGAGTCTATAAGATAATAATAAAAAATAAGATTACTTTCTAATGTTCAATGTCTGATGTCTTTTGTATATGACAATATCATAAGTATTCTCAACAATGGAAATATATTTTATAAATTTCTTTAATAATATTTTTATAATTATTATTAGACTTATTTATTCAAGTCATAATACTAGTCTCATTTATTATTACTTTTATTATCACAAATATAAATAACATTCAAAACTAATCATCATTATTATAGTATCACTATCATTGTTTCTATATTATTTTAATTATTTGAAAACAATATCTTTTCCAGTAATTACAAAAATGTCAATAGTTTTCTTTCGAATTATCAAGTATTACTTTTATTCTTATAACACCAAAATCTTCCTTTGATCTGCTCTGGAGCGAGCTGAATTTTTTGTTAGGGAGAAATGATCCGGTTTTAGTTTTTTATTATTTATACTTCTCTGATTTGGATAAAATTAATATTTGTTAGAATATATTAATTAGAAGTTCTAATTTGCTAGATATTATTATCCAAGTAAGGCCTTATATTTTAAGTTTTTAATTGTTCGAGTATAAATCTCTCAAGCAGTATCTTCCTAGAAGATTTATTTATAGTGAAAGTATCTTATCAGTAAGGACCAGGCGTGGTTCGGAGTAAATATATTCTAATTAATATGTTATTCACAGAACAACTGAATATGAATTTTTGATCAAGGTATTGTGTAGGAAGGGCCTAGGGATTGGAAAGTGACTGTATTATTCCTAAACTTCTATTATTGTTGTTGATTTTTTGTTCTGGGTATGATATACTGTCACTGCCGATATTTTAATATACTTAATAGTTCTGCAGTGTATTTTCTATAACTAGATGATCTGCACAAGATCACTATTAGACCTGATGCAGTGATTTTCTTAGCTTTCGCCTCAAACGTGGCTAATTTCTTCGGGACTCGTTCTGACAGGTAAACAAATAAGGATATCTAGATATCTTATAGAAAGATATAGAGAGGAAGGGAAAATAAACCAAATTTGTACTCGTGAAATTCTTCATCTCTTTTGCTAAACAGTAGATATGAGGTCATTCTTCGTCACAATACCGTGACAAGATCCACTAGAAAACTAAGAGATGGTAATCTTATGAACTTCCTCAGTATTATTATAAAAGGTGTAGGGCCAAACAAATAATCTTCCTGTGACAGGATAGGATACATGGCATTGATAGCAAAATAAAGATTTACAAGAAATCGCAAAACAATGATCTAATTATATGCTTCGGATATCATGACCTTCTAGCTCACTCATCAAATCTCCAATACGGCAAGTTTATGCTGCCAACTATGGTACATACCTGCTGTCGATATTGTATTCTTTTTAAAGTCGAGTGAGGATATTTTCACTATCTTCAATCCGAAGAATTACTGTCGTCCTATTATTAACTCGATCTCCAAATAATTATATATCAAAATTAAACTTCTAGTATATATAGCGCCATACAATATCAATACTATTACTTCAATCCTGATAAAGATCTAGTTTCTACACTGTATCCTTGTAGAAATATTTCAAAGGTGTGTATCCAAGAAGATTAGGATGAAAAGTAAAAATGTTGAAGGTATATATACTAGGGGGTGTTACCAGAAGGTGTAGTTGGAGACGTGGGATCCTTTTTGATCTAGTTTTATGTTTAACTTTCGCATTGTGTGACTTGAAATTGTCTGCTTGAAGAGTCTAGAAGGTCTTTTTTGAATTTACCAAAACTATATATTGTATTATATTTTAATTATTTTTGTATATTTTATTTTTCGGTTTTATTATTAAATAAACCAAATTGATATAGATAAATTTTTTAATATATATTGTTTTTGGTTAAATGACTCTGATTATTAATTTTATAATTATATTCTTCTGCTTTTACATACATATTAGTTCTATATAATTACTTATATTTTTGAAAATGAAATATTAAATAAGATAAATAATAATATTTTTTTAATTATTAATTATAGAATTCGGCTAGATTAAAGTCATTGACAACTTGAAGAACGGGATAATGAGTGATAGTTAGTCAGTAGCCTGTCAAATTGCTGGTACCATGACTGAGATTACGAATATCCATTGTCAATATTGTGTAAAGTGTATGTTTTGATTGTCACCGTTTCTGGCATACAATAGAGTATTCAACAGGGGCTACAAAATCGGTTTTCTTGAGGGAGTAAAAGTATAATTGCTCCTTACAAACACAGATGCGCTTTCTGCTCCCCAGTGGGTTGAAATGAGCGTTAAATCCTTGATTCCATATTCTTTTATCTCTAAGGAGAATATTAAGTAGCTTTAGATAAATCCTAATCAAATATTCGTGCTGGAATCATGTGTAATGGCGATGCCAACACTAGAATTCTATCCAGAGACTTCTATATTCAGTGATGTAGTGATTTTTAGGGTGGTATTGTTGTAAAAATTATAGAGCCCTACGTACAATAATGTTATCATATCAGTGACAATAACACTTGCATTCTACAACGAAACTATTGAATGCTAGGATTTTCAATATGAACTGCGATGATATCCCCCAATCTTTAACTTAGATATTTCAGTCTTGATGAATCAGAGCTAGATAGTAGAGAAATCCCTGCCACATAATTATATTTTTGTGTCCTTGATTCTTGTATACTTGATGTCCGAAAGTTATAATGTAATGGATGAATTTATAGGTCAAACATTCCTCGGAGCTTCTAATGAGTTCAACGCCTTGAATTTCTTCCTCCATTCACTATTAGGTGGAATTATTCGTCTCAGCTTTCGTTTATATGAAGCAGATTCAATCTTTTATTAGATCTATAAACAAAAATCATAACTCTGACACATTTGGAGTTCTCAAGGTGCAATAACTATAGCTAACTTACATGCATTAAATTCTATAGCAGACTTAGGGGGAGATTAATGAAGCATCATCTTGTAGTACATGAATCTTGAAGTGCTTTTAAAGAGACGTTTGTAGTGATGATTACTGTCATTTAATTTACCATGAAGGCCACCGTAATCGATCGATATTTAAGTCACGAAAACCTCGCCAACCATAAATGCGGTCAATGAAAGCGCCTGCCATTCAATTACCCGTGAGGTGTAAGATGAAACACAAGTTTCGATGTATAGGCTTTGGGATCGAACTATAGAAGGAGTCATTCTTTTGGTCTGCTTGTTCTTTATAACATGAGGTTTTTGCTGTGCGAACTGTTAAAATTACCCAAGTTCAAAGGGTAATTAAGATTTATATATTAGCACAAAATATCTCGCACAAGAAAAATGACCGTTCCAAAGTCTTTCTATTTTTAATTGACAATACAGATCTAGCCATGCCAGAATGTCCCTTATCTATCTAGTTCTTTTCTCCTTCCTTCAAATCCATATATTATAAATACACCTTTCTCCCTCTCGGAAAGCTCCAACCATACCACAACGCGGAAGTCATTCGATATTAACAAAGGATTCGTATCCTCATCTCTAATGCGATAAAAATATCAATTATCATATATTTAACTTACAAATATACCATGTTAAGGTTAGGAATTTTCATCAAATTCAAACATTTAGCCGTGAAGAGACAGTTTTAGATAAGCGAGCGGTGATTAAAGGGGGAATGACAACAACACCCATATGCATACGCGTTATAACAACTATCTCTACTGAAATAAACAAAATTCTTTGAATTCTAGCGGTGATGAAAAAAAAAAATTCAACTATTTCTAAACCTTGTCGTACAGCTCCAAACCGGAAAGTCTACCACCAAAAAAAATCATTATTATAATATCCCGCTCCTATATTAAAGCTCTTATTAATATAGAATCAGATAATCTTATTATAGTCTACAGAATAATTGTAACCAAAGATTAAGTTTTCCGTACCCCAAACTCCTAATTATATATTCGAATTAAATAATATTCAAAAGTCGAATCATTCAAATTCAAATTGCTGAAGTATGATAATGAGAAGAATTATATATAGTAATAATAATAATAGTAGTAGTAGTAGTATAGTTTTACATCGTGGAGATCTCCCTAGGGATATATAGATTGTTACGACGGCGTAACATAACCCGCATCAGGTAACCAATTAGTTAGCAGGATCATGTGACAAGTGTCACCTGATCCGAAAGCCGACCGACTCCCTGAGAATCGATCGGCCCTGAGAATCGATCGGCCCTTCAAGAGTCGATCGACTTTCAGAACACGAAGGACTATATAATCAAGATGGATTTCCTTTGTATAGAGCTTCGTGCTCAAGATCAATCATTTAGTATACTCTACTATTAGTTACGAATTGCATATCATTATTGTCATTACTTTAAGTCCCTGCTTGACGCCTAGTTATAAACCACCTCGAGAGCCTAGAGCACTTCCACGTGATCTAGACGGCAAACCTCGTAACACCACTCTCATCCCTATTCTCCACACCACATACTCACTCTATACTTTACACTTCACATTAGAGAGCTAGAGAACAAGAGGTGAGATTAACGTATTACTTATTTGTATATATGTATGCATGGTATCAATTATTATCCTTTCCATAGACCATCCCCAGCTTTCATCTCACATCATGCATGGTATAATCTTCTCATTTTCCACTCCTCCTTTCTCCCTCTTTCTCCATTCTTCTCCTCTTTCCCTTCACCTCCCCATTCGAAAATCCACAAACCACATCGGTGCATAAAAAATACATCATTACAATGTTATCAACCCAACCAATATAAAATCCCAAAACGCCATGCCACGCTGATGCACCATCCAGCCTTCCCCATCCAAAGTATACAATTAATCTCTTCCGAATCCAGGCCCAAACCTATCCGTATATGCATAAGCATATAGTGTACATTTTAGTTTTGTCCATTCAACCAAAGAGGCATTCCACCTCCTCATTATGTGTTTCATCCTCCCCCTTCTCGGTACACCTAAAATGATGCACCTCTCAAATCCTATCACCCCTAACCTAAGCAGCCCACTCAACAACCTCCAACGCACACATAACCAATACCAAAGTACTTGGTAAAATCCAAATAACATAACTTTGAAAGAGTAATTTACTCATCACTCCCTCATAAACCCCATTGATTTGACAGATTTGTGCCAATTGTAATGCACTTGGTGCTCCTGTCAATAAGAAACAAACAATGACAAAGATCGGATCATCCAATATGCTCACAGGAACATATTTTGCGGTAAGTGCTAATATTGGTGCCATGATCAATGTAGGTAATAACATTCTCGATATCAAGGAGGCAATGAGAAGTTTGGTGCCGATTTGATTTTCTTCGGAAGTTTCATCGAGGACATGTTGTGGGAGAGTATTTCGAGCGAGGTTGGCACCAAGGACGACTAATATGAGAGGAACGGCGACACCTCCCGATTGAGATACGGCGCGTGTAACGGAGTTAGCGATAAAGGAACCTTCAGCGAAGAAAAGATGTTGAAGTTTTGGAATAGATGCGACAATGACAGCGAGAAGCATAGCCCAAAGAGGAGGATTCATGAATTCCCAAAGACCATTCAAAAATCTGTTGGTAGCGTCTGAAACCCTGGTTAAAAGTCTTTGTGCTGGAGCTGGTAGAGAATAATAGATATGATGAGATGCTTTGACGACACTTTGTTTGGTGTGAAATTTGGCGCGTGGGATCCAACCTCTGATTCCATCTGGAATTTCCATCTCCGATTGTGGTGTTGGAATACTTGGGAATGAAATAATATCATGATTGTTTCCTGGTAAATGATTTCCATTGACTGGTGTAGCCATAATACCTGGTAATTTCACAGGTTCTTCTCCTTCGGAATTGTCGAGTAAAGCATGGTTCACTGGGGTTCTACCACCGAAATCAGAAGAATTCGCAGATGATTCAGCGTGGTCTTCCGAATCTTCATCACCATCCAAACCGGGAATCAAAACAGGTTCATCTCTATATCGACCCTCTTCTTCATCCTTATATGTTTCAGGTGGTGCAAGTAAAACATGGTAACCCCAACTCCAACGAACGAGTTGACCTAGTTGTTGAAAGATGAGAAGGTATAGAATACCTCTTGCAGCTACCTCGTCATCATTATCTCCTGGTATTTTATCCCAATGTAAACCTTTCAATGTCTGCGACAATGAAATGACGAGAGAGATGGGTAAAGAGTTCGAATTTCCGAATACCTGTCAGGTCATCACATTAGCATTTTCATCGATTGAGAAGCTAGAATAACATACTCCCATAGCAGTCACAAAGTTTGCGGGTCTTTTTCCAAACCCAAATGCTTTGCCAACTCCTATCGAGACCAAGTATGATACCAGCGTTTGTACAATGAAAATCACCGGTATGACTGCAAGTTCGACTAATTTATCCGCTGTTAATTGAGATGCCAATTTTGTAAAAACTATTCAAATTGTTAGCATGCATCTCTTTAGTTAAATTTCCCCAAGGTTACTTACTCAGACAAGGGGGTGAATAGAGCAACATTCAAATTTGCCAAAAACTTCTGTTTATCCGCATCGAACATTCCTTGTCTTGCCACAATATAACCAGGTAAACTGACACATACGACTTCCATCACAGCTTCAAAAACTAAAAGGACAAGATGTCCTAGGGCAGGATGTGAAGAATGATCATTTGCCAAAGATCCGAATGCGACATCTGTGATTGACCGTGTTGAGATAGATGATGCGCCGACATCATTGCCAGTAGCTAGATTAGCAAGCCGGAAGGAAGTAGGTGATGTGAAGAATCCCATGATAGGTTAGATGGGAATGAGTGATTGGCCTAAGTCTGCGATAGAAATTGGTAGAATTTTATGAGGTTGAGGGGTGTTCGAGGCACTTTCGTCCTCTTTGACAATTGACGTTTCAAACAGTCTTGACAAGGTATGTTATGTTTTGATTTCCGGATACGTTTTGAAGAAAGATTTTAATTGAAGAAAATTCGAAAGAACAAATATGGTTTTGATGAAGTACGATCAGCTTTCTATTTCACGTTCTTTTGCTTTTCTTTCAATAGTTCGAGCTATGCGGGCTGTGTAACGGTGTACGGAGTAACGAACGCCTGGGCAAAATTGACGTGGGTTCCGCTGGGTTTAGCCTCTTTTGTCTTTTTTGTCTTTGGGACCTGAATAATTTGGATGGAGATAAGGCCAAGGGATGGATGGCGTTGCGTCTTGGTTGCTGGTTGGGTTCCTGATACTTTGGTGGGTTTTGGGTTCTGTTGATCCGTTCTCAGCCATTGAAATATTTGATAATCTTGCTTTGGATGCCGCGTAGAGATAAACACTGTACACTGCCCGAATGAAAATTGATGATGGTAACATGGGATATAAGTAGGGTGCTTACTAGTAGGTATGCTTATGGTGTATGATGATGTGAGATTTTTAGGTATTGAGAATTCTAGAGCTTTTGAGCTGCAGCATAGGATTTAATCTGGAGGGTTTTGATATCAAGTTGAGCGATAAACGATCGATAAACGATCGGTAATAGGATGAATGGATGGTATTGGTATTCTTGGGTGCAAGAGGCCAAGGATAGACAAAGAAATTGAGGATTAAAAGTTTGTTTTGTAGAGCTGGGCAAGAGGTTAGTTAAACTTGGAATTATTGGTAAGACAAACAAAGAATTGATACATCAGCCAATTGAGTCAAAAAAAGATTCATTCAATCTTTACTCATAATCATAACTCAAACCTCAAAGTCACTTTTGACTTCTCATATATACCTTCATTCCCCACTACTCACGATACACAATAAGGCTTCATGCAGACTGCAGTACTCTGTACATAGTGACAATAATCTACTTCTCGGTACTCGGCCAAGACGATAACATAATCCAATGTCGTGTCTGGGGATTTCTAATTGTCGTATCTATTATATAAAGATTTACCATTGATGCCGTTGATCCCATTGAACATTTTCTAGTTCTTCTAAGTTGTTAAATACTTGGGTACTTTGACCATTTACATGTTGATGCTCAGAATTAATACCACAATGATATGCGATGTGTAGGGGAAAGAAGAGAGATACCTAGTTACTTCTTATCATTCTTGATGTCTATGATGTGTGATGTGTAATTTGATGATACCATTGTTGCTTACAATGATGTCAATTCGTGGAAATACGGAATTCCCTTTCTCTTTTCTTATCGTTCAATATTCAGTACGATTCTACTCTGCTCAACTCAAAAGTGCCTTTACCTCTTTTCGCCCCTCTCCTTATAAAGATACTCGTGCAGGAGAAACTATCCCGAAGTTTTGTTTTTGTTCTTGTCACCAGCAAACCTACCAAGTCTCCAAATCCAACTGTGGCTCCTCTCACTGATAAGAGTCGATAGTCGATACTCAGCCACATTGAGACCCCCAACTCCACAGCCACATCGATGACGACAATGAATTTCAAGCCTCACACACCCAAGTTGTAAACTTCTCCACATTTCTTGTTTGCACTGTACCTTGAATAATTGAGGGCTTTGACGTTTCTTTTCCATTTCTTCATGCAGGTGAACGTCAGATTATCAGATTGTTATATCCATCCAGTAGTTATCCACTCTATAAGTTGGCATGCCTCCAACCAAAATAGGGAAAAGTGGATTGATTATGATATTTTCATAGTGGTAGCGTAGAGTAGATCAACTTGGCAGAGATTTGGTTGGATCGTTATGACACCTCGAGTAAATATATAAGAATAGAAACAGCAGCATAACATTATGAAGAACGTTCATCATGTTGTATTACTCACATGAAATCAAGGCGAAATAGAGGATCTTCACACAGTCCTATCAATTGAGATATCAGAAAGAAGTCAAGTTGGGGAAAGTTGGGGTCCAATGCAGTACGGGAGAGCTCAATAAGAACTTTCTTCCAAATCCGGATAAAGTTATTGATAGCATATGGGTTCTGCTCAGGGTGAAGTATGTCTCAAGACAACATTTGCCTTACTTTGATATGTCCTACCTTGTGGCCTTAACCATATGATAGGTATATATTTTCCCGAACACTAAAGCCTCGATTTTTGAGTGCGATTAGAGTGAGGCTGACTCGTTTAGCACAATTCAAGAATTAAGCTTTACTGTAGAGCACAACCGGTCGAGGCTATCAAAATACGGAGGGATATTGTATGAATAGTACCAATATCCGAGTTAAATTACCTAGATTATAGATATACATTATTCATAGAGCAAAGAGAAAAAACCATCAATCAATCAATCGAACTGACTTCCTACTTTCCAAACACGTCACCGAAAGATACCTCACATCCGAATGAGGTAGACCTACAGTGATGACCTCAAAGCAGAAGATAGATGCACCGCAATATCTCATCATGATTATTGATCACAACACCAAAGAATCATCACGGCAGCAAGTACAGAGTACGTACGTAGACAGTCATCACCCTGAGCTGATCCTTCTCCAAATTTCATGGTTCGAAGTTCGAAGCATAGCTCCACGAGCTCCACGTTTCAGGGCCTGCAAGTTTTCTTTCGTATGTGGCTTGAAATTGAAATTGATGAATGGATGAACGGAGAGATGCCCCGGTTTTAGATTTTTCTGGGACAGAGAAGATGGAAATGGAAATGGAAATGGAAGTGGGTATTTAATATTTAGTACCTAGGGTATGGAGAACAATGATATTATTAGAGAATGGGAATTGTTAGAGCATAGAGATTATTAGAGAAGAGAGATTATTAGAGATTGGACATGGGACATAATAGAGTAGAGATGAAAAGAGAAGATTGAATTAATTATATGATCCAATGAAATATCCATCTCGTTCCTCTTAACCAATCAAAATGCAATGTTGAGTATAATATAATTGATTACAAATGAATTACTAGGCGATGCCACTTTCTCTCCCTCATAAAAAAAAAAGATAGAAATATAGACGGCATCCCATTTCACTGCCGGTACATTATTACAGTACAGCAGATAGTGCTACCAAGAACACCCACCACCATCATCACGATTCCACCATCCCACCCCCAAACTTTACTTTTGGCACAAAACTTCCCCCCTCGTTTTCTGACACCCACTCACCACTTACCATTCACCGTTCACCAGTCACTAGTCACCAGTCACCAGTCACCACTCACCACTCACCACTCACCACTCACCACTCACCACTCACCACTCATCAAGCCCCTCTATAAATTTATCTTTTTATATATATGTATATATTTTTTTTACCCCCCTTCCTCCCCGAGCTTCACTCAAAACGTCATCGTACTTGAAATCTTTTACCCTTCTCTTTCCTTTTTACCCTACTTTTCATCATCCAACGAATCCCATCCCTTAATCCTATACCACATCAAATATCAGGGTCTTCTTCTCTACACATTTGACCAATATCGTACAAATCAAAAAGCCAATGCTTATGCATTGGGAGAAGATCATCGATATCGACATTGAAACAGAAAAATACAGATGATCAAGGGACCGGAAAATCCCATTTGTTGGTAATTGATCTTATTGTTCTACAATACTACCCTACATACCTACCTACACTTACGTTGTCAAGTTACTCGAAAAAAATATCATAATTAATTTCATTCAGCAACAAACATCAAGATATTTTTTGAAACAACAATCAATTTAATAGCCGGGCCATTTCTTCACTGCTTGCCCACCTGCCTACCTTATTACCTTCATACCTACCATTCGCATACTTCTGCTATTCTCTTATCAATAAGCCTCAAGATCCTCAATTCGGCAACAATCCTTACTGTCTACCTATCTACCTATCTACCTATCTACCTATCTACCTATCTACCTACCCACCTATCCACCTATTACTACCTACCTACTACCGCTACCACTACCTTTGTCAAAGATCATCCCCCTCATTATCAATCAAACTCCCTAGGGGAAATAATCCAAAAGCTCTCAGGTTTCTAATCCATCTATTGTCCCAAGATTACCTATTAGAAACCAGACACCCATTCTCAACCAGCGGATCCGGAATACTTGGAAAAGCAGAGAATCAGAAGAGCAGAAAAGTCGGACAATGGGAAGAAAATAAAAGAAGGCTGTATCTAAGCTTCAATCGAACCCACACCAAATCAATCAATAGCTTCACACTCTCGTCCGAAATTGCCCCAGATCTCCTACCCCACCCGGTCTTCGCACGAAAGTCTGAAATCATTTCGCGGACTGGCAGACGGTATATGTGTGGGTTGAACAACTTTATCACCCAGTTTATCACCTCAAGACTAAAAGAGGCAGACTAAAGATCACAAAAGCCGAAGAGAGTTGAGCCGAAAGGGATCTTCGAAGACCTAAGAGCTATTTGGTCTAGGTCTATCTCATAGCTTATGCTCTAGACCGGAGCTTCCCCCTCTCGATCGATATATTTTCGAACCAACACGATAATCCTGAATCTTAACCTACAAGTACGATAACTACGAGTTCACTAAGAAATTTCTTCATATTTGGAATTTCCATACATCAAGTGTAAGTTGTCCCATTGGACCCCATCACTTCAATTGATATATTCTTCTACCCAAGAGAGCAATCAATCAATGGATATATTCTTCCACCAAGGGAGACATTAATTATTTCATTCCCTCACTGACTCTCTTTACCCTAGAAAATCAATCAGAGCCTATTCCATCCCTATCCCGCACAACATACGATCTCTCGAATGCGAGCACCATTTCCTACCAAAATCATGACAGATAATCCTCAATTAGATTCGATGGCTCCTCCGTGCGATTCAATCGACTTCGCTACCAAAGATAGCCTTCCTTTGGATGAAAAACTTACAGATGACCAATCGAATGAAGCTCCCACATCACCTTCCTCCTCGAAACCTCCTTCTCTACCATCTCTCCGTGCCGCATCAGATCCCGAAGGAATATCGACCATGACAGCATCTTCTACCCCTCTTGGAATGTTGGCAAATGCCAGACGACCAAGACCTGGTCCGTCGATACCGGGGTCTAGATCTTCACAACCAGGAAGACAAGCTGGTGGTGCATTACCGACTTCAATGGCAGAAAAAATGAAAGCATTCCACGCATCAAGACAAGGCACTCCAAGTCCACGGCCCCAAATGCCTGCTACAGTTTCAACACCTGGGATGCCAGGTTCGCCTGTTGTAGATGGTTTGCCTGGAAAATTACAGTTACCGCCGAATATGCGACCTCCACCACAAACCTTTGCTTCTGCTCCGGCAGTTCCGAAAATGAAGATGGGTGGTGGATTAAGTGCAAGAAGAGGAATGAAATTACCTGGTGGTTTACCTCCCGCCCCGGCTGCCGCACCAGGTTCGGAATCAAATGGTGCACCAGATACTTCGAATGGGGGGTCTATGTTTAATCAATTTGCAAAATATGTCGATACAAAAAATGGCACATTGAAATTTGCCGGCAAAGCAGTTATTCATGGAAATGGTATTGACTTTGCGAATGGAACCAATTTCAATATATCATTGGACGAGGTTGACACGCTGGAAGAACTGGGTAAAGGTAACTACGGGACCGTTTATAAAGTTCGGCATGCAAGACCACGAATGCGCAAACCAGGGTTGGGTCTAGCGGGAAATAAATCCCCATCTGCAATGGACGTCGATGATAGTGAAGTCAAACCAACAGGGGATACCACCGGCGTGGTAATGGCAATGAAGGAACTTCGTCTAGAACTTGATGAGGCCAAATTTGCCGCCATCATTATGGAATTGGATATTCTTCATAGATGTCTGAGTCCATACATTATTGACTTTTACGGTGCATTTTTCCAGGAAGGTGCAGTGTATATCTGTATCGAATTTATGGATGGTGGATCGATCGATAAACTCTATGGAGATGGTATTCCCGAAAACGTCCTAAGAAAAATCACATATGCCACCACTCAAGGTTTAAAGACCCTTAAAGATGAGCATAACATTATTCATCGGGATGTTAAACCAACGAATATTCTTGTAAATACCAAAGGACAGGTCAAAATTTGTGACTTTGGAGTGTCAGGAAATTTGGTTGCTAGTATTGCGAAAACAAATATTGGATGTCAATCATATATGGCACCAGAAAGAATTTCTGGTGGTGGAATTTCACAAGCTGGTGCAAATCCTGGGGGTGGAACGTATAGTGTACAAAGTGATATTTGGTCTTTGGGATTAAGTGTTATTGAATGTGCAATGGGAAGATATCCATATCCACCTGAGACGTACAATAATATCTTTTCACAGTTAAGTGTAAGTCTCGAATTTTTACTCATCATTTTCGGAATCGAAAGCTAACATGGATAAGGCTATTGTTGACGGTGAACCACCTGACCTTCCAGAAGAAGGTTTCTCTCCAATCGCACGCAATTTCGTTCGTGGTTGTCTGAACAAAATTCCAAAACTGCGTCCTACATATAGTGATTTACTTCAACATCCATGGCTCGCCGACCTCTCGAAACCAAGCACAATTTCGGAAGAGGATGAAGATGAAGATAATGTTGACATGGAAGGCTTGAACCTGGAGGATGGAGTAGAACAGGATAAATCAAATGGGATCCTGACAGGAACCGAAGATTCAGAAGTCGCAGAGTGGGTGAAGAATGCCATTGAGAGGAAAAAGCAGGGTTTGATGGGTACTCATGCTCAACCGGCATTACATAAAGCCCCGTTGGATACGGTTAGTCCATTACCGAGTCCTAGTTAAGAGATAGCGAAAGGACTTGTGTGGAAGTAGAAAGATGGGAAAGGAAGGAAATGATATGGCATGGAATGGAGTTTGGAACATCATTGCAATTACGATTGCGATTGAAATTTGCAATTTTCGAAAAGGCAAAGATGGAGGCAGGCTCAGCCCAATTGTACATTTGAAACCCTTTCTTTTTCTTTTCTTTTTGATTCTTCTCTCCTACGAACAAATATTGAAATCTACTATTTCTTTTTTTTTTCTTACAAGGCATAGCGTGAGGGGCATGGGGGTTACGAGCTTGAGGCAACGAGTTATAAGATTATTAGGAGAATGATATGAAGATATGAAATCAAATGAAAGATGTAAATGAATAAGAGAAAGAAAGGAGTATATTTGAAATGAAATGAAATGAAAGGGAATCGAATAGATCTGGTTGATGAATATTTTTGAAATGAGATTGTTGAGAAGTGAGAAATAAGGAATTTGAAACAGAGATTATTATTTTTTGATCATGTAAGCTTATATAAATAGACTAGAGTAACTTGATTCAATAGATATGCTCAGGGAAGATTTGTAAGATTTGATAATCATGGTGTTATGGAGGATTGTATAGTTTACTATTATAGATGGATGTAAAAAGTATTAATATCTCTACTTAGGAAAGAAGAGATGTCAGTTAAAAACTTTGGCGAGAATGTTGGTGTAGACTAGATGACATGACAGTAAATTTTTAGAAATCGAAAGTAGTTATGGAGTATTGAAGTTTAGGTGCTTTATTGGAGAATTTCAACTCAAGAGTGGTCTTTTTTTTTTTAGTTATTGGAGTATGTAATTAAATAAATTTCTTTATTTTTTAATCCTTGAAATTTCTAGTTTATATATATAGGTGTTTTTTTTTTTTTTTGAATCTACGAGTATAGTTTATGATTAGTTTTGTTTTCTGATGTGTAGGACTTATTGACTTGGGGGAAATAAGATTACATCTGGTCCTGTGGAGTCCGGCTTCTTTTAAATTAATCTTACTATGTAATTACTGGTTATGTTGGTTTAAACCTACACGCTGGGATTTTGGGGGGGGAGAGGTGGGTGAGAGGGGGCGGGGTGGTTGAATTATATAAAGAGCCATAAGTAAAAGAATAATTAATCTTCAGACGGTAAGTTTCATCGAGGAAAGGGAGAGTGATAAGGTATTAATTAGTTGGATAGCTAGACTTGGATAAAAAGATGTTTGGTTTGGTGAAGTTGCCGAAGCAGACAGAAACTACAAAAGATTGTTTGATTAAGATTTGAAAAATATAACGTTTTCTGTACTTTCAATAAAGTTGATTAGGTATCGATAATAGTTCTTTTTGATTTATATAATTAATAATAAAGAAACATTGAGCTCGCGAGTATTAATCAATAAGTTTAAGAAGTATATTATAATGTTCTTATACACTAGATTAGAATATAAAATAAAATAAAACACGTTAGGGCTTCCTGATTCTCCCGAATGCAATGCAAATAAATCCTTTAATATATAATTTTCCAAGGAAATCTTGTGTTTAGTAATTAATAGCTTTTCTAGAAGAACCCCTACTAGAATTGATGATCTAGTTAGGTTTTGATATAATCCCCTCTCTCGTCTTAGAATTGATACTAGACAGTCAGAGGGTACGAAAACTCACGGGTTCAGAATAGCATTTTTACTTCTGGTCGCTGATAGGTATCTACCGAGGAGTAGCTCTGGTAATATATGTGTTCAGGGGAGGCTCTAGACTCCTCTGTTGATAACAGTTAGAGACTTACGTGAATGCCCATTCATGACGATTGCCGTCATTGCGACGTATAATATCTATCGTTATCAAAACACACTTTTGTGAATCTATTCCAGGTGAAATTGGTCTCAGACTAACTATCATTTAAAATTTCTTGATACTGCTAAGGAATAATTTTCTATCGTTTATCAAGAGTAAAGGCTCCCACCTACCTGATGGCATTCTTTATGCGTCTGAGAATCTATAATCTCAGCCAAATAAATCCTTGGGGCTAAAAGTAGTCCTAGGTATTGTATAATTGGAATCTTCGTGTCAATTGTCTCGTATATTGATAGATCTCCTTTATAACCGAGTTTGGATCTTGTGCTGCAGTGCAGTGCTACCCCGAGTATGACACCGAATGACAACATGGAAAGGAGATTGACCAAGAAAACAGCTAATGGATTATTAGTCTTGCATTATGTTTATTTCATCTACCTAGGTATATAATTGTAACCTCGGATATTTCTAATCCATTTACTTAGACTTTAGTGTCATAGTCCCCATGTATTAACATAGCATTCACAGTCAGATAGTCACACAACTAGAGGGAAATTTTCGTCTAATGTCTCATTTAGTGGTACAATACACAAACATGAGGGGCTGGCCCACGTTACTTAATATTGGCATTCCCGATGTCAAGTCGCCGTGTGGTTTTTGATAAGTTGAATGGAAGTAATGTTCCTTTGCCTAGTTACCATATTTTAGTACTAGATGTTCTAGGGCAATGTTATAGTATAGAGTGACTTTGACCCCTCAGTTGGATTTTGATTCCTTCCATTACTTCTTGTCATTTTATGTATTTTAAATAGAAGTATTCGTTATTGGCTAAGGACTTTGAAGCGAAACTGGACGAGTTAACCAACGGCCTACATCTAAGCTTCAGAATGTATCCACTTTCCATCTTCATTCAGGTTTTAACGGCTATTGGGGTTGTTTTGGCCATACCTCTTTCTGTAAGAGTTTTTCTCTTAATCTCCTTTCCATTTTATGATATACAGTACTTGCGCACAGATAATGGCCGTTCCCCTATTTTACACCAAAACTTATAATTGTGACGGAAACCCCTGCTTTCCTCCCACCCTTATTATATAAGAAACCTCAGGTACATTAACCATGTTCACACATGATACGATTACTCGAGATTAGTATACGATTTAGGTGGTCTGAGGATCAGATCCGGACAAGTACTAGGTATAAATGGTTATCGGTAAAGTAAGATCATTGGAGGGATAAATATGACTTCTTTTTGCCTTGCCATTGCGGCTAGGCCATTCATTTGTATGTATATAGAGCAGCTATCCCCATCTTCAGGTGCTCTTCACCTGTAGATTCTAAGTTAAATACAATTGCTGGTCTATAAACACTCTTTTGGTCACAATATTAAACACTTTAAAGTTTTATATACTCAATCTTTATTTTATATAATTTATTTTAATTTATTTTAATTTATTTTAATTTATTTTAATTTATTTTAATTTATTTTAATTTATTTTAATTTATTTTAATTTATTTTAATTTATTTTAATTTCTTTTAATTTCTTTTAATTACTTTCAATTGAAATTTTCAAAAAAATAAGATTATTTATTTTTAAGATTTTTATTTATTATAGAATTTGGATATAAATTTAAGATCATTTTGAAATATTGGATTTTACTGGTAAAATAAGCGAAAATCAACAAATTTTTCAATAACATTTTTCAAAGAATCAAAATAATTGTCACACTCAAGAATACTGGGTAAAGTATCTTGTATTAGAAAATACTAAGCTAAGGAGAAAAAGAAGAAGGAAAACAAGAGTAGAGATTGATTGATTGATTGATTGTGTTTATTGTCATAGGCCGTAGGCCCACGCGCCTTGGCGCGTGATAACCTTAGCCATCTATTCCAGTTTTGGACAAATGACGCTCAGAGGAGAAGCCTCTAAGTAGTTTACTAGCTAGTTAGGGGGAGTATTTGTATATAATTTAAAGGGGGCTAGGGCAGGGTTTACATGATTGCCTTCGCAGGGGGGGGTTGGGCCGGTAGGCCTTTTGGGGTTGTAATTGTGGTCATCCTCGTCCACTAGATCACTATCTCTTGATCTCTCTCCCTGTCTCCTCGTACTTGTTTTGGTTGTTCGTATGTATACTTGTTTTTTTTTTTTTTTTAATGAAAGAAAAGGGAAAGATGAAAGAGAGGAAAGAAGAGGAAGGAAAATCACCCTTAGAGACCTGTTAACTCCATTTGAATCCAATGAAAGAAAGAAAGTTGTTTTTTTTTTTTTTTTTAATTTTTTTTTTTTATCTTGCACCTATGTGCCACGGGCAGATTTCTGTGTAGAATTTGGTGTATTCTAGCTATTCGGCTAGTTTGGCTATACCGGTGGGATTGCTTACAAACCAAGGGATAGTTTCGGAAAAAGGGCTCTTTGTGAGTACTTTGAAGGCTTTTCCTTTTTTGCAAAAGAAAAAGTATAATAGAGTTTTCCTTTTACTATACAAACAATGGGCATAGGCTGTAGTGTAATTGAAGCGTTTATGGTATACTGCGAAGTCGTCATACTGTGATCTGATAGCGAGAATATGATGGAGTGTGGCTTTCTTCAAAGAGAGGGTGTCTATATTAGAAGTATAATTGAGTTGGAGATCTTTGTAGTATTGTAATCTGATTGTATTTTATAATTGTTTGTTTGCTTTATTGATCCTTGTTTTGATCATTCTTTTTAGAGATATTAATGTATAGATTAGGTTAAGGAAAAAGAGGAGTTTTATTCCTTCCTTAGCGGCTTTGTCAGCTATTTCGTTGCTAGAGATATCCAGGTGCCCTGGGACCCATCGGATGCGGATTTTCCCGGGGGAGGTGTGTGGGAGCCTTGGTCTGACAGCCCAAGCCTGTGTGAGCTTCAGAAAGTCTTCAAAGACTCTCTGTGAGGAACTGTTGAAGTGGGATCCTAATCGGAGAGCAGCCTCGTGGTTGTCTAAGAAGATCCAGAGATCTGTAGCCAGTTTGGTTGATGCTAGAGTGAGGGCTTTTGCTGCCCCTGCTACTGCAGCTGTAGCTTCTGCATCGAACACTTCTGCATTTATATCTAATGAGAAAGAATGGTATGCTATCTGAATATCGAATTGTGAGATTACGAATCCGCCCCCGGTTGCGCCATCCTTGCTTTCACTTTTTGAGCCATCCGAGAAGATTTGTATATCGCTTCTTGGGATCTTAGCGTGGAAGGCTTTGAAGTCTTCGGTTGCTTGTGCCTTCGTTCTGCCCATCGGACTATTGATACGGGCCTCGGCCTCTGCCCTCGACTCTCTGATTTCCCAGGGGGGGAAGGCCAAGGGGTCTATGTGTTCAGTCTCCGGTAATGCTGTGATGAGCCTTGCGAATCTTGTGTCTGGGATGCGATTCTGTTCTTTGGCTTTGGTTATGTTCTCTGCTCTGATTCTGAGAGGGTGGTAGGACGTAACAAGTAGCGAGTTTTCCTGTGATTAAATACAAACGGGGCATGCCACGTGACCCGAAGGTGTGAGGCGTCCCAAAATTTGAAGTTATCGAATTAAAGATAAATGAATTAAAAATAAATGAATTCAAACAAAATAACAATTTTGACGTTGAACAAGAGTAGAGAGTTTTCCTGTGATTAAATACAAACGGGGCATGCCACGTGACCCGGAGGTGTGAGGCGTCACAATAATTATATTTAAGTTTTTTTTAATTATTTAAAAATTAAAAAAATTAATTTATTAATATCTAAATTATATATATATATATTTATAAGTTTAATTAATTAACGTGGTTTATCAGCGAGCGGGCCACTTTTACCTCAATTTATCATTTCAAACCCATATTATTTAACAACAATTAAATCAATTGATTGAAACTATCAAGAATCTAATAATCTAGGATCTATTATACTATTCTGACAAGTTCTTGAATTATGACCAGTCTTTCCACACTTACTACAGTATCGACTAGTAGATGATTCCCTATTAAAATTTCCCCCATTTTGACGCTCATCGTATTGAATCTGATTATCAACCTCTTATTGTAATAATATATCTTCAGCTTCTTGTCCAGTAAGTACTCCTTCATTATATAGTTGAATTTTTTTAGTGTATCGACGTTTACTTAATACCTTATTTGCTCTTCGAAGTATACGATTCTCAACACTCAAAAGTGTAATTTCATATGCTAATCTCTCTATACCTTTAACTAAAGTTTGTATAGTCTCAAATATAGATGTAGAAGAGCTTGATTGATAACAAGTTATTCGAGCTTTTACTAGAGTTGATTGTAAAAGAGCCTTAATTGGATTATGAGAGATTTAAGAGATCCAGGAATTGGTAAGTTCCAAAGAGGTAAATGGAGGAATAAAAGTATGAATCCTAATATCTAGTTTTGAAAGTATAGATTGAGGATCGAATGGTATTAGATCTGTTTCTCGAAAATCAGCTTTCATATTCTGAATAGTAAATGATTGTAAATATGCAGTTTTGAAGGCTATAAAGAATTCAACCTTGGTAATATGATTGATATGAGCTTTGATAAATCCTTTAATTTGATAACTATATGAACGTTTGAGTATGCCAAAACACTCAATATCGAGTGGTTGAATTAAATGACTTGAATATGATGGTAATTTAAGGTATATAATATTATTTGATTTGCAATATTGTTGGGTTTCTTAAGACCAGAAAGAGTATCAGATTGAATTGATTGATTTTCTAGCTGAGCAGTTAAGCTGCGAGTATATATTGAAAAAAAATGAAGGAATAGGTTAGGTATTCGGCCTTCGGAATTAAAGTGCTTTGAAATCAAAATATTGAAAGCAAACAAACAGTATACCAAAAAGGAAAGAATGAATTAAAAGTTGAGTTTTGTTTGCTCCTTATATGCATATGTACTATATATGCATATGCTGCCAAGATCCCAGGAGGTCAACAAATATGGTTGAAAAGGTATTGATTCATAGCTTTCGTGCCCATCCAATACTAGCATTCGATATTTGCTCTTTCTTTGACGAATAGTATGTTTATTGAAATGCTTTAATCATTCTAACCCTATCTCATTATTTGTTCATCTATTGGAAGTAGGTTTAATAGCCCAATCCACAGGAAAATCGGTTTCGGTATATCAATTGGAAAGATGAACTTGTTCTTGAACTACCAGAAATAGAGGTATAATTTCACTCTCTCTATTACCACATATAATTGCTATAGCCCACTCTCGATTGCCTGATTGTATTGCCTTGCTTCTGCCATTTCGTTCAACACTAGTTACAATCATTCCAGGGCATATTACACCCATCATGAAGCTGGTTTCGTCGAAATTGTAGAAATCGGAATCGACAATATTATATTTCGCCTACATATTCGATACCAATCTAAATCACTCTTCAATAAGCTTGGGATCTTCGCAGAGAGCTCTTTGAAAATCATAAATGCAATTAAAATATATCTTTAATTCTAGATATCGTTTAACAAAGCAATGAGCCTAGAGCTTTCCAACCTTCTTCGCACCCTGCGATTCGAGGATATAATTCGCTATATCTTCTACACTATTTAATTTAGGTACAAATCCTTTCTTATCCATATCGATTATATACTGGATAAACATTTCCTCTTCTAATTTGGTCAAATTATGACTATTTGCTCGAGATTCGATACGAGGGGTAGTACTGTCCATTCTGCGCTGAATCTTTGTACACGGGATATTATATAGCTTAGCAGCCTTCCGAATGCTTAATTTTTGGTCTTTATTGATAGCTTCGATAGCTAAAAGTATTCGACCTTCTTGATTATTCGATTCCATAATATATTGTTGATAAATCGTGTATTGAAGTTGAAAGATATAAATTGAGGTAAAAGTGGCCCGCTCGGTGATATGGCCCGCTCGCTGATAAACCACGTTATATTTATTTAATATAAAAAAAATTAGATTTGAAAATATGGTAAAATGGTTATTTTAGGTGTGTTTTTCACGAACGGCCATTATCAGTGCACGGTTACTGCAGTACTTGATGAAGAATATCCGCAAGGCACTTAAGAAAATTGCTAATCTGTCCAAGAGACCTTCTATATCCAACAGTAACATCATCGTGTTACGAGGTTTGCCGTCTAGATCACGTGGAAGTGCTCTAGGCTCTCGAGGTGGTTTATAACTAGGCGTCAAGCAGGGACTTAAGTAATGACAATAATGATATGCAATTCGTAACTAATAGTAGAGTATACTAAATGATTGATCTTGAGCACGAAGCTCTATACAAAGGGAATCCATCTTGATTATATAGACCTCCGTATTCCAACATTGGAGCGAGGGAGCGAAGGAGCGAGATTCGAATCTCGCTCCCCAGCTCCATCGCTCCCTCACAAGACTATTCATGTGATCCTATAACACGTGATAATAGTTTATAATGTTACAACGTAACACATCGTGTACAGCGAAAATGCCCAAATTGTGAGTATCATTATAATCCCGCCACTAATCCCTCAAAAGGATACTGATGATCATTCACACTGCAGGAATCACATTTATCAAAACGTTCATTCGACTCCGATGTAATTATTGAATGTCTGCAGGGTTTCATGTCGAAAGGTGGAGGTCGGGTATTTAAATGTGTTTCTATTCACCTCGAGCCAGAAAAACATAACGGATAATTTGATCAGGATATAGACTGGAACCGGGAAGACAGAGGAGGGGGGTGAGGGCATGGGTGAGGGTGAGGGGGAATTAGAGCGAAAGTGGCATGTCTTAATTGAGTAGAGTACCCGGACTTCCCAGGACTTTGGGGTGGGGGTGGGATGCTATAATTGAGATTCACACTCTTAGTTGGAGCGAATTGTATGAAATCTTGGCTTTTTAATTTGATGCCGAGGAAAAGAGGGAAACCGCATGAGGATTAGGATTCTGGATCTAAGTAAATATTCGAGGGCTTGCCTGTATATCTACGAAGACTGTCCCTTACAGGAATAATTTTTGAAGCGCGAAGTTATGAAGTATGGTATTCTATTCTGGCATTGATGGATGATGGACGGTAATACTAAAATGCGAATCAAAATTCACTCCAAATAATGAAAACACAAACTCAACACATTACAACAGAAATCTGTCACATAATAATGTCGTTGAGAAGACTATGATGCTTCAGCTGATGATTAAGCATCTAGTTTATGTACGCAATTCCAACGGCGCGTCATTGGTGATATTTCTGCACCATGCTCCAACGTCCATAGAGGTGCAAGAAAGAGCTAGATTTATGCCGCGCAAATATAGTGACAAGGTCGCTGGTAGATCATATTGATCGATGTCTCTTTTTTCAAGAGTTGCCCTTGCTATCAATTGTACTCAATGCTCTGGCGCGAAGTTTTCCGGAGAAAAAAATAGGTATTGACACTTGTCTTTCGTTCTTCATTGCATCACTATCATAAATGAAAATACTGTCCGTCAAGCTCATCTTGAATAAATGATTGTGACTTAACGTAGTTACAAGAGTACTTGAAGGTGATCATCGTATTTAGGTGTCTTAGGGATGAGATTGGAAAATAGATATCAACAACTTCGAAATTTAGCCGGTCGGGCCTGTCAAAGTCAAAGCTAAATGCCGCATCTTGACCGCATTTTTGATGGCCAATTCTGAATATGTCATGTCCATGTGCGGAATGAGAACTATCAGCTATAGGCCTCGAGAAGAGAAATCACGCCTCAAATCATTGTTAATGTCTCAGACGGTAAAACAGTATAGAAGTTGTTATAAAAAAAAGCTGGCACACCACTCTACATGCCTGGTGGCTCAACAGACAGAAAACTCTGAGCGCACAGTTTGAGCGGCAGTCACCAGATACTGCGAACCTTTTGGATAGTATAGGGTTTTGTGGTGAAACAAACTCAAATGACATTGACTAAATGTCTAGACCCTGCTCAAAGATTAAGATACGTTTTATTTTAGCTAATTCAACACCATAATAATACATCAAAGTCGGTATGATTCGCGTCTCATACACCCTTCATCTCCGTATCCACAATTTCACCAATCTCTATTCCAGGATCATCAATATCCTCAATTATGAAATCGTCTGGCATCGTGAAAGCTTCCAAAGAATTTTGTGCATTTTCATCCGTATGCCACTCTGCAGCATGTTGATTATAGTTCTTTTCGTAGCACTCCTCCGAGCAGAAAAAAGCCTTATGTCCACTAGCCATGCAGACTTTGCACAAACCCATTCCATCATAAGTTTCATCCCCATCCGCACCTAGTTCCGAAAGACAACAATCTTTCCAATGGGCACTCAGACAGTAATGATCGGCTTTATCGTGCATCTCATGGTCCAGAAGCGCATGACTAGGACAACAATAATAGGACCTTTTGTGATCCCTATCTTCTGGTACCTTTGACGCAACCCAATCGCATAAAACACATTGTATTGCACCTTCGGGTATGGTCAAGTCCACGTCCTCATCGCAACCATCATATGAGCAAAGGGCCTTGCTCTCTTTTGCAACCTGCTGATGGTGTTGGTATTTAAGGGAATCTTTCTCGGCTTTCTTTGCTTTCGCCTTGAGATGAGCAGATTGAGCGAGAATAAGTTCATTCAGACGATGCTGGAGCTGCGCTATCTCGAATTCTTTCGTACGAGCATTCTCTTTTTTCATGGCGGCAACTATTTCATCGTGTGGAATCTCATTTTCAAACATACGCGCATATTTACTTTTGAAGTTTCGTACGCTGGCGGAGTCAGATTCTAGAGGGCTGCAGTAGTATGTGATGTAAAGTGGAATGCGTTGTTTATTGATAGTAGTGTTGTGAAGGTGAAGGATGAAGTCTACCTGATTCGGATCTCGGCATGTCTTGATGTACTCAGTCAGGTAAGCATTGAGGACTTTCGAGACATCCATCCCTTCATCCAGTTCCATAGATATACGGGCCTTAAACTCCATAACATCTTCGGTATCGTCTGATTTGTGTGCACAAAGATCTCTCTTCAAATGTGCCCGAAATTCCTGGTCTACTCTTTTGTGGATATCGTCAAGACTGTAGACTTTCGGTTGTTCAAACATCGACTGTAATTCGGTTTTATAGTCGAATAACTTCGAGTACCAGCGATCCGGATCATCTGACAAATACCAATCCTGATAAGCTTTGCGGGTTTGACGATCCTTTCCAATACAGCTCTCGCAATCCTGATGGTCACTGGTGTGTGGTGATGCAAAAGGGCTCTCGTAGAACTTCCTAATACTTTCAAGGGTCTTTTCTAAGGCTTCATGGTCGATACGATAGTTGTCTGCATGGGCAAGACGCTCACCTAATGTGAGAGGATATGTCTGGCCTTGCGGTCTCAGCTCAAATGGGGTGTTACTGTGATAGAGGTTAAAAAACGCGTTGTCACGTGAACCATCGACTTACTCCATGACCACTTTATCCTCCGCTCCTCCTTGAGATTCAAGTCAACTATGGAGTGAAAATCAGCCAGTCCATCCAGGAAGATGATTTGAATCAATACGTTGAGAAATAAACTATGCGATATATGAAGGAATCTCTCACTTTGTTAGCTGCTCAAATGTGATTGCCATCATAGCTGGGAATGGTGTCCGTTTAAAGCTAGCGGCCGCTGGATGAAAGACGGACCGATGAATAACCAATAACCATTCTCTCTTGGGTGAACGCTTCGATTCTTCTTCACCGGAAACCTATTAGTCAAGACACAATGGTAAGCTTCTCCAACTTAGTTCTTGTTTTCTCTTGATCGCAATGGGTTCGCGATCACAAAAATAGTATCCAATTCCCCGTCTACCTGAGTTACACAGCCAAATAAACAACAAAGTCACTAACATGTTCTTACATATAGGCCGACAAACTTCGCGCCCAGCAACAGCTCGAGCAGCTTCAGCAGCGCTATGTTGGAACAGGCCACGCTGATACAACAAGATTTGAATGGACGAGCAACATCCAGAGAGATTCGTATGCATCATACGTGGGACATCCGCCATTGTTGAGTTATATGGCCATTGGATTTGGAAGCCCAAGGGAGATTGTTAGGAAAAATATGATTGAGGTGTGTTTTCTTGTTTGAACTTGTGTGTCTGTTTTTAGGAGACATGGAGGTAAAAATGAAGAGGAGACTAATGTTGAGCAGAAAATGATCCAACCGGTTGGAAAGCCACCCGAGGTACAGGATTAGGTGAACTCCTTGAGATGAGACTTGTGTATGGAGATCAGAGAGAGGTATGTTTAGGGTTTCTGCAATACTATACCACTTGGACCGGTTCTTACTTTTTAGAAGGATATTCTTTGCATCAAAACTAATAGGCTGGATCTAAGTATCAATGAAAGGAAATGTCAATGAAGGGCACGCACAACCAATCAGAATACGAGGCTACGTGAGCGAAGCGGTCGTGGAAATTATGTGCACTCAGGGTCATAATATGGTGTTCATGGCGCAAACATATAATGGGAATCGAGATTGATTGATATCAGTTAGCATTGTCAGGACAAACAAAGTTTATGAGATATCACTTGCAGTCGAGGAAATACACACGGGACATGACATTGCTTCGCATAACCGCATTTCTCCAATACTTCTTTTCCCGGATTCATATTTCGACCGGCTGCACCCGATCGCAGTTCCTCGGACGTCATGCCATTCAAAATGAATCATATATCGAAGCCTTTTGTCAGGCTTGGGTACAATCACATAGGCTTGAATTCAGAGTGCGGTTCAGCATGGATACCGCACAATTCTTTCCTTGCGCGAGGTCAATTGTGACTAAGATACAGACGAAAATTCCTAAATTATATGTGTTGTGAGATTTTCATATGCGTTAATAAAATAAATTTTTGTCTTCACCAGTCACCCGTCGAGGATACTTGGAAAAAACCATAAATGACCAGATTGCTCTCGCCCAATATCTAATAACGCCTGTTCCGAGATGTGCACTACATTTTGCGGCCCTCCCATGCTCATAAATCCATAAGTGATATCCACAAATTAACGCCGCACAATCATAAATTACATTATAGCGAATACATTGACTGATTATTCGTCATCGTCGTCCTCATCGTCCTCATCATCCTCATCATTTTCGACATCCGCTTCCCTTCGTGGCCTTCCTCTTTTGGAAGCTCTCCTAGAGCTTGAACCCCCATTTCCATCCGGCGCCGCTGCCACGCCTTCACTTTCTTCGTGGGTTGTTTTCCTCTTCCCTAGCCCTAAACTACGCTCCAACCGCTTGTCGAGATCTTCGGGAGCATTTTCGCCATACACTTCCTTGACAAGCCCTTGCACACCTTTCGTACCGATCTCCATTTTTCCACGAGGTCCTACTCTCCATTCGATAATCTCGTCTCCGTCATTTTTCTCAACGGTTCTAGTTATGTAATTTTGTTGCATCATTTTCTTCATAATTAAAGTGGTCTTCTCCATCGGCATATTAGTTTCCGCATTTAACTTTCTTAGTACGGACATAAGTTTGCTGTCAGTCATCGTAGAGTCAGGACTCAGCATTATTACAGAGACAACTGTTGTGTAGAATCCAATGTATGTAGCTTCATCCCACTGGCTAACCACTTTGGAAGGTTGGATGATTGAGGGCGATCGATATTCGATAGGAAGAACGCTTGTCAGGATATAGGAGGAAGCCGTCGTGGTTTTCGATTTTCTGCTAGCCTCCTCTGAGAGACAGCTTGGTTAGTTAGAGAAGTAAATGGGTTTAGGTATACTGACTCAATCGCCCTTTGACGGTTACATTTTCTTTCACAGGTAGTTCCACCATTTCCATGCCAAATACTCTTCTTAACGAATCTTGTGCTGGTTCAAATATAGATTTAAAGGTTCTCGTATGTGCGCCGAGAACTTTCTCTTTGATACCAGTCCTAGTAATGGGCAACCGTTGAAACTCACACGCCAAAGCATATCTGACCAACTTTTTGACAACTTGATCCAAAGACTCCTCTCTATCCAGATCCATACCTTCGCCTCTTGTATCATCTTCATCGCCGTCCTCCTCCTCCTCCTCTTCGGAACCTGGTGTTACATGCCGCCGCTGATGAGTTGTTCGAGGTCTTTCTTCTTCGGACTCTTCATCTTCCCTAATTTGCTAGGATAATGAGCTTCAAGGAGCGGGGTTATTGTGGAAAGGAGGAGGGTAGAATGAAAACTTACGACTTGGCGTCCAACTCTTCGGGAACTGGAAGGCATATTGGAAGTTCTTCGCACAAATCTTTATAGGATTAAAATCATCAATGCCAGTGTGTGATGTTATAAGATTGCTCCTTGTTAGAAGCTGGAGAAGGTGTTTGGGTAGACGCGACCTACCGCGTTTGAGCGGAAAAACTGATTGTCGGAAAAACTGTACCAGCATAAAGCGGCCGACTTCCCCGATTCTCAAAAATTATGAAGATTTCTACGAACAATTTGAAGGCAATTATACTATTTCCTCGACGAATTTACAATCGCATACATGCTTCGCCGACACATTTCCGCGGCGCATATATGCTTAAGATGCCAAATACGATTGGGCCAAAGATCTCCGCCATTCTCGACTCGAAGAGCGTACTCCACTGAATCGGCAAAAAATCATGAAGAGAATGGGCTAGGAACGTTAAACGGTCAATCACAGCACAATGAAAGTCAAGAGGGCGGTGGAGATACTGAATTACCCTTCAACGAAAAGGACGAAATAAAGCGGCCCATAGAATGGCCGCCAGAACGACAAGACGACATTCCGATTAGAAGACCCTACGAAGGCACGATTCCAAAGTCAAATTATGGCATAAAACATCTGAGACCACCTAAGCTCAAGTTCTATGGCCGTAGTGGAAACCAAAAGGTTGGAGATAAGGTGGCATTATCAGGAGTGGATGCGTTAGGGAAGACTGCCGAAGTCCTTGTCTTGCGAGATTTAAAGTTCCAGTTGCCCGAAAAGAAAGGAAAGGAATTTATCAGCGAAGGCCAGGAACCTGAGAGTATTGATATCTTGGCCAAAATTCAAAGCGAAAGAGGGATTGTCTCTTCGGAAGATATCAAAGCGAACATTGACGAGTTTAGACCCGACCAGGAGAAAATACAGACATGGAGTGATTTCAACGACCTAGTGCAATCTTTGCAAAACAGTTTTACAATTCCTCAATTGAGAAAGTACATTAAGTCGTACCCAGCAGAAAAAAGGATGAAGAAAGTTCCTCCTCTTGGAGATGGAATTCTAGATTACTCGAATTCAATTTGGCGATCCTCTCCCTGGGTACCAGAAATCTCTCCAATCAGCAAGCCAATTGATGATAGCGCTATTCTGGGATATTCTGCCTCATCCTACAACGATAAACAAAATCTTGCAGTCAAAATTTTGAGGGAATGCTGGCGATTGGAGGTTCCGGAGCTTCTTGAGGGGATAGGTGAAGCAGAAGTGTATGTTAAATTAAAGGACCTGGACTTCTTAACAAGTGCGTAAAGGGTGTCTTTCGTTCCTTTCTGTGATGAAGCTGATGTAATGTGATTTTAGCTCAAGGATACATAGAAGCTTTGATCAAACGATACTATCTCAATGAGCCCGAAAAGATTGAAATCTATCGACCCCGCCACGTTTTACGTATCACCTCGAGCCGAGAAAAATCTGCCCTTATTATCGGCGAGCTCCAGGATGGAATTCTAAGTATTAGTCGTGACGAATTTCACCTGAAGGAATTATGCCCCCTTCATTTACTCAGAGGCTGGGAGACTAGGAGCCTCACTTCAGAAGTGTTGAGTAAGCTTGGTGAATTGACGAAAACGGATATCACAAGGCTGCCATTCCAAGAGCCTATTGTTAGTGCTCTTAAACTTGCCCCTTCATGTCTCTTACTGATGATGTTCAGCTCTATATTTCATCCATGGCAACCGACAGAAAATCTAAGTTGTCAAGAAGGGCTGATGTAGTGAGACGCTTATTGCTGAATCTAGCCCGGTTCGATAAAAATCATCAGCATGCAAGGAAAATTGGATTGCGAGACTTTGAAGAGTCTTCTCACAAATTCGACCTACCTGGGGGTTTTGTTCGATTTCCAGGGTCGCGCGAGCTTTCTTGGCACGAAAAGCTACGTACATGGAGTCGATGGACGTCGGCCACCCCTAAGTCTACAGAGGAGAACCATCTACCTGAAAAGGATCAATACACATTTCCTTTTCCAACTGTTGGTGTAAAACTATCTGGGAAACAGCGGCCAGACCCCAACCTTCGAGGAGTCGAATTTTTATGGTCTCACAAGTATTCACCCACCACCTCGATTAAATTCGGCACCATTCTACACAACATAACTAGCCACCGAATTGGTAAGTATATTGACGATGACCAAGGGCTTTCACGGGGTCCGCCCACAATATCTTCCGACACACCATTGAACATGAACAGCCTAAGAGCCGAAATGGATAGTGGATCACTACGAATATTTTCCCCTCAAGCTCCAAATCTCTCAGGACTTTTTCAATCGGATCATATCGAAAAAGGACTGTTTGAACACGCAGTGCAAGAAATTGTTATGCAATTCAAGCCTAATCCCTGGGCTCTGTGTCCAGATGGCAAGCCGCTTGGACCTTCCGCTTTCGATGACTTACCTCCATTAGAGATGTCTTTCAGTCTCAATCGAGAATCCTATGAAGTTAAGTTTCGGGAACTTCATGCTATTGTTTCTACTGAGGTTGCAGAGCTGATGCTCCCTGAATTCAAAGCCGACCTTCAATTTGAAAGGAAAGTTCGTTCAAGGATGTTATTTGAGAACTCTAATCCGGGAAATGGGCCGGATGAATTAAACTTGGCTGCAACCGCTGTAACGAAATTCATTAAGGATTCTCAGTTAGACCTAAGAAGTGATCAGCAATTGGAAACACCACCAAAGCTAGTTCTTCCTCTCCCTAGACATCTATGCACTGAAAGGGGTTGGAATCGTTTGGGAGGCATACCACAACTGGGTGTGGATGTTGAATACTTGTTCACCAAGCTCGAATATAGAAAGACGGCACCTTACAATTTTGAAAGTCACGAAATACGCTGCACGAGTGTTGAGGCTGGAAAAGCTGGTGGTTCACATCTGGAACTGAGCCTCACATCTCCATCGATGCCTAGTCAAGATGAATTCAACCACACCATGAAGACGGCGCTGAAGATTGTACGATTGATGGATATGAAGAATATCACGAGCGTTTATGGACAGATGAGAGAAGTATTCGCAGAACGGAAAGAGCCAGTCTTGGGGCCTGATGATTTTAAATACGTGCCCAAGAGACCAAGTGATTTTTTGGAGGTGAAAAGACATTATGAAGAAGAAGAAGAGAAAAGATCTAGATTTGATAAAAAACCAGGGGAAGGGGACGGTAATCAATGGGACATTTTGTCAGATAAGGCATGGGAATCTCGCGGCTTTCAAGGTAGAGGATGATCATGATTCAAGGAAATTTCCGATTTTATAAGTTATCAATATTGTAAAACTCTGTAATATATGGCATCTGTTGCATCAAGAAAAAGAAGGGGATCCGGAGTCATACAGAATACTGCGGGCACTGCTGACAGTTCTTTTTTCAAAAACTGTTCCTTGATCTTGATTAATCGGTGTTCTACATCACTAATTATGTCTCTAACATTTGTTTATTTTCATAGCTAAACCATGGAGCTCGTACATTTTTTTCCACAATCCATTTGAGCTCAGAGGTTCCAGGGACTGTACCTACCATCTTCTTCTCAGTCGCAAGTTGCGCAAGGCAAAATTTCTTCGCCGGGACGGACATTCACCATAACTCCTCGCTATAACCACCCTTCTCTTGGCTCATGGTGAAATGCGTAGAATCTATTATCACCGATGTCTGACTCTCGTTCTCTTGGGATCCCACTCTTCCCTTAAAATCATGCGCTGTAAAGGGTACAAACCACATTGGTAGTCAGTCAGTGGTGGTCTCGGCACCAGAATCGTGATAAAAACATTGACTGGAAGATTGCCATCCGCGCACTTCAAAAATTAATTGCCTAAATTTGTACCATCGACATATGATAGCTTCACAGGCTTAAGTTCATGCTTCATTGAAAACAAATTCGAGTATTCACCGCCGGTTTTAAGGTATCTAGGTGGAAAATGATCGTTGGGATCGCCGTCACGCACTGAAACAGGTGAAACTCGATAACATGAAGACCCGTTGTGGTGAAATGGCTGGAGCCTGCCGATGTGACGTGACCTAAATTTCTCGTTGAGGAATAGAAACTCTCCCACAACAAACAACGTCCTGTCCCAAGGGAATCCACTTTACTCCTTTCAGTCTAAGTGCCTCCTTCTCCCGGTTTTCTCTCTCAGGAGTAACGACAACTCCCCCCTTTCCAAGCCATACCGGAGCAATAGTTACTATTATGGAACTTATTAGATTGTGACTTCTAGCCAGCATATCGTTAATGATCCCAGCACCTCCTTCAATCATCAGGCTTTCAATATCTTCATCGCGGAGAGCTCGTAAAATATCACACCAAGAAAACTTTCCAGTTTCGTCCGTTGTCACGAATAAGAATTTCCCACCCGCTGCGTCCAGTAAATTTCTTTTTTGAGATGATATCTTACTTTCCTGCTGCGCGGTAATAATCCAAGGAGCTTTGCCTTTGCCGTCTTTAACCAACCCAAAAATCTTACTTTCTTTTCCGAACTCCCATCTACCTTTTGGATCAATTATGACTGGCCTTGGCTGCCCCTTCAAAGTATCTCCTCCTCCATAGCCTCCCACACCTTCCAGCCTACAGTTTAAACTGGGATTATCCGCGATTGCAGTATTAACACCAATTAATATAGCATCATGTTTAGACCTCAGATAATGTGTCATGGCCTTTGAGTCCGGTCCGGATATCGGTGACCCAATCCCGGGGAGAATAGTAATTTGAGAGTCCATAGAAGTAGCGTATGTTAGTGTTGCATAAGGAAGTGGCTGCAAGTGTGCAGCTGCAATGGAACTCTTGGTCGGTAGGTATTCATCTAATTTTGAGCGCTCAGCTGCCGGAAAATGGAGAGCACCTCTGGTGGAATGCATCATACAATTTCGGCGACTTGAAGATGTAAATATGAGCGTCTTAATCGATGATCATGTGTTGATATGAATGCGTTTCGGGGCACAATGAGGTGTAGATTGTGCGGAGTCCTTTTCATAAGTTGCATTGAAGTTTGAGCACGTGAAGTTCTATATAATTATTTATCTAATCATTTTGATCATGTGATCCCGCGGCGCAAAGAACTAATGATGATTCTGAGATTCAAATCAGGGAAACCTCTAACCCACGACAATCTATACGAAGTACTCATACCCGATACAGCTTATGTGCAGCAAACAGTTTTATTTTGCCCCCCATTGTACTTCCAACGTCTTTTGGCTGCGTGCACTATGGAAAGCACAGCCGGAGCGATGTTACCGTTTCATTAGGATCCCTAGTTAGTCATAGTCTCTGCTCACATTCTAGCTCAATATCTATGTTGTGAGTTATGTCAATACTTCGCTGACAAACATATAGTTTATTATCGCGTTGTTTCATCAACTAATCGAATTCAAATAGATCGAATTCATACTTTGACCATGGTTGTGCTCTTCCCATGGACATGTATTCCATTCCATAGTGGCGACGTCAATACTTTTACATCGTGCTGTATCATAACTCGCAAACGTGAAGGGTATTGCTTATTATCGTGTAGCAGCTGTATTTAGTCGGTATCACAAAACTCGCACATTTACTTACTGCCTATTCCCATATTCCAGGACCAAACTGGCACAATGAGGAAGCTCGTTTTTCCATTCGCCAAGCTACGAGCTTACACCCAAAATAGCAGCTTTTGTACTACGCAGTGAAGTTATATCACTTAAAATATCTCATTTTTGGTGAATATAACGTATGCTGCACATCGACAAATTAAAGAATTTACCCGACGAACCAGCGCCATTAATAAGCTGAAACGGGATTCTTAAACTGCTACATCGTATCAGAATCGTTAGTTTCGGCATTTCACCTGCATTTTATCGGACATTTCTTCAACTTCAAGTGGGTTTAAGCTTCTGCGGGGTCCTCCGCTTCGGCCCGCATAATATCGTCTTGCTGGCGTTTATATTAGCAAATACACTGCACCAAAAGACTCAAACGAGAGTTCTTGGGTCCTTCTGTTTTGTTGTGAATCGGAAAGGGTTATTCAGTGTCCAAACCATAGCGAGACCTTTTAGTGTGGCTGTGGCTATGAACGCACATCTTATTCCCCCATGTTCCTATGTGAGGGCACGAGTTGTCACTACCAATACGTGATTTGTCTCCAGCTGCAGTTGCCCCGTGCGTTTTCAGGCTAAATTTGAATCTCGTATTACCTTTGCTGTTAATCACGATGTCTGCAGGCACGTCATGTCCTTGTTACTTTCCCTTAGTGATTCTCCGAGTGCAACGCTATTCAGCTGTATCCAGAGAATGGAAAACTCTTCGACTTTGACCTTGAAGTGGCTGTTTATTATCCCAAGAATTTGAAAGCTGTACTTGTGCATCTAGAAAGAATAGCGCAGTCCCCTTTAAGCATATACCAAGACGGTAAACTATAAAGGGAGTAGTAGCTTGTTATACATTCTGGGCCAGCGACTATGATGCTGAAAGCTCGTAGGAATTTTGATGGTGCACATTTAGTAAGGCCGCTCTGGGGTTGGGTGTAGAAAATACGTTCCCCGCACTGGTGGAGCATTTTTGTTTACCCAAATGTTTCATTATTTACATTTCTTCCAAGCCTTGGCCATACTTGTGTTGTGGGTTAACGATGCATGCAGGGCAAAGTTGTGTGTATGCACACATCAGCTATGGTGGTGCTAAACAAGTGAGCGGGGTAGAATAACTGTAATTTGACTACAATTGCTTGTCAACATCAGAGCTTCACTACCGGCATAATCCATTTCAACTCGCAATATCTTCAATACACACATTCCGTTAGTGTACCATGGTGCAATAAGTAGAAAAATAGAACAAAGTCACACCATATGTACATACATTCATCAGTGCAATGTTGATTTGGCAGACCGGCGTCCTCCCTCTTTTGACAATGCTAAAAGAGCGGTTGGTAGTATCCATTTCATAATCTTCTGGATCTGGATAGTTTTCAGCCTTCAGCTTGATACTTTCAAGCCTCCTGTCATGGGGCCGTATACGTCGTATGTTGTCATCCGTCGTCAAAATGCAGTGACACCTGTAAGATACATGCAGAATAATGAGGGGTTGATCAACATAAAAGGCCAAAGTATCACTGGCTTGATCTCTCACCTCATCCCCACTCTTCATCTTTGTATTTTCCAGCCTCACATAGACTTTTCTTCCTTCATCATGCTGCTCAAACCACTTGCACTTTTTTCATCACTTGCTCTGGCCACCGCCATCCCAAACCCCCTTGAGAAACGTGCTCCATATCAGGCAAGAATCTTGGATACTGGAACTACCTTTGTAGAAGAGCATAATGGATGGTGGCAATTGATTGAGTAAGCTTTCCTCCAAATACAATCTCTCTTACTTCTCGTTTCTCTATCATACAAACCGAGGGACTTTCTCTCCAGTCTCATACCTTAGAGTCATTTCTTGATTAGCCTTACTAACAGAAATGCAGCGCCACTGGTGATGGCAGACCAGACTTAGCCTATATCAAGAATAAGAACACAGGGACTGGATATGTCGAAGTTCATATTGCCTCTTCATCTTCCAATTTCCAGACTCGAATTCTTGAAGTCGGCACCACATTTGCTCAGGAAGATAACGGAACATGGCGTCTATTCAAATCATCCAACTCTGTTCTTCCTGACTTGGTATACATCAAGACACAAAATACCCCGTCAGGAAAAGTAGAGGTTCACATCGCTAGCGGAGCATCAACCTACAAGACACGGACTGTTGAAGTTGTTACCTCATTCGGGAATGAGCAAGATGGTCAATGGAACGTGTATGACTATGATGGTGATGGAAAGCCAGACTTAGTCTTCATCAAAACTAGCAATACCGGTACAGGAACAACCGAATTGTTCGTCGCATCTGCTTCTTCCAATTATCAAACAAGACTCATCAGCACCGGGACTACCTTTACGGTAGAAAACAACGGTTTTTGGCAGCTTGGACCTTATAGCGCTAATGGAGATTTGATCTACATCAAGGATGCCAATACTGGCACTGGGACAACAGAGGTCCACATTGCATCTAGAGCATCGGGTTACAAGACTAGATTGCTGGATGTTGGTTCTACTTTCACTCAGGAACAAAATGGAGTTTGGCAATTGATTGACTTTAATGCTAATGGCAAGCTCGACCTTACTTATATCAAGTATCAGAACACTGGGACGGGTACCGTCGAAGTACATGTTGCTAGTGGTTGATTAGGAACAGTTGGGATTGTACTGATGGTGGTGGTATGGATTGTGGAGTTAGAATATGACTGGTGGGAAAAACATTCTTTTAGTCTGATTAAATCTGGTAAACAGGTATGTACAGAATGGTTGGTTCGCTTTAAAATATACAATATCTGTTTCGTCCGTTTGTGATCGCTTCCTCTATGCCTATGATGATTCATTTTCAAACAATGTCACATTCCCGCACATTTCCGCATTCATTTTATTTCGTGCCACCTATAAATGTTCAGGCACTTGGCATTCGCTTCCTATTCAGTCTCCCCACACTGACAATGACCGAATGTACTCTGGTCTCTCTACTGCTCAAACACAGCAGTCCAATCCTCTTTCCTGATCCACTCCTCCAAACTCGTCATGGGACATTCAATCCCAGCCTACAGAATTTCAATCAGCACCATCTTCCTACTTTCACCAACCCAAAAAGTTCAACATACCTTCTCAATATCCTCCCTCATCCACAAACATTTATCACCTCCATCATATCCCGGATCACTAGAATAAGCAAA